TATGGAGAAACTTTTTGCCACCTCGGTTTCCACATGTCGCATCACGTGGCGGAAAGTCTGTTTCAGCCTAGTGCTATACACACAATACGGAGGCTGATGGCGGAGGATACGGAGCATACGGAGAGGAAAGGAGGCTGAGATCCAGGTGCCCGATTTGATCGGGGAAATGCCGAGCGACCTTCACTTGTCTGTCCTTGGGCGGGCAGCCTCGGACTTTCCACTTACCACTTACCAACTTACCAGCCACTAACCGGGGTCGGGTCGGATTCGGGTCCAAGCGTGAAGATACGTAATTGTTCGTCGCTGATCGGATCTGATGTGTACACTCTATACAGTACACACACTGCACTACGGAGTTCACAGGATGTGGATCTATGACTTGAGTAGTAGTCTATCTGTCTTACAAATAAGAGCCTTGTCTCGAACCCAACCCAAGTAAGCTAGAATAAGGAATGCAATAATACAGACTAACCACCACCTTTCAACCCCGCCCCCATTTTCCCATACTAAGCACTACTTGGATACGATAGACAATCACATGTAACCCAAACCAAAACCATAGCATCATCACTATCATCATACCCAAACTCCAAAGGCCGAAAACAAAAACAAAAAAAAACCCAAACAATCACCTGCCCACCCCAACACCCTACAAGGATGGCCAAAACTCTGGTTCCACGCTAACCACGTTTCCGGCATAGAAACAACCCGACGGCCAACCTTCGAGAAATATTCTAGAAGGGTTTAGATCCGTAAATTATACTTTGCGGGTTTGTGCGGTGTACTTGGATTACAGATGGCCATTACAGGGTGGTATTTTATTACGCTGGGTGGTTTTGTGCGGGATGTATGGGTTTGGTAATGGATTTGGGTTAGTGTGTTTGAGGGACTACACACGGACAACGAGATTTTTTTCTGGTTGGGCCAATGAGGGGAGCTTGAATTGGGGGATTTGAGATGGGGATTGGTGCCCGATGAGATGCTGGTGAGGGTTTAGTACTTTTTAGTGAGGATTTGGTGAGGAAATCAAAGGACTATAGGACTAAGGGAGTGAGAGCAGCCGATCCGATCACCTCAAGACCCTAGATACGTAGAATCAACTACGTATCTAGGTACATTCACCTGACTCTTTGTCTATAGTGCTTACGATGTACTTGTGCTTGTGTTTGTGACTTGTGTAGACCGCCTCCAGGATGTTAGTTGCTGACGGGCTGCATGTACTGGTCTATTATTGATCTGGTTACTTAGATACTTGGTTGAAGGCTACACTCAGGACCGGTTTCCAGTCAACTTGATCGTATGCTTATTCCTGGTAACTGGTAAGCCACACATCCATCATCATAAGGTGCTGTTCCAAAAGATATCACTCCAAGTATAGCAACATACGACCGCGTGTCGAGGAACAAGCACCGGCCGCACCAGATTTTCACCGTTTAATGTCAATACGGCCCCGGAGGACAGCTCTCCGATTGAGTTCATGCTATGCGTAGAACCCCGCTAGAGGCAACATGGAATCATTCCATCGAAGCACGCTAGTTGTATCTACCTTGCCGTAGACGGCTAGTGTTGTATAATCCCGCGGCCAGATTCCGTCGGATGCGGGATTATCTGCGCACTATTCCGCATGATGTAAGTAGGCAGCGAGTTGCACCGATAGTTGGTGTTAGGGCTCCCTGGGTGGTTTGGTTGAACTGGTAGGTATACCTAATAGGAGTTGTTTATTGGTTCTGGATGATTGTTGGATTTGGGACAGCTGTTGGTGTCTGGTGAACGCCGGGGTTGTATGGACGGAGTAATCACGGAGAAACGATCCTTTCGGGTCTAGTCTGCTAGCGCGGAGTCACATGATGGGGTTGACTTTTTCATAGGTCATGGTGTGGCGTAGATACCTCGATTGAGAAGCTATTCCGGCCAATGAGGTTTTCTTGGATGCCTCAGTTTGTCGGTGATGGTTTACGTCCTGAAAGTCAAATTATTGCTTGATCTGCTTGAATACGACCGGCCGTAGATCAACCGCGCCCCGAGTCTGATCCGGACACAAGATCAACATTTGGTAGCTTTGAGTTGGTACTGTACTTAAATACCTAATACGTGTGCCGTGTTATTCAGCCGAGCTGGTACATAGGTAGCTAGCTGTAGCACCTCAAATTAGGTCCCAACTCGTGCTCCTGAATATTCTCGTCAGTGGGTCCAAGTTACATTCATCCGGGCTCGACTTACTCGATTTGTCCCTAATTGCAAAAACCCCCTGCGAATCAGACCAGCCCAAGCCCTGTGCGCTTACTTAGTGAGGGGGAGGCGCGGGGAGGGGCCTAGTCACGACGATGATTTGGCGGGGAAGTTGGGGACATCTTCCCTAGTGAGGCTTTTTCCCTCCCCCTCCCGGTATTACTTTATCCCCTTTTGGCCCGGTGGCACAGTGACAAACGTACGCCCGGCTTGCTTGCTTGCTTGGGGATCGTGGCTTGCCTGAAGAATCAGGGATCCCATAGGGATGGGGGAAATTAATGCCACTGTCTCGAGTGGGACAAATGCCGTGAGGCCTCAGTGCCAATCGCGATCGGATGGCTGGTGTCCCTCTGCGGGGTTAGCCGTATTGCCCGGGTTTCAACGAGGTTTGGTTACGTATCGATGGCCTCGTTTACGTACGAGGGTACTTGGACTGTCCCCCTCGTCTGCTCCTTTGCCCTGTCCTGCCCGCCTGCCTTTCTGCCCTATGGCCTTAGCCAGGCGGGAAAATTAGATGCTCAAGTTGCTGACGGTTCTCAAGGGCTGATGGAGTGTTGCACCTGGCTATCACTGCTGGGAAACAGGATACCCACGCCTATCTCTTCCCGGGGTATAATCATATTGCATATGCACACCGGAGGACCCGACGTTAACCTGCGGCGTGCAACCGATGTACCCTTGGGTTCCTTCAATGGGGAAATAATCCTGCCTGATCTGGAATCATCATAGCATCATCTGTGGCTAACATCTCCGCTTGAGTTCATGGCGGACATATGTCGGTGTGATCGATTAGGTTTGACTTTCTTCATCATGGAGGGGGACAGCCACATGCGCTGCGTGGTCTCGGTCTGTTAGGCCAAACTCTACCTGGGAGTCTGATATTGGCCCTTCCATACAATGCTGGAAAGTCCGAGTTGGTACTTTAGGTAATGGTTTCACTTACTGGCATCTCTCTTATCGTGAAACCAACGTTCGGTCTGGTTGGGGCCGTATCTGTCTGTCTGCGTAGGATGGATGCTCTGGACTCCGAGTGGAGTCGATCTTGAAGAACATCGGTAGGCATGCTCGCAAATTAGACCGTTCATCTCATCAAATGAGCCCCCGGAAACCGGGGCGAGAAAAAGCAAAGAGAAACATTGTGATGTTAAGGCCAACGTCAGACGTTGCAGTCAGAGATCGCACAAATCTCCCCTCGACAACCGACGATAGTGCAGCAGCAGCAGCTTCTGACAGATCCACTCGGTCGATGTGCCCCAGATTCTCCCCACGATGCCCGATGATCATCATCTGCCGACAGCATACGGAGAATGACTCTCCAGCTTCGTATCCAGCGCCTGCGATGAAGAGTAGCATCACGTGGTCACATGGCGGCGTGCCTCGCTGCAACAGTCAGCATCATTTGTACTCCCCGCGGGCCAGAGCAACCTCCTTCTTCTCCTCATCCTCCTCCTCCTATCCGTGGCCTTCTGCAAACCGGTTGAGGTACTTTCTTCGCTCCCATGCCTGCAGGTGCCTGTCCCTCCAGCACCGGTTGGCCAGGACCTGGCGACTGTCGATCGCCGGGTCACCAGATCTCTGCGTTGGCAATGCGATCACATTGCGGGTGTGCCCTTGCTCCTAGAATCCCGGAATTACGCGCTGGCAAGTCATCACTCACTGGCTTCTTCAATATTGCTTAGCGATTTTCCCGCCGATCTATACGATAATATCCCCGCCCCCCTCCTTCCAGATTTTTCTCATCTCACGCGTGATCCAGACACAGCAGGATACCTTGTCCCCGATGTCCCCGACATCCCCCCCCCCCCGGTCACTGGATTCTAATCCTGGACAATGATGATTCTGATGCTGATGAAGTCGTCCTCTGCTGTCATGTTCATCGATGAGGTCAGCTTTCACGCCCTCCTCTCCGACCCAATCCCGTCATGAGCCTCCGTCTCTACGTTAGGTATACTACACTGCATATCCCGATTCTGGGTGCATCCCCCGTGCTTCGTATTCCAGGTCCAGGCCTGTCGGTCAGCACCTATCCCAAAGTCCGTGGAATTCTTTATGTCATCATGATCTCGATTTCCTGTTCTTCGCGTGCCTCAAGACTCGTTGTTACCCCCTCCTTCTCTTCTTTTCCCCCTGAATCTGACACATCGGCCCGCATTTTTTGATGGTCACACGCCCCATATGATATCCTTATTTTGACACAGTTGGTTGTCTTCCCGCGGGTGGCGCTGAGTTGGCAAGCGCTCAGCCTCAAGGTCTGCTGCTCTGGATGACCTAGTCCTCGGTCGCGTCTCGACATCATCCGCGGAACTCTGGGTCAAATGCCCTCTCTCTGCTTTGTGGCAAGATGGTCTAGCCTCACCGGCATTGTTCTACCCTATCGCTTTTCGACGCCACCGTGGGCCGCGTCTCAACTCGGTGCTTTCTTTCCATTGTTGTAATTCGTATACGTGGTTTTGCTGGTACACGGGGCTGTAATGATGCTGGTGTCGGTCGGGAAAAGTTCCTCGTCGGATGAATTGATCAGTCTCACAGGTGAAACAAGAACACGAGTAGATTGCTGTCGCTGGACCCTCACGTGCTAAGTCCATCTCGGCTTCCCTACGGTCACGGCTAGAGATTGGATGATGGATCTTGATGCTGCCTGGTCGGCGGCCATGTCTCATTGGCTATTAAGGGAAGGCTTTATCATACATAACGCTCATTACAAGGTACATAGTTGTGAAAGAGCCGAGACAAAGTGGCTTCCGGGCGGGCGGGCTTCAGTTCAAAGAGACCTACTCTTTGAAACTCTCCGGGAAGCGTCGCTCCCAGCCAACCACAGCGGGCTTCATGGGACCGGAAAAGAGAGTCGAGTAATCTGTTCCGGGCACTCCTTTCCTACCATTCACGTTGAACAGCTTCATGTGGCGCACAATGGTCGCGATGATGACTCCCAGGTTGACGTAGGCGAACTTCTCTCCGATGCAGCGATGGCGACCAGCGCCGAAGGGCAGATAGGGGCTAGCTGTACCCTTGGACACACTGCCATATCCGTAGTCAACCATCTCGCTGTCATCCTCCTTGTCGGGCTGTTGGTTCTCCCAACGATGGGGATCCCACCGACTTGCGTTTGGAAAGTACTCATCACTAAGGGCAGTCACACCAGGGGAGGCGAGCAGCACATGGCTTTCGGGGATGATGAATGAGGTGCCGGGCACAGGCAGCGGGTTTTTCACCTTGCGCATAATCGAATGGATAGACGAGTGCAGACGCAAAGTTTCCTTGATCACATTCTGGAGGAGTGGCAGCTTGTCAAGGTCCTCGTACTGCAGCGGCTCAAAGTTCCCATTCTTATGGCTGAGATTGGCCAGCTGTTCTTGGTAGAGCTCTTCAAGCATCTGAGGCTCAGAGGCCAACCGCAGCATGGTCCAGGAACTAATGGAAGACGACGAGTGCTGTCCGGCCATCAATAGCGTGATCATCATGTGGGCGATCTCCTTGTCCGGAACAGGCTGTCCAGTCTTGTAAGTGCAGTGCATCAGGTTCCAGATCATGTCCGACTTTTCCTCGTCCGGATTCCTGCGCCGCTCCTTGATAATATCCGTGTAGATTTCCCTCATCCGGGCATGAGCAGCATCGCGCTTTCGGTTGTGTGGCAACGGAGCCCAAGGAAGCATAAAGTTAATCGGACTGAATCCCTTGTCCAGGTCGTGATACAACTCAGCGAACTCTGCAGTAAGCTTCCTGCGAACCTCCTCGCCCTGCAACGCGAGACTGGCAGTATAAATCGTAATCTCAGCCATGGCAGCGGGGACATCAATAACTCCACTCGCGCCTCTGAACCGGGGAGATTCCTTGAGGTAGTCGAGGGTTTCTTTTTCAATCAGCTGAACGTGTGATCCGAGGGCCGCCTGTGTGAGACCAAACTTGATGAACTTCTTTTGTTCCATCAGCTTGGAATTGGGACAGTCGTAGACAACGTCGGATCCGAACACCGGCGTAGTGAGTGGACTGTAGACCTCCTCCGCGTTCACATCCTTGAGTTTGGCATTAAGGATGAACTCGTTTCCTTGAACACCCAGGTATACCGTTGTCTTTTTGCCGAGGAGCACGAACGTAAAGATGTCGCCGTACTGTTCACCAACCAATTAGCAACGCGATCATTCGCTTATAGAACGGCGACTGACTTTCTGTCTGCAGGAGAAGAAGAACGCATAGGGGTCAATCCCATAACTAATTGTGCTACCCAGAAAAGGAACCCAGTGAAAGACGACAGGAGGCTCTTTCTCGTTGCGAAAGAGCAATTGGCGCGCGACATTCAAGACGATGGCAATGAGGGCCGCTGCGAATGCGTAGGCGCTTACGACGGCAATAGATGCCATCTTGAAAGCGACCGTGAGCTGGGGAGAGAACCAGCGATGAGAAAGTTGTTAGCTGTAAAGGAGAAGTCACGAAGAGGACAAACGAGGTCCAGGTTGTTTCCTGCTCATTATGGTCGCCAGGCTGCCGTAAACACCTGAGGGGCCTGGCCTATAAGGAAACGTCCCCAGAACCTTACCCCTGTTGCTAACCTGCATCGTTCCACTCCTATTAGATGCTACTGTCAAGGGTGTTCCTGAGCCGAGTCAGACCACTTGGAGATCCTCTGGATAAACTATCGAGCCACGCAAGGCACCAGATATTTGGCTAACAAACTGGCCACTCACGGGGCCTAGAATTGGCCGGGGCAATCGCCGCCATCGTATTGAATACGCCCGCCTGTTATTGGCCCACTTGCCTGATCCCTCCCATCCAGCCCCTTTTGGCGGCGGTGGGCTTTGCCACTGGCTCTGGGGCAATTTTTTCAGCTCTCTGGAGCTTTCTCCAATTCACTTCACTCTTATCCAAAGTTGAACGGCCAACTGGAGTCAGTGAGTCAGAATGAGTCATGGTGATGAGGCCGTGCATCTTGACCAGCTTGACTCAACGCCATGAAGTCACTTGTCGGTCTTACCGCTTTAGGTCTAGTGGCCCGTGAGCTCCACCCGCCGCCGCAAATATACATCTCATCGTATCTGCTTCCAATGTAGTAGTTCACCAGGCTTGTCCAACTCGTCCTTCAACCACTTCACGAAAGGCACTTCAACATGAGCAACACACAGACGGGGAGCTCTACCGGCGCTGGCTCTGCTGGTCAACGGCCAGTGTCCAAAGCCGAAGCTTCGAACCCCCGAGAGTTCCAACTGAACCAGCTAAGAAGGCGCTTCCGTCCGACAGAAACCAGCAATGACGATGGAACGACATTGGCTTTTGGGATGGCGCCTTCAGATCCCGACTTTCCCTTTGAGATGGACAAGCTTCACTGCATTCTGCATGTTCCCCGGGCGTACCCTGCTCAAGGACGGCCGTCTATCAAAGTCACCAATCCCGAGATGGGCAGCGCCTTCCAGGAGAACATCTCGAGAGGTTTCGATGATATTGTCGACAGCACCATTAGAAGCGGCAGTCGTGGGACTTTGCTCAGCTGGGTCAACAGTCTTGACCGACATCTGGAGCGCTTGCTCACCACTACCGAACGGGGACCTACGTTGAAGTTCGTACCCAACGTGGGCAGTCAAGGGCAAGCGGAGGACCAGAAGCTGGCACAGCATATGAAGGCTCTAGCTGTGTCGTCTGAAAAACAGAAAGCCCCCAGTCGACAACCACCGACCGTGCAGCCTCCGGCCCCCGTATACACTACGGAGGAGAAGGCTCAGGCGGAGAAGCGGAGAGCAGTCGAGACGAAGCAACTCGATGCTCGTCTGGGGAGGCTGCCTTTGTTTCAAAAGTCCAGTGATGGTCTGTCCTTTGTGATTCCAATTCAGCCAACTAAGCCGGATCGTTTACCCGTTTCTCTTCGCTCTGTCAAGTCGGTGAAGCTCCAGGTACCCCGCTTGTATCCTCTTGAGTCGAGTGTGATTCAGTTGCAGGGCATTGACAGCTTAGAGGGTCGAGCTGTAGAAGCCGGCTTTTCGAAGTGGGTTGAAGAGAACAGAAAGTTGAACCTGATGTCACAAGTCAACTACTTGACGAGCAATATGCATAACTTCGCCAAGACACCGCTGAAAGCTCCTGAATCTGTTCCTGTGCCTGCGCCTGTGCTGCCTGATGAGAGCATACCTAGCGAGCCGGTACTCAAAGCGGAAGGGACACCATTGGAGGATAAGCCACATATTCATGTTGTGCCGCGCCCCCCTGAGTGGACTGTGGGCGATAACAGTAGTGGCACTGATGATACAGATATTACTGCATCTGAGGATGAGCTCTCTGACGATGATGAGGAGGGCGGTGCTCCAGTCCCAGATCTCCCAGAACTTGTGACGACCGAGCGTGGAGTCGCCCTTTCGTTCCCTTTCCTGGAACTCTACGGGATCGAGCTTCTGGAGCTCGTGGGTCTCTACATCACCGTGAAATGCGACCGATGCAAGGAGTCCCTCGATGTCAGAAACATTCCGCAGATTAAGGACAAGAGCGACGAGCTGTCCCCCAAAATCGAGACGTGCAAAAAGTGCGCAAACACCATGAGTCTCGGTAAGCCCTCACATATGTTATTATGGAATATAGATTATAGATTGACACGTTTTATAGGATTCCGTCGACAACTTATGCATCCTAGCGCTACTCGTGCGGGTTATCTTGACTTGGATGGATGTACTGTTATAGATCTCCTCCCTAGGTAAGTTGTCATATTGGTTTTATAGACGGCTTCGAGTGTCAATCTACCTGCCTTGTCTAGTTGGAGCCCTCACAGATGCTTACAACCTCTGTAGTAGCTTTATCCCGACGTGCGCGGAATGCTCTACAGGGTTTCCCGCGCCCGGTATCGTTGCAGTTCGGGGTGAAAGTGCCATGGCGAATTGTCGTCAATGTCACCGCAAGATGGGTATGTCAATCATGTTTCCTGTCATGACCAACTGCTTACACCGTTAGTTTTGAAAATTCCGGAGGTCAAGTTCCTGAAAGTGGGATCCGCAGCATGTAAGTTTCGTCAATTGACAGAGCCTGACAAGATGCTAATGGCGTTTATAGATTCTTCTCGCTTCCGTGCTCCTGCACGAAAGAAGGTGACTAGAATACACCCTTTTCTGTGGTCGTCTCGCTAATTTTCGATAGCCTAAGGAAGTCCTCGGTATCGTTGCAGGTCAAGAACTACCTCGTCGTGGTCGCTGTACACATTATGGCAAAAGTTATCGGTGGTTCAGATTCAGCTGCTGTGCAAAAGTCTTTCCTTGTGATAAGTATGAGATCATGATGCAGTTTTCCGTGAGGGTATGCTAATATAAACAGATGCCACGACGCGGCTACGGACCATCCTAATGAGCATGCGAACCGCATGATCTGGTATGTATCTTTTTTCTTAATACACTTGATATTATAGGCTAACGTCCCCAGTGGCTACTGCTCGCGAGAGCAAATCTACCGACCCGAGAATTGCGGTATCTGTCGCGCAGTCCTCATTGGAAAAGCCGGAAGCGGTTTCTGGGAAGGCGGAAAAGGGACAAGGAATAGGGTGCTGATGAGTCGAAAGGGTATGTTCAGCTTCTATCCATTGCTATTGTTTATTTACTGACAGCCAATTCAGACCCGCGCAAGTATAAGCGCCGCGGAGGAACGGCACCGGGTGGTTCCAGCTCAAAGAAATGATGAGATCTAAAAATATGAAATAAATGTATCATTCCCACGTGGAATTTACAGTTGATACCCCTGCTAAGGTCTAATTCCGTACCGCTATCAACCACCGCAACAAGTCCACAGACCACCTTAGTAGTCAATAAACCACAATTCTATCGCCATTCACCCCTGACGATTAAACTTCGTAAAACCACAGAAAATAATAAATCCAACCGAAATGACTAACGAAGACCAAGAAATCCCATCCATCCCAATATCTAACCCTATCCGTGATCGCCAAAGAGCAATATCAGCAACACCACTTAGATACTACTAACGTTCACAAAAGAAGAGTTTTCACATATTTATTCTTTAGAATGTTCATCGCAAGCCAAAAAAGAAAGAAAAAGAAGAAAGGAAGCGAGATGTCATTCTCGAATGGGTGATTAAGCTCCGATAGGGGGAATCGAACCCCCGGCTGCCGTGTGAGAGACGGCGATGTTAGCCACTACACCATATCGGATTACTTGTTGAATAATGCCTCCTAGAATGGCTACATAAGCCCAAAATAAAACTGGTCAGTTGGAGCAGTCAATGGATGGGCTTATCGTTGTGGTTGATGTTGGAATGTAGGATTATGAGATTGGTTAATACATTTTTGTCTAGTTTTATTCTAGCGCAGGGGGTGGACTAAGGAACAAGATGATTTGATTATCATACACGTTGTCAGGAATAACTGAGCAGTATAATTGCTCTCGGAATATATAGACAAGCAATCCCCTGGCTTTGTGGCGAGTTTGGTGTGTTTAAATCTATCTACAGCTACAATTCACTCATATCAATAAACTCACCTAATACGGTATATCAATGCCATATGTTTGGTAGTTGAAGTGTTCCAAATCCACCATACTTTCCCCCACCCATCATCAATCTTTCCAGCTGCCAGTCATCTCCAATCTCAATCATCCCCGTCCTCCCAGCCAACACATCCTTCTGCCTGGCCCGATACTCAACCGCCACATCAGGATGTGGTACCCAGACCACTCTCATCCCAGCACGTCTCCTAGCTTCTACCCCAATCACACTATCCTCAAAGACCAGACATTCCTCGGGTAATATTGCCTTTTCTTCAGATCCCAACGCAGAATTCAATGCCTCCAACGCAACCAAATATATATCCCGTGCGGGCTTCCCTCTCCCTGGAGGAAATACTATTCCCACGTACAAGCTTCGACAGAAGCTCCTCTACGCCACGTAGCGGCGTGCAAGTTGAGAAGTCACGTCGCATCTGCCCCTTCAATTCAAGAGTGGATTGCTCGCGGAAGATACTATCAGGTAACTAGACCCAGTTGTGGAATACCTCGCTGTTGGTCGAGTCTGAAATGGGGATCGAACTGATGGAGTGAAAGCTGGTTTTCCGTACTTTTCGAGAAGATGGCTTGTAGGTTGAGTGATTATGTCTTCGGTGCTGTTGAGGAGACCGTCCATGTCGAAGATACAGGCGCGGCTTGCGGGGAAGTAGGGAGGGTTTGTTAGTTGGTGGGTTATGGTTCTGCGTAATGTGGATGTCTTCTAGGAGGATACTGACTCTGTTCTGGGGCGCGCCATGAGTAGGGTATGAAGGTCGGGTTTGGATAGTATTGGGGATGTGATGGATGAGAGGAAGCACAGCGTAGCGTCTATACCCCGGATCGGTCCAGCGGGGGGCGAGTAGGGTTGGTTCGAAATGCAATGGCAGAGCATCACGTCTGCATATCTGCATCCCTCCTCCCCGCTATGATCGCACAGGTGACTGCATCTTCGACCATTCTGACTCCCAGTTTCTATTGTTTGTCGGGACACCTGGTTGGTCGGTAGGCGAGCATCACGGGACCTAGTCACGTTGGCCACTGTGTTGTTGTCATTTCTACCCCGCGTAGGCAGAAGCCAATCTCACATTGTTTCCTCTGCCTCGCGTCCCCAACAGGTACAGGTTCAAGTCTGGGTCTGGTCCAACCCGAGACAATCTTGTTCTCCAGAGATCAGCGGTATATCATCTCGGTCTAATGCCGCCATCCCCAGGAATCCCCATGCCTTATAGGATCCTGCATCTTATATGTAGGAGGGTTCCTACGAATATGAGGTGATCTAGCATACCTCCTTGCCCATATAAAGGGGCTTGAGCCTGCATGTTTGGCTTGACACCATGCCTTTTCATCAAGAGCATTGACCACCGAGAATTACCTCGATTCAACAATCTCCTTAACTTTTATCCCATACAGAGGCGTATTCCTTGCTGGATTTCCACTTAAGAACCAAGGCCACGAATACGCAATGACGAGTGAAGTATTACCAGAAGGTGAGTTTCAGTCTCATTGTTTTTGCAGGAACACCATACTGAAGACATTTAGCTGAACAGATGCGGCTTGCTGAAGGGCCATCTAACATGGCTACAGAAGGAATCCCTCTAGACGTTGGGTCAATACATCCCGCAACACCGAGAACTGAGATTCGGAAGGCTCTTGATCTGCCCTGCTACCTTCTCGACAAACCTTATGCAAATGAATATTTCTGCGGCCGCGAAGATATCTTGGAGCGTCTTGCCGTGGAACTCTTACCATCGAAGACTGTAGACACGGCATTAGGCACCGGTCTATGGCAGTTTGCACTCTGCGGATTTGGTGGGGTGGGCAAGACGGAAATAGCCCGCGAATTCTGTCGACGCTACAAAGCCTGCTTTGACGCAGTTTTCTGGGACTTGGCAGATGAGATTGCGAACCTTGATCACCGTTACCAGCAGATTGCGTTGGCACTAGGACTCGAAGATTCATCCGAATGCAAGAGTCAATTTGCCAGTAGAGAAACTGTGAGGGGGTGGCTGTCTAAGCCCCGAAAGCAGACTTTGGAGTCAAATGAGCTTGGTCAAGTCAGTCAAGATGATTCAGAAGCGAATTGGCTACTTATCTTCGACAATGCAGATGACATCACGATCTTGGAGGACTACTGGCCCCAGGGAAATGGATCAATTCTTATCACTAGCCGCAACCCATCAGCTAAAAGCCTGCTTACGCAAAGACCTTCCGGCCTGGATCTTGGTCCATTATCACGGAAAGACAGCATAATCCTCTTCAATCATCTCGTTACTGTCTCCGACGAACTGGAAGGCACTACAACGCGACAGACCTGCACCCCCCTGGCCATCTCACAGATGGCTGGTATTATCCGTCGCCAGGACCTCGCCTTATCAAAGTGCCTCGAGCTTTACGAGGACCATGAGGAGCATGCTAGCCTCTACGAGTCAAATTTTTATACCAATATGGTCACATATTCTCAGATTCGACAGTTATTAGAGCTAATCACATTTTTCGACCCAGATGTCATCCAAGAAGAAGCCCTGATGAAAGCATCAATGTATATGAATGGCGAGGGTATCCATTACAACAAGAGCAATTACATCGAGGCTCGATCTGATCTATTGCAATCATCTATAATCCAGCGAGATGAAGAGAAACAGCAGCTTTCAACCCACCGAGTTGTACAGAATCTCATGTTGATACTCATGGATTTCTCGAGAAAAAGCTTCATGTTTGACAATGTCGTACGAATCCTTTGGGCGGTCTGGCCATCAGCCATGCCCCAACCATCCAAGGAGCCAGATCTACCCAAGCCCAAATCGAGCGGCGGCAGGTTACTTATTGAACGATGGCCTATTTGTGCAGCTATATACCCCCACGTCCTAAGACTCCACCAGCTCTGGCCAGGCATTGCGAATCCTTCTGAGGCTACCAGTCTACTTTTCGCAAAGCTTCTCACTGAGGCAGCGTGGTACGTATACAAACCCCAGCCTTCCTTGTCGCCAAGTTATCTGAGTAAACCAGGTATCAAAAAGAACGGGGACAAACAAGACACTTCGACGGCTTCTTCGAAACCGCCCAGAATATCTGCGACTCCTCCACACACCCCGATCGGGATTCTCTGCTCGCAGACATCCACTTCTGCTTGGGCTCTATCGCCATGGACACCAACGACTTCAACACAAGCCGCTCCCACAAAGAACGTTCTCTAGACATCGTCTCCAAAATCTGCAAAGACCTGAACACCGCCGACGAGAAATTATACCTTGCCTACGCCGAGCGTGGAGTCTCACGTATCCAAGACAAACGCTACGAGGAAGGTGAAGCCGATCTTAAGGAAGCCCTACGGATTCGAAAAGCCCTCGGAAACTATGTTCCTCGATCGGCGGAGGCTCATCTCAGCCACGCTCTTCTCGCCCAAGGCAAACTTGAAGAGTGCGATACCCTTCTTCTGGACAGCCTGGCTGGTCGAGAAAAGGCCCTGGGCAGAGACGACCAGGAATCTATCCGGACTGGACTAATTCTGTATGCGCTTGGCAGTCTCCGTGCGAAGCAAAACCAATGGGATGAAAGTTTTACATATCACCAGAGAGCGTGGCAGCATATGCGCGCTACTGTGGGCGAAAAGGATATTTACGCTATAAATGCCGCCCATAAGGTTGCTGAACACCATTTCCGCCTCGGCGACAATCAAAACGCAATGTAAGTCTCTTCCACCTACATCATTAAGCCATTCGACATCTCTCTAAAAATCTTCTAGTGCCATAATCACCAGGGCCCTATCCACCTTGTCTGTTGATCAAATTGCACACAAGAACCAGATCGCGCGCACTTCCTTCCTCGAGGGCAAAGTATACGAGGCGATGGGTGAGAAGCATGAGGCGTCTCATCCTTTTCGGGTTGCCTATTGGTTTAGGAAGGAGATTACGAATGAGGATCGGGATATTAAGAGTTTGACTATGGATGACTTTGATGAGATTGTTGCTTTTTGGGCTCGTTGACCTTTTACTTTTCTTTCTTTCTTTTTGGAGTATGTTGACTGTATGCAGTCGTATTCAAATTGACCATTACGTTTTGCTGTCGTGATTGAAATCGGTTCTAGTTCTGACGAGGCGCTTCCTTCAAGACATATACAACCACAACGGCCAATTAAACTGCGCAGTAGCAGTATGATTCTAGTCATGGCCTTTAGATAAAGAACACAGAGGATACATCTTATTCAATATAGAATAGCAAGCATCATCCCTCCCGGAAGTATCTCATGAACCCTACAAGCACCCACTATCTACATGCCCATCAACCATAGCATATAGACGAACATTAACTAGATATCAATGAATATGAACAACTTGTAATGGGAATAAATTACTACCAAATCCAGTTCGTTCGATCCAGAACGGAAAATACAAAATCGTGTACTCGGCAACCAGGCCAAATGTACATCCTCCCAACCTCCCCCACCCCCCCCTCCGCCCCCGACAAGAAAGGTAAAGCATCAGACAATCTAAACCAGATTCCCCCTCAGCGCCTGCTCCCTCTCCAACGCCTCAAACAACGACCGGAAGTTCCCAGCCCCAAAGCCCTCGAAATTATGTCTCTGAATAATCTCAATAAACACCGTTGGGCGATCCATCAGATGCTATTAACCCATCGTTAGCACCACACTCAACTATCACCTCCCGCGGCTCTTCCAGAGGAAAGAAAATACCTTAGTAAACAACTGCAACAAATACCCCCCCTCATCAAAATCAATCAAGATATCCAAACTCCGAATCGTCTCAAAGTCCTCCTGCAGAACCAACCCCGTCTTCTTGAGACGAATCTTCACATCCTCGTAATACGTGTCAGGGACTTTGATAAACTCGACACCTCGGGCCTTCAGGTTCGTGATGTCCCGGATGATGTTGTCGGTTAGGAGGGCTATGTGTTGCACGCCGGCGCCGTTGTAGAAGTCGACGTATTCTTCAATCTGGGATTTCTTTTTGCCGTGCGCGGGCTCGTTGATGGGCATTTTTACGATCTCGTTGGGTGAGGCCATGACGATGGATTTGAGGGCTGAGTATTCTCTGGTTTTTGTTGTTAGGGGGTTATGTTTTATGTATGGGGGGAAGGGGAGGGGGATACGTACGTGCAGATCTGTTTATCGTCGACGGACCAGAAGCGGTGGAAGCCGAGGGCTTTTTCGTAACTGTTCCATCGTCAGCAAGACATCTTTAGGGATAAATAGGGAGGCAGAGGAAGGAACATACTATTGACAAACCCTATCCATCTCATCCCAATCCTGGTTCCCCACACAATGATCAATCCGGTTTAGATGCACACCGGGCAAGAAAGCCGTGATGGGATCCTCATCTCCACTCTCATATCGATAACCGGGCAAAAACGCCCCCCTGTATGACTTCCGTTCCAGGAGGGTGTGCGTCGTCTCTCCGTATGTCTGGATCGTGGCAACACGCACATACCCATCCTTGTCTTCGAGGTTACATGGTGCCGAGATCACCTTGGCGCCGTTGGCCACGGCAGCTTGATATACTGCGTCGACGGAGTCGACTTCGAACGAGACGTCCTTGACGCCGTCGCCGTGTTGTTCCAAGTGCTCGTGGACTTCGCGGAGAGACTTCTGCTCTTCGGGGGTGAAGCGGTCTGCTTGGTCTAGGGATCGGAGAGGAGAGGTTAGGATGAAGGTGATGTCGCCGTTGCGGACGACGTGGGAGCAGGTGGTACGGCTGCCGGTTTCGAGGCCGCTGTAGGCGATGCGCTTGAAGCCCATGCGGGTGACATAATATGAGGCGGCTTGTTTGGCGTTGCCGACGTACCAGTGGACGTGGTCGTAGCCTTTGTAGCTAGCGATGTCGGAGGTGGGTTGGGGTTGAGGGGAGGAGGGAGTGGAGATTGCGCTGGGAGCCATGGTGAGTGGTCTCTTGATGTGAAGTGAAGAAGGAAGACTCTATCAGTGGGTATAGTGTTGGATGATAAGAAGTAGAAGTATTATGCTATGGGTCTATCAAAGTGAACTGTCGGAGGGAGGGAGACCATCTTATAAGCCGGATGGGGGAGACCCTCCTGACAGCTTATCGGGAGGGTCCGATTCACAGTCTGGGATTCCGTGGATTGCCATGAATCATAATTACATTGTTTGGGAGCCCGACTGGAGCGTGGATGTTTGCAGATTGCGAGGATAGCAAAACCGCCCGTCGGGATGGCCGCGGTTGACCCCGGAAAGGCCCGGCTGTTGGCGGGTATTTGGCCGGCCGCGGGATAGCCGCGCCTCGTTTACATCATGCGAACCCCCGGCCGGCATGCATGCGGTGATTGCCACAACCCCTGGCTATCGCGCTATAAGATCGCCTCTGATAAGGCCGGCATCCACTTGATCGCAGGGTGATGTTGCCAGCTGACCACAAATACCGACGACTCCCCGGTTCATCTGATCAGTCACCACTGAGACCTTGTATATACCCTTATACCCCCCTTACCTCTTTCTCGGAGCGCAAACACCAAGTGAAATCATCCAGAAAAACAAACAAGATGGCATCCATCCAAGCCTCCAGACCCAACCTCACCACCAACGACTCCGCCGTCCTCCAAGCCCTCTTCGACGCCGAGTCGTCCCCCTCCAACGCCATCACCATCAACGCAGCCCTCCCCGCCTATCCAGCCCACGTCAACATCACCCCCGATCTCCTCCAAACCCTTCAGGCCCGCGAGATCTCCATCATCCGCACCCTCCAGTCTGAATCCACCTCCATCTCAACTATCCAACAAGCAATCCAAGACCTCGACGCCCTTATCGCCGAATACCCAACCTATCCATCTGCATACGTCAACCGCGCTCAAACTCTCCGTCTGCTTATCAATACCACCACAGCCTTATCTTCTTCCTCCGAGCAAGATAAGAAACAAGACGAAGATGAGAAGCTTTTCGCTCCCGAAAACGCTGAATATGCGTCCACGTTACTCGGCGATCTGGGACGGGCAATTGCGTTAGCGTCGCCAGTGTCGCCAGCTGATCCGGTGTCGACGGTCCAGGCGCGCTTGTTGGCCGATGCGCATACGCATCGCGGGTATCTGTTGTTGAAGGCGGCGAGGGTGAAAAAGGAGAGTAGTGGGGAAGATGCGGATGGGAAGCGGGTTGGTGGGCCGGATCGATTGCGTGGAGTGGAGCCCGGCCAGTTGGAGGATATGGCGAGTCGGGATTTCTTCTTTGGAGGAAAGTATGGGAATAAGGTTGCGCAGCAGTTGGCGGTGCAGACAAATCCGTTTGCGAAGATGTGTGGGGCGATTGTGAAGGAGGCGTTGAGGAAAGAAGTGGTGGGGGAGAGTGCGGTGCGGATTTGAAGGAAGTTTATCGAGGGGAAGCATGGCTTTAGAGTTTGGTTGCATCTGGTTTTAAGTTTCATACCCATTATGAGAAATAGAGACGTTGGAATTGGATTACTATGGTTGAATACATGACTACGCTGGTATTTGGATGTTTACCTTCTTCGTGACTTGATCATTCTGTGCCCTAGTGGTCGTCCTGGCACATCGTGTCCACATCCACTGACTTGTTCGGGTTCTTGAAGTGCCTCTGCAGGGGTTGCCAGCTGTGGGCGTTGTACTCCCCTTGCACCTTCTTGCAGGTCTTCAGGCCCCATTCGGACACTCCAACCATCAGGCAGCTAGACGCAGTGTTAGTGCACGCAGATTGAAATTACAAATATTGCTCACCTCTCGAACATAAAGGCCATGCTTCCCTCTCCGACCTTCTGCGGCTTCAACTCGGCATTGCTGGCACCTTCAAAGGCATTCTTGTCCGGCCCGTGGGCACTCATGACATTGTGCAGACTGGCACCCGCCGGCTGGAACCCTCCGCCAGTCTTGGCATCATAACCACCACAGATTAACCCCATAAATTCCGACATGGTGTTGCGGTGATACCATGGCGGGCGGAAGGTCTTCTCCGCCACCAGCCAGCGGGGCGGGAAAATGACAAAGTCGGCAATGGCCGTGCCTGTGTGGTCAGACGGGCCGGTGAGGACGGTGAAGATGGACGGGTCGGGATGGTCGTAGGAAATCGAGCCGATCGTGTTGAAGCGACCCAAGTCGTACTTGTATGGGTAGTAGTTTCCGTGCCAGGCAACGATGTCAAAGGGAGTGTGTCTCTGGCGTGCGGAGAAGAGGGTGTTGTTGAACTTGCTGTACAAACGATATTCCGATGGCTCTTCCTCGTCGTCAAAGGAAGCCACCGGGGTCTGGAAGTCTCGAATGTTGGCAAGACAGTTGGATCCGATAGGGCCCAGTTCGGGAAGCTGATAGTGGCCCTGGTAAAGCTCACAGATGTATCCTCTCACTGGTCCTGCAGGAAGAGTCACACGGTACCTAGGACATTAGACCGAGTTCGATGGAGAGGGAGTAAAGCCATGTCAGCTCACCTCACACCACGAGGAATTACGCAGATTTCGTTCGGGCGAACCAGGAGGCGTCCCAGTTCAGTTTGAATGTCCAGCACACCGTGTTGGGGCACAATCAAGAAATCACCATCAGCGGAGTAGAAGGCTTCCTTTCCCATGTCCTTTCCCGCTGCGTACAAGAGTATCCCCAGACCATGCTTGAGAGTGGGGTCCCCGGAACCAGCGACAAGGTGAAGACCATGAACCCAGTCAACAGTCTCATCTAGATCGAATGGATCCCATCGCAGCTGGTTAGGGATGTGGTGAAGCTTCTGAGTTTCTGTTGTCATATGGGTGTGGTAGGAGTCGCCATCCTCGGCCACGAAATTCTCATGAGCGGCCGCGGGGAGGATCCTGTACACCCAAGTCTGCCTATTCTCATGTCGAGGGGCGGTGAACGCAGTTCCCGAAAGCTTCTCGGTATAAAGCCCATAGGGAGCCTTCTGTGGCGAGTTCTGTCCTACAGGGAGAGCTCCCTTGATAGCTTCGGTCCTGGGAGGAGTCGGTCAGTCGGGAAAATCGGCAGACGCCACTCAAGCCTCTCTAAGACTCACTCATGGTAAGAATCAAAGCCAGTCTGGTAAGAGTAAGGATCAGCGTGCTTGAAATCAGTAACAGGCATGATGGGCAGTGGTCCAGCGCGTCAAGGGTGTTGATGGCGGTAACCAGACAGCTCGACCGAGCTAGGGAGGTTTATAAGAATTGCCTGCGATATGCGACGTGCCCCTGGTCATGTGCCTGGTGGCAAGGGAGCACGGGGTTGCACTGGTGCCTCCGCAGGCCCCCGGTTTTTCAGGACATCGCGGGATTTCATGTTCCTGACTGCCTGGAAACGGGGGGATCTGCGGGGGAGACGCGGAATTGGGACCGGTGGGGAGAGGAACAGCCACCGCCGCCCGGCTATAACCGGGTGCGGACCTCATTCCGCTACCCTCCTCTTCATTCTCCGAATGCCTCGAGAGCGATGGCGGGGTATTGCTTTTTAACGTCGGCATCGCAGTTCTCTCGGAAATGGAGAAGCTCAACCAACCTCCTCTCTTTCTCTTCAATCCTCCCGCCCTTAACCGCATCCTCCCACCATGACTTCCTGGCTGCAGATCCCCAAGAACTCGCCTTTCTCACTGGCGAACATCCCATTCGGGATCATCTCCTCGGCCAAAGTCCCATCGCGCGTGGCTGCCATTGCGATCGGTGACTATGCGTTGAACCTGAATGCTTTTGCCTCGTCTGGGGGTTTCTCTCAGCTGCCCGCAATCCAGCCCCATCTCAGCGTGTTCAGCCAGCCCACCCTGAATGCCTTTGCCGCTCTGGGCCGTCCAGTCCACCGTCAAGTCCGCGAATACATCCAGTATATCCTCCGTGCAGACACCCCATATCCTCAGGTCCTGAAAGAGAATGAGACACTCCAGAAAGAAGCCCTTCTGCCGCTATCGGAGGTGACCAACCACCTTCCCATGCAAATCGGAGACTACACAGACTTCTATGCCGGCCTCAACCACGCCTACAACCTGGGCGTTCTGCTCCGTGGACCAGACAATGCCCTGCAGCCCAACTACAAGCATCTTCCAGTCGCATACCACGGTCGCGCCTCGTCCATCGTGGTCTCCGGCACGCCCATCCACCGTCCAAACGGCCAGGTCCTGGCCAACCCTACAGCGACCCCGAAGGTCCCGACCTTCTCGCCCTGCAAGAGACTCGACATCGAACTGGAACTGGCTGCTTTTGTCAGCACGCCCAATGACATGGGCAAGCCCGTCCCTGTCAACGAGGCCGAAGACCACATCTTTGGCTTGGTGCTCATGAACGACTGGTCCGCTCGTGACATTCAAGCCTGGGAGTACGTTCCCCTGGGCCCTTTCAACGCCAAAAACTTTGCAACCACCATCACTCCCTGGGTAGTCCTTATCGATGCCTTGGAACCCTTCCGGGTCCCCAGTCTGGACCCAGAAAACCGGGAGAACCTCCTCCCCTACCTGCGTGAGAAGCGCACCGACGGCGTCTTTGACATTCCCCTTGAATTTGAAATCACCAACACGGGCGGTCAGCCTACCACGGTCTCCCGCAGCAATGCCAAGAACCTCCTGTTCTCCTTTTCCCAGATGTTGGCCCACCACACCATCACGGGCTGCAACCTGAGACCGGGCGACTTGCTCGGCAGTGGAACCATCTCTGGCACGGAACCCCAGACTCAGGGCAGCATGTTCGAGCAAACCAAGGGCAAGGAGCCCCTCAAGCTGGCCGACGGCTCCGAGCGGGTATTCCTCGAGGACGGAGACACTGTCGTCCTCCGAGGCAAGGCGGGCACAGAGGGAAACTATGTCGGATTCGGCGACTGCAGTGCCACCATTTTGCCTGCCCTCAAGCTGGAATTCTAAATTGTATCCATCGACCAATAGTACAGTGTGATAACAACCACTTATGCCTTGAAGTGAAACCAACGAATGACATTGATCCAGAAGGATCTTCCGCGGAGCCATGGAGAACTTAAAGTATAGATGTAACATCCGACCCACCGAACCATCAACCAGAACCAACACAAGTAAACCATATATCCATTCATCCCCCACCCACCCAAAATCAATCAATTTAACTACACACAATCAATCCACACAACCCCAAACACAATTAACAACACACAAACACAACACCCACCACAACCCAACTCACACCTCAACCTCAAACCCAACCCTAAACTCCCCCGGCGTATCCCCCTGGCACCTCCAATGCGCCCTCCTCACCTCCTCCACCCGCTCCAAATTCCCCCTCACCCTCTCAATAGTCGGAAACTCCCCCATCTCCACCCCCACCCTCTCCGCCCCCCAAACCGCCGGCAAAAGACACACATCCGCCAACGTAATCCTATCACCCACACTATACACCCCCGCACTCTTCGCCGCGATCTCCTCATACGCTCTGAACCCCTCCTCCACTAACTCCTTCGACCAGGTTGTTCGGTCCATACCCAGCGGCGCAACCCGCTTCAGAATCCGGAGGTTGGTGACGGGTTGCACGTCGCAGGCGATGATGTTGGCGAGGGTGCGCACTGTGGCGCGGGTTTCGGGGCAAGTGAGGGGCGGGAGGAGGGGGTGGGCTTCTGGGTATACTTCTTCGAGGTATTCGAGGGCGGCGAGGGATTGGGGGACTATGGTGGGGGTTTTGAAGGAGGGTTGGTTTTGGTTATCGTGGTGGTGGATGAGGGTGGGGACGCTGGCGGAGGGGTTTAGGGTGGTGTTTGGTGTGGAATGTTGCTCGTCTTTTAGGAGGTTGATGGGGATGGATTCGTAGGGGAGGGATTTTAGATTCAGTGCGATGCGGAGTCGCGCGGAGCAGGAGGAGCGGAAGTAAGTGTGGAGGGTTAGGGGGGTGGTCATTTTGGGGTTTGATGTTGATGTGAGGTTGGTGTTGAGGTTGGTGGTGGTGGTGGAAGAAAGATACATGTGGTTGAATCAAGGTATGGTTATATGGCTATGGCTACGGTTACTGTACTACCTGGTTGAAGCGGAGGCGCGGAGGGCATGGGCCGCTGCGGAGAGTGGTACGGTACCTGCGCGTGATGGTTCACGGGTGCATCTGAAGGAATTAAGGTATGGGTTGCACTCATGGTTATGATTCTCCTTGGTTGTTTTGTAGAATCATATGCCTTTGGGTGTATAGAGGCGGAAGGGTTCCGTTGCCATAGAGGTCCGAGCAGAAGCGGGTGCCGCATCTTCCCGAGGTCTCTAGCCACATGACCGGGGCTGAACAAGGATATTCATGGACAATAATGGCTTAGATCCGATTCTCCGCTTAATATCCTTCCTATTGATGGGGGTGGGATCCCATGGTCTACCATCCCGGTTCCCGTGTCGGAGCGACTGGTTCCACGGGAAGATTGACGTCACGGCAATCTGCCTGGGAACAACTGGCTTGTTCGAAAGACGTTCTAGACAGGATTCAAACTGGATACGTGGAAGTCAAATCTGCTGCATTGTTCTGCCCCTGACATGCAGCGCCGCATTCGATACAGAGCCTGATAACAACCAGGGTGATGCTGGATTTGTGCAAGCGATGACATAACATGCAGCTGGTCGGAGACCCTCGGGACACCCCTCGATGACACCATGAGCAGCAAATACGTGCCGCTTCTGACACCATTTTATCTTCGAGAATGCGATTGGAAATGCGGCTAGTCTGTGCTATCCAGTGCTATCCAATTATTGGGATCCATCGAGGTCAGGTGTCCGATTTCTTTGTTCGCTCCGGTGAAGCGCCGGATGTTTTGTTCCTCCGCCACGGAAAATAACGGGTATTTGGCAGCTCCCCACCACCCCTTTTTCTGCCCGCCTGCAATATGCGCTCCGGATGGACCTTCGATACCCGCCCAGATCTAGCCCTTTTCTAGCCAGCCCGCCAGATATCCGGACTTCCTATTGCGACCTCATCTTATCACGACAATGTCATTGGTTGGGCCACCTCTCTCACAATAATGGAAGTTAGGGGCCCGTCCCGCAGCGGGGAGGTTTCGAACCGGGCATACCAGCGGACCTACAAGGCCTGTCTGTCCTGTCGCCAGCGAAAGGCGAAGTGCGATCTGGGTACCGACTCCGAGGGCCTCCCGGTGGGCCCTCCATGTGCCAAATGCCGCAGGGAGCAGAGAGAGTGCGTGTTCAGTGAGAAGAGGGCCTGGGAGAGGAAAGGCAAGCGAGGTGGGTGGCGTGGATACCTCGGTGGCGGCTGTCAAGTCAGGATGACTAACATCTGAAAGGTCCATCTGAGGATATTGTGTCACCCTCAAGAGTACGCCGAAGGCTGTCGGGCACTCCTAGACGTAGCAGGGATGTCCCGGACGACGTACTCCAGGTGGTTGACGACGGCCCAGTTCACGACGATGACAGGCACGGGGACGACTTTGAAGGACCGCAGCAGCCATACATCCCCGAGGAACGCCGTGGTCGCCGTCACTCCACGTCCACACTGGCAAATTCCATGATGCGCACTGTGGTCTCATCCGGGAACGATGCGCTGAACATCCTCTTCGAGGCGGCCGCGGTTCATAGCCAAGAGAATAAGTCAAATGGGTCTGGAGCTCAAACACGAAATACGCAGACTTCTACTGCACAAGCTAGCGACGTGGACAACTCCGGAGATCAATCGCATTTCATGTATGCTGCCGAGGCTCTAGCCAAGGCGAAGCGTCCAGTGAAGCTCTCGCTCGTCTCGAAAGAGGTACTCAGCGTTTGGGAATCTTGTCGCTTCGTCAAGATGGGATGGTTTACTTCAAGAGAGGCGGTCACACTGATTGATATGTTCGTATAATCACTTGAGCATGTTGTCAGAGATGACTAACAGGACCAGGTTTTTCAAGAACATGACACCGCTATCTCCCATCTTGACAAATTTCTATGCGGATCATAATAATCACCGCTGGCTTGTGACACGCGAACCTGTTCTCTGCTGTACGTTACTAATGTTGTCATCGCGGTACCATGTCCTGCCCGGGGCCGGCGGCGAGTCTAGGAACTTCTTCATTCATCATCGGCTGTGGCAGCATTGCCAACAGCTGGTGGTGCGGCTGATATTTGGGCAAGAGAGATCGTCCCATACTCGGATCAGGAGTATCGGCACAATTGAGGCCCTTTTGCTAATGTCAGAATGGCACCCTAGATCTCTCCACTTTCCGCCCGAAAGCGACGGATGGGACGCTGACATAACGTTGGCCCCAGAGCCCCAAGAATCGGAAGCCTCGTCGGCTGGTAGATGGCTCGAGGATATGATCGAGCCAGCTAAGAGATCAGACCAGATGTCCTGGATGTTGCTCGGCTCTGCGTTGTCCCTAGCCCATGAACTGGGCATCTTTGAGCTGGACGACAAGAACTGTGACCACTCTTCCGTATACGAAGGGCTCATATCCGATGACCAGATAAAGCTTCGCAGACAGCGGGTACAACGGCTGTTATATGTATATATCAACCAGCTAGCCTGGCGAATAGGCTGCGTATCACTTATGCCACAGAGCCTAAACCATGCGATTGCAGGTCGACAAACAAGTAGGGCTTTAAGTCAGCCGGGGGACGAGTGGCTAGCGTTTATGGATTCTTGGATGGATCTTACCAAACTGGCCAAGTCGGTTACTGACACGTTCTTTCCTACTGTATCGTTTGCAAGGCAGCAATTGCATAGTGGAAGATATATCGATCTGTTGGACCATTTCCGTACACTACTCATCAGATGGAAAGAAGAACATCTCCGACCACAGGGTAAGACATAGTTCCTATCTACCAAAATTAATGCTTCGTGGGCCCTTATCGGGCAGCACTAACATGTCTCCAGTGCTAAGCAGACACTTTTTCGATATTCTGTTCATAGAATACCACTTTGTCCGCGTCTATACACACTCGGTTGGGATGCAAGCGGTTGTGGAACGTGCCGTTGCAGACAGTGATCCGAATGTGGAGGATGTCCGGGCCACGAGCATTGACCCGATTGACTATGAATATATCCAGGAAGTCATTGACGGCTGTTGTCAGATACTACAAAAGGTGGCCCAACTAGGTGAAATCGGAGCCCTGCGATTTTCTCCCGTCCGGATATTCCTTCGGGTCACCAGCTCTTCTATATTCTTGATGAAAGCCCTCAGCTTGGGGACCCGACCCGCAAAGCTCTGTGAATCGCTGGACATCCTCGATCGCTGCGTGCAGGCGCTTAAATCTAATGCACTTGATGATATTCATCTGAGTTCGCGTTATGCTGCGTTGCTAGAAATGCACGTGTCGCGCCTACGACGCAACTTATTCGCCTCCTCCAGGTCGACGAAGCATAGCTACAGACCCACTACGCAACAATCCATGGCACCTTCCCACAGCATGGATAACGACAATGGTCCCATGATGGACGTCCCTGTCTCGCAGCACATGGCAGATGTGAGTTTCATTCCATCATTAAGTGGTGTCGCCGCCGACGACTGGCTTTCCTTGCCATTTGACCCGTCGATGGCGCCGTTTGGAATCAGTACGGGTGGACAATTTCCGGCCTATGAAGGGGGGGCACTGAACTTCATTTGGAACCTGCCATCATAACATTCCTGTTCTTGTAGATAGCAACACCAGGGAGTGCCGGATCACTTCATGGGATTAAAATAGCCATTTCAAATGCATAGGCCTCGGTCTGGTGAAAGCCAAACAAAGGCTGAAAACTTTAACCTGCATATCCCGGCTGATTTATTTTTTCTTAATGTCATTCCGACGTCTGAAGGCTTTGCCACAGCCACGAAAAGCAGGACGGCGTCTGTTTGGATGCACGGATGGGACTTTCCGGGTGGTTATCTGCACGTGACCGCGTCCCCCATCAGAAGTCACGTTTTCCGGGCGAAAAAAGCCAAAAACTTACTGTCGCGATCCGCCGTCTTCTCCGTCCCCGACCCCAGACTCTGCTTTAAAACAGCATCCAGCCTGTCGTTTCGACGTCGACTTCTCCATCACCCCCCGATTGCCCCGTGAAGCCTACCACCCGACGATCCAATATCTCGTTCCCAGCGTTCCGACAGCCGTCCGGATAAGCTTGGAATCGCCTTCCCTCGACCTACACTTCCTTTGATCCGTGCAGCTCGACCAGGACACCCGTTCCTCGAGCTTACGATCCCGCTCGCCTTCCTTCTTCCTTCCCGGTCCTCTCTCATTTCTTCAGATTCGACATGGATCACTCCAGAGACCCCTGCCCCTGGGTTGCCCTGAGCGACTTCGGTGGTGCTTTCTGCATGGGTGTACGTCACAGGTCCCAACTTTCAACTGTACTTGTTCCAAGGTCGAAAGCTAAGTTCATACTGCATCTATAGGCAATTGGTGGTGCAGTCTGGCACGGTGTGAAGGGTTTCAGAAACAGCCCCTACGGAGAGCGTCGGATAGGTGCTATCACAGCTATCAAGGCTCGCGCGCCCGTTCTCGGTGGTAACTTTGGTGTTTGGGGTGGTATGTTCTCGACGTTCGACTGTGCGATCAAGGGTATCAGAAAGAAGGAGGACCCCTACAATGCTAGTACGTTTCCGCCAATCCTTGGATACATCGATTTCCTGCAATTTGGGCATTTGTCTAACGTCTCATAGTCATTGCTGGTTTCTTCACTGGTGGTGCTTTGGCTGTCCGTGGTGGTGTCAAGGCCGCCAGAAACTCCGCCATCATGTGTGCTGTCTTCCTGGGTGTGATTGAGGGTGTCGGTATCGGTTTCCAGAGAATGATGGCCGATAACACGAAACTAGAGGTGAGATAATTGCCCCCTTCCTTCTGGCTACTCGGCATGAGAAGGTTACGCCTCCCTGTTGAAGCTTATTGAATACTGACTTGCCACCGATTTAGCTTCCTCCTCCCCCTCCGTCCGACAAGGCCATCGCTTAATTCACCAATCCCTTCACGTTAAGACCTACGATTTCCCCCGTTGTCAGCAATATGCTCATATTATTTATATTCCTCTCGTGTCTCTCTTCTCTGGTGTTGGGCTGGGTCATATCATTTCAGGATGCATGGTATAGAGGTTTTCGATTCATGCTTCGATCCCTTCTCTTCAATTTCTGTGAGAAAAAGGGTTTTGCCGGCGATTTTGGACTGCGCAACCTTGCATCCCCATGTATTTCTGCTTTGCCGGAGGCGAAAAGAGAAGTCTCGGCGCCCATCTTCGGTTCTGCCAGAGATGTGTCTTTTTCTTGTACATTAACATGCAATTTACAGGTGTAATGTGATATCGAACTACACATTATCCCTCTTTTAGTGGTCTGGTTTGGGGGAATGGTTTGGGGGAGTTGGGAAGGAGAGTTTCGTGACATTTCCGACGCACCCGATAAGCTTTCGACACTGTCGATCGATCGATCCTAGCTTTGCCACGGTCAGCCATCCTGATCCTTGGTCCAGCTTAACCCATGCCGAGGCTACACTTGTCTCAACGGAGTGAGATCGACATCTACCAATGACCATTGTAACGAACACGAATTATCGGACGTTCCTTGGGACGGAGGAGGTTTATGTCGGGACACTCTAGCCTTGTCTTGTAGTGAGGGGGCTTTTATCCTGTAGACGTGACAGCGAATGGCAAAGTAGGGTTGCTGTTCTGGCTACACTATCTAGGAGTTATAGAGTGTGACCCACTACCCCTTCTAAAATCACCTTACCTGACATGATATAGCTTGGTGGCCATCATGTCAGGATGATGCAGTGCGGGGATATAAGTCCCGGGTATGGGGTGTGATACAGTGCTTCGATCATGGCTTCGAGGACTAGGAAATTTTTGCTATACTATTAAAGGCTTGGTGGAGTGTACCTTGCCTGGGTTTAGTATTTGGAAGGATGTTAATAAGAATGTGGGCATCTGTGTGGTGTTAATACATTGTGGAAGCCGTAGGGAAAATATATAGATTCCAAGCATAGTCTGGTAAACTATACATAAGCACATTCATGTTTCTGCACAATATGTCATCATCAGTGATTGGGAGATAATACTCATCATGATGTCAGAAATGGAGATTTGTGAACAACCATTAACGAGAAAGAAGAGAAAGAAGAGAAAGTCAAAAAAAAACAAAGAGCAGATGATTGATTGACCATGGAGCAAAAGTAAAAAGGCAAAAAAGAATGATTGAGCTCCGATAGGGGGAATCGAACCCCCGGCTGCCGTGTGAGAGACGGCGATGTTAGCCACTACACCATATCGGATACTTGTTGACGAAAACACTTTTCTATGGTTACAATAGGCAAAAAAAAGAGTTAGCCTGTAAAATATGCTGAGGCATCGTGTTTCGAGTCTTTATGGCCGTTGTTGCTTTTTTTTAATGTACATATCTGTCGTTTCTCACAGGTGCAATCTACGTTAATCAAGAAGAGGGCACATTGAATGCTGATAGCAATCCAAATTTCAATCCGCCTTTGGATGCAAGTTCCCGGCGCGAGGCATTGGCCTTGAGAATCATGGCATTTCCGATCCTGCAACCCCTGCATTCCCAGGAGACGCTGGAATATGCTGGAATCGATCTGCTGGATCAATTTTTTAACCTTGATGTCCAGGCCGATGGTGTCAAATGGGCGGCCTGGGACCAGGGCGCGAGGCTCTTAATCCCCACAGACCAAAGCTTGGCGGTTCTTTGCTCGATCGTCACGTTCTCTCCTCACTTTTCCCTCGTGTAATTCTTCCCCCTCTCCCCTTCTTCCTTACTTGACCATCTGCAGCTCCAGTTGCGTCCCCGACGGCCTATCCTACCACTGCCTATCCTCTCTCCATTGTCGCTGCATTTCTGGCCCTTTCTGGTCATGCATTGAGCTGCAGCACTCCAGTGAATCCCTTCTCTATCTTCCCATTGAACGCGTCCCTCCAAGTGTCACCATACCGCTCCCACTCTCTGCCGGCTCAAACCCCGCGTCCCTGTGAAACATGGATGAAGGCACGTCTTCTCGTCCGACAGAAACCCCCGAAGGCTCTGCTGGTGGGGATGATAACAACGCCGCCTCGGCTGCATCGAAGAACCCGGCTCTGAAGGATCGGAAATGCCAGTATTGCCATCAAGCGTTCACCTCTTCGTCCCTCGGTCGCCATCTGGATCAGTTCCTCTTTAAGAAAAAGCCAGACGGCGTTCACGATGTCGAGGAGATCCGGCGCATTCGGAGCGGCATCACTCGGCGACAGGCCCGTACCTCGTCTGGTAGACGGGATACCCCCGAGCGAGCTACGAGCAAAGGCCAGCAGGACACGTACAATGCCGGCGAATCGGGGATAAAATCACGCGAGGGCGCGTATAGAATGATGTTCAACACGCCCACGTGGCATGCGACCGGAGTGATCAACGATATTCCCAACCCAAGCCAGTCGCAAGATAGTAGCTCGTCTCAGTCGCGCATTGCGCCCTCGCAGTCACGGACTGGACCCTTCTCGTATCCAGAAAGAGGTGGTTCAAACAACCCAGACACCATGAGGGCATTGGAGCTGGCATTGCGCGAGGTCCTGGACAACATCAAAGCCGCAACGTACGTACCTTGCCTGACACATCCCGTTGCGCGCCTCACCTAGGAGCATGGCCATTCTACGATGAGCCCCAAAGCTGACAGTTGGTATACTATATAGTTCAAGAATGCGCCCTAGACTCTCCCCGTTCGACTTCGACATTCAGACTCAAACATTCCCTTCCCTCTGCTTGCAGCTGCTGCCTCCTCCACCCAGTCTTTTCGCAACAAGCCCATTCCCATCTCCCTCGTCATTCCCCCTCCAACCTCCAGGAGTGGAACATCTCGACATCATTCGACAGGCGCTTCGCGCAAAAATCGACCAATGGCAATCCGACCAGCGAACCGCCGAGTCCAACAGCAACTCCCAGTCAGGAAGACCAAGCCTCGGCTTAGACTCCAACATGATCGGTCGGAGTGCGCAGCAACATGAAGAACTAAGTCTGAGACACCTGGAGCTGGCATTCAAGCACTGGGTCTCAATGCCTACGGATGCCCGGAGAGACGCATGGCAGCTTGAAATCACTCGCGCATTCGCCAGGGAAATGGAGAAGCGAAAGTCTCTCGACGACCAACTCGCGCGCGTCCAACAGGAGGCGAACCAACTTCGCGCCCAGGTAGAACGCCTAGGTTCCTGCCAATGGCCGAGGGAATTTGCAATCTTCCCTCCCGACACGCTCCCACTACCACGGGACGTAGCCAGGGAACTCGACACAAAAGAGAGCCAAATCAGCCCGACCTCCTCTCGCTGGGACTACGACAACGTCGTCGCAAAATGGAAACGAGTCGTCATGCACGACAGAGGCATGGGCCGCGTCGGTATCGGCCACGCAAACAACTTACAGGAAGACTACCACGGCACAGAAAACAGACACACCATCACCGACGAGTCAACCCGCTCCAGGACCTTAAACCCCCCGCCAGCACTGAGCCCCGGCCCATCGCCCTCAAACACCAGCGTTGGCGGCGCCTCCGCTCCCCCAAGTCAACAAACCTCGCCCTACCTGCAACACGACCACACCCGGAGCCCTGATGCAGGCCCGCAAGTCAAACGACCACGCCTGATGAACGGCCATCACACCAGCAACGCGCCACACGTCCCCGACAGCGGCCCCAATTCCACCCCCACGAATCAGGGACCCCCCAGTGCGCCTAGCAGCTCCTGGACAACCGCCACCACCGCCCAAACACCCATCATAACTTCCAATTCTGCCAACCATGCAGGTCCTACGCCCCCGCCTTCTTGTTCTGGATGATGATGATGATTGACATGTCTCCGAATCAGCTCCCGAATAAAGAAACCCTCTCGACACCGTGCATGTCTTTGATCAATGTCCCGTGATGGATCCAGCCCATCCATTTCATGCTGCGTACGACTCGTGTCTAGATTGAGATGGACTATCGCATCTATCTATCTATCCGTCCAGCTATCTATATTATCGATGCCAAACAAAACCTATCATACATCCATTTGCTGTATGTAAATATCCAACATTGCATTGCCCACATTGCATGTTTTTTTATTCAACAGTTATCTCCCTACCTACCTACCAACCTACCCCAAAAGCTCTTGACGAAGGATCTGGTTCTTTGTGCGTGTGTGTGTGTGTGCTTCTGGAGTCATAGCATTATGACCCCAATTGGGAAGGGATACAGAAGTAGTAAGGTCCTACATTATTACTCATGTGAAATTAGGTACAATCAATCAACCAGAACCGAAAAGTACATGATACTGAACTTGTGTGCAACTGTCATAACAGTCTAGGAGGGGGAGTATAGGTAGTCGATGATATGATATGATATATGGACGCAATCAGATTTTCGCAACCTTCTTCGATTTCCGTGCACCCAGACCTCGCTTCATGTTCCTGATGCCGTGGAGATAGAGCCACGAGAAGAAGAACACGGCCATGAAGTTGAATATCACATAGGCCCAGAATATGCCCTATTGGAGGGTCGGTCGGGTTAGAGGGGGTTTTGGTTGAGGGGGGCGGGAATGAACTCACATAGTTGCGCCACTTGTGCGAATAGAATACGTTGAAGCTTGCAGCCTATAGAAAAAAGGATTAGTGTCTGGATCGCAGGGCATCGTTGAAATATCCGCAGGTTGAGGATGAACTTACAAAGTTATCGCCAACCGAGTACTGGCAAAAAGCACACAGACCGTTTCCTGCATCTTGAACGTACCCGCCTACCTGGCTTGCGTATGATCCAGCGTATTCCTGACAAGTCATTCCGCTAGGAGGAGTGAATTGAGATTCCTCCCTGGAGACGCAGCGGAGGGGAACACCATGGACGACGACCCCCAGGAAGCCTTCCAGGAGGTAATGGAACGGGGTGAGCCAGTACATCCAGGACCTCCAGAAGGTGTTGAGGCCGTTGTATGGGACAACAACACCGCAGAAGGATAGGACGAACGTGAAGAAAGTCGGGACGAGGAGAGAGGCGAAGAGCGGGTTTGGTGAGAAGGCCGCGATAAATTGACCGAGGCCGACATAGAACAGCTCGAACAGCATGAGGAACATCCAAATGAAACCGGATCGGAACGAATCCCGCGGGAACCAAACACCCCAGTACCTAAATTGGGTTAATCTTCATCTCTGACCAGGAATTTAAGACTGGTGCATATCGCATATACTTACCAGCAGTTGAAGTAGATGGACCCTGCAACGACAGAATACGGCAATTCTGGAAAGATGGCGCTCGTCACAAATGCAACCCATGAGTATATCTTTGAATTGGCTTCCCGTGACTGATATAGATTGCGGAAATGAAGAAATCGTGGCTGCAGCTGTTGAATCAGCGGTGGCGCTATTGTGAGCGTCATGAAAATGGAGAACATTCGCGACTGCATGTCAATGTAGCTGTTCCCTAGGTGCCAGAAAGTAAACGTATTGAAGAGTCCGGTGAAAATATGGAGCAAAAATTTGCCCTGTCAAGAAATTAGGGTCATATGTATAGTAAAAGGCGTTGGGTCACTTACAAGGGCGTATTGGGGTGTTCGCCAGTATGCGACGAAACTTCGTTTTGTAACAGTGAGGACTTGCACCCAGATGGGCATTGCATACTCGCGATTATCATCTTTTCCTTCTTCGACTTCTTTGTCACGGCGCTCCTGGACGAGGTTCTCGATTTCGTGTGAAAGCTGCTTGTACTCTGCGGATCTGGCCCAGACCTCGCCCCAATCCTGTCCTTTATACTCCGGGTTACCAGCGCCGATAACATCGAGCATGTACTGCTTCGAGTTAGCATTTGATAGGAAGAGACTTTTAGTAGTGGTGTACCTCTGCAGGGTTCTCACGAGGGGAGCATTTCCTAGCCCCATTCTGCTCGAAATACTCGATAAGCTTCTTAGAGTCCGTGCCCAGTTCACCGTTGTAGACGACCCTTCCCCCACTCTGCAACAACAGTAGCTCATCAAACTGTTCAAAAAGAACGGCAGAAGGCTGATGGATTGTGCACAAAATGGCCTGTCCAGCATCGGCAAGGCGTCGAAGAAATCGTACGATGTTGTAAGCCGCCAAAGAGTCCAGTCCAGATGTCGGCTCGTCTAGGAAAAGCAGTAACTGAGGTTTACTTGCCAGTTCAACTGCGATGGTAAGCCTTTTACGTTGCTCTGCATTCAAGCCAGCGCCTCCAGAGCCGACTATAGCCCCTGCAATTGGCCTCATCTCTAGCAGATCAATTATCTTTTCGCAGTAGTCGTACTTTTCTTGGATAGGGACTTCCTTTGGCTGACGAAGGAGTGCCGAGAACTGCAGCGACTCCCTCACAGTTGCTGTAGGCTCATGAATGTCCATCTGCTCAGCAAAACCGGTCGCCCGCTGGAAGCTTTTAGGGAGAGGCCTGTAAATGTAAGCGATTGCCGTCGGAGCAGCCTTCCAGTGACACTCACTTTCCGTCAACAAGAAAGGTCCCCGAGATGACCCCGAAATCTATCCGCTGTGCCAAAGTATTGAGAAGTGTGGTCTTTCTGGGAGGAAGATTAGCATCGGGATATATATCAAGCGCACACGAAATACAAGGGCTAGCTTCACCCACCCGGCCCCAGAAGCACCCATCAGTGCTGTAAGCCGACCTGGCTTGACATATCCTTGCACATCCTGTAGCAGCTTCCTCTGCCCACCTTTGTAAGGGATTATGTAGTCTACCCCCTGCCAGGTAAAGACCGATGTGCTTCGTGCGATCCCTTGGACCTCATTGCCGGAGTTGTTTGACTCCTTCTCCTGCAATCCGTTGCTCGTCCCTGCCTCTTTTCTTCCCGCTTCTACATCCTCTGGTAGCTCCTTGTGTTTGATAGCCTCCTCGACAACTTTTGGTGCTTCGCCCCTCTTGAAGATAGTGACTGTGCTACCTCCCTTGTTGGGCTTCTGAAGCTCCATTCCCAGCATTGTCAGAAACACGAAGAAAACAAACCAAGCTATGACGATGCCGAAGTTTCGCCACAAATGTGATCGACTGTAAGTGAAAGCAGATCTTATATAGTTGGATCCTTGGACGACCAGCTGATCTGGAGTGCTCCCTTGTATCGCACAGACTTGGTTGCCAGGCCTTGCGCTGGGGCCATCCGGGAAGATGGACGGTGAGACACATTGAAGATTCAAATCGTAGAACTCGTTCGACATGATCGCTTCAAATGCGTACTGCAATGGGTTGATCCATATCAACCATCTGAGCCAAGGATGCATCTTCCATGGAGGAATAAGATAGCCTGATTTTGTTCAGCAAACGAAGGTGTTCGGCGGACTAAGGTCTCTTACCGGTATATACAATCAGTGCCTGAACTGAAACTCCGGTTATACGTGTGGCTTTGTAACCAAGTCAGTGATTATCATAAAATCGAGAAGATAGCCATACCAACGTCGAGCGAAGCACTCAGTGCTCCGATAGTCCGGAAGAAAGAATACATTGTCATGGTAAGAATGAAAACAAACAGAAAATTGATAAAAAACTGAGATGCAGTCCTCGAAAGATTAGACATGCTAAAAGTGGTGGTCAGACGTGATCAGCAATGGCTCAGAAAAGGTTGCATACAAGTATACTATGAGCTCGAAAATGGTAACCTGAACAAACACAATAGGCGCATCGACGACCACTTGAGCCAAGGCATATGCTGATGGACGGTAGAATGAGCTAGAAGAGTTAGTCTATGCTTGACAACGAATGTGCTATCTGACTTACAAACTCTTATGTTTCAACATGATGGGTCGGCTCCAGAATAGGGAGGTGAGCTCCGCCATGGCAAGTAGAGCGTTGAACAAGAGTACGTAAAACATGACACCTCCTCTTGTAAAGACACCGGCACTAACATGCTTGTCAGTCAAATTAATGTGAGCCCGTATTGGCAGATTAGGACTGACCTAGTCGGAGGCAGGTTATAGAAGAGACTTCCAATGATTAGTGCCTGGAACGTGAGCATCGCCCATTTCCCAATCAGCGTCTGCTTATCGCCATACATGATGAGGAATTGCCGCTGGGTGAGGATGAGGACCTGCTTGTAAAACGGAACGGTATAATTTTGCTTCGAAAGTTTCTCTCTGGCATGGTCTCGCATCTCCCGCTGCGATTCGATTTCTCTTTCAAAGTCATTAGTATCTGCTCTGGCAGACTTATATATATCACTCTTCTGATATGCTTTTTGGAAGTCTTCCCCCGAACGGGGAATCCGGTCATCCCAGCCTTTCTTGACACGTCGCGCATATGGGTCACTGACGGACGTCAAGAAATCTGGCGTTGTCCATCGAGGAGGGCACTCGAATCCCAGACGCTCGAAGTAAGCTTTTGCATTCTCAGTGCGACCATAGTAAGCGCATTTCCCGTCCTCAATTAACATGACTTTGTCAAAAAGATTATAGAGATTTTCCGAGGCTTGGTAGAGAGCCACGAGGGTGGAGGCATGTGACATGTCTGTTGAGCTCCTCAAGCTTTGCACGTACTCCAAAGCCGTACTAGCATCAAGGCCTTTGGTAGAATTATCCCAGCATTGGGTGCTGGCCCTCGTAATCAGAGCCTCGCCAATGGACACACGTTTCTTTTCTCCGCCAGAAACTCCACGAATGAGTTCATTGCCGACTTTGGTACCAAGTGCATGTTCTATCCAGAACAACTTGGCGATTGTCGTTAAGAATGTTTCTTGATAGTGCTTCCTGCTTTCACCAGGCAATCTTGATGATTTTTCTGGAGTCCTTGTCTTGAGGGCAAACATCAAGGTGTCGCGTACAGTGAGCGTTGGGTAGTGAAGGTCGTCTTCAGGATTGTACAAAACCTCCGAACGGTATTTGTCTGCCATTATTTCGGCATCTGCTCCTCCATAGCGAACATCACCTTCAACACTTTTGTAGCCCGATCGCTGGTTCCCAATAACTTTTAAGAATGTCGAGCACCCGGACCCCGGACGCCCAAGTACTAGAAGCATTTCCCCAGGCCGGACACAGCCATTGAAATCATCCAGGATGGTTCGCAGTGGTGCGCCCCTCCTCGCTCCCGTCAAAAGACCTTTTATTAACCTAGGTAGACCCAAGAGAGTATCCGTGATAGTGGGCTGGAGGGCCGCCCCCAAGCCGACACCTTTAACAGTCAAATTCTTCCACACCACACCAAGATGTCTTGTTTTTCCCTCGTCTATATTGGCCTTTCTTTCCTGTCCGAACATTCGAGAGACAAGCCTTGCTATTTGGGCCGTATCCTCAGCTCCTCCACCCCCGGAGCCAGACCCAGCGCTACGTCGTTTAGAAAGGACGCGAGCAATGTCCTGTTCCGTGAGCTGTCTCTCAAGAGACGATTGCTGTTGGATCACATCTTCGTCCGAGACTTGGTGTGCAATAGGGATGGCGGAGTCCTTTTTGGACAACCCCGAACTAGGCGATGCGGTCGAGCTCAGATCCGACGAAGAACCTTGTACTATTTTGTCTTCTCCCTTGAAGACAAATCCCGGCTCGCTGCGAGGGGAGCGCCCCGAGTCCATGGCGAGTTTGGTGCGATGTTAGAGGCCGAGAGCGCAGGGCATCAGTGAAAACAACAACGGAGACAGCACCCGATAATCGCTCATATTCCAGGTCAAGAAAGCAAGACCCCCAGGCAGGTCACTAGCGAATGCCGGTAACTTATTTGCGCTCTGACTCGATTATCACTACATCTTACGCCAAGTACCGGCATGATCGGAGCTTGGTGAAGGCCGATGCAACTTCAACCTAACCTCAAGCTTTCAGCCACCCACACGATGTATGGTTCGGGCATGATGAGGACCGAGAGGCCAACCATAGAGATCGAATGATCGTAGGGCCCTTATCGAGGCAGGTGCGGGTCCAAGGAAAGCTGTGGGGGAACCCTGGCTGAACCCTGGGTCGTGATGTGATGTAGTAGATCGCTTCCGCGGATCATGGTGAGGTCATCATCTGCGGAAATTCGGCCAAGTCGGAGACCGAGTGCAGTCCCGATAGGCTGGATTGTCAGTGAATGAAGCAATTGCAACAAAGAAGAGAACCGGTTCTGTCTACCGTACTTACGATGTGAGGCCTGGCATAGCTGCGGTACGAGATGAGACTGCTCAAGCTCTCGGGAAAGCTTGGGTCGTTGGATAAATAAGGTTGTCCTTTATAGATCGGATGATTTGAACCCCCTCGTTGAAAAGTTTCCATTACCTGCTGGAGCTTTTTGATGGAATTGATTGGAGTGCAGTTGTGACTATGAGGTGCAAAGGAGGGAGAAGAAGACTTGGCCGGGAGCAGCCCCTCTATTGCCGAGTCACGCCCCTTCCCTCTTGCACCTTTCCTTTTGCTCCAAGTCACCCAATGCCAAGTGTTTGATCCCTCTAATTTCCCGCCATTGAGACCGAATCAAATACTTCGGGTTTCCAGAGACAAGGAAAACAAGGGCTTTCTGTTTGAGGATTCACCGGATCAATGAATCAGGCACCTAGACACTATGGATATTTATCCAGACTCCCCCGCACATGCAGATCGATCTTCTCTTAAGATTTCAAGATGGATGTTTTCCACCAGTCTGCTGCAGCTAATCCGGCTAAATGGCTCAAGTCAACTGCTGGGAAGCCCAAGTATTGAAAAGCAGCCCTTTCGCAGTCAACAGAGCTTGTAGTTGCACCGAAGTAGCAGATTTTTGCAGCCATTCTGCCGGCTTTCACAATGCGTTCGCGAATCCTTTACCTAGGGCTACTGGCCATCAGTGATACTGTGGCTGCTGTCTCCAATACTGCGAGTTTCACGGCTTTAGCACCTTTGACAACAACCCTGAACATTACTGTAGAAGGCACGGTTCCATTATAAACTGCTCCCAAGTACAGACCAATCTAACAACGATCCAGATCTTTGGAACATTTACATAGGACCAGTCCAGACTGCATCTATCAACACCACTGTCGAGCCTACCCCAATCCCATCCGCTCAATTAATCCCACCTCCCCAGCTCTACTACCCATCTTATCTCCCAGGAGCCCAGATCCCCGGCCTGGGCAAAAATGAGAGCTGGTCCTTCCCCAAGGGATTCTGGTGGGGTGTCTCAGGAGCCTCATATCAAGTCGAAGGGGCCGTCAAAGCAGATGGCCGCGGCCCTAGTTTATGGGATGCATTCACCCACCGAGCCATGAGCGTCGCCGACAACCAAACCGGAGATGTTACCATCAACGAGTATTACCTCTACAAACAAGGTACACCATCCCTTCACCCCTGCCCTCTCCCCCCTACCAATCTAACCACCCCATGCCACAGACATCCAACGCATCGCGGCCATGGGCGTCCAAGCCTACTCGTTCTCCATCTCCTGGTCCCGAATCTTCCCCTTCGGCAACGGCCCCATCAACGAAGCCGGCCTCAAACACTACGACGACGTGATCGACACCTGCCTGCAATACGGCATCCAACCCCAAGTAACAATCTACCACTGGGACCTCCCACTCTATCTCCAACTCTCCTACGGCGGCTGGACCAACGAAAAAATCGTCGACGACTACGTCGCCTACGCCAAAGTCCTCCTCGAGCGATGGGGCAACAAAGTCTCGCAATGGTACACCTTCAACGAACCCATCTCCTTCTGCGGCGAATACCCCGTCCCCTCCAACCACTTCACCATCACCACCACCATCCCCTCCATCCAACAACCCTACTGGTGCGGCCACTACATGCTCCTCGCCGCCGCCAAAACCTACCACCTAGCCCGCTCCCTGAACATCACCGCCCCAATCAGCATCAAAAATAACGGCGGCTACAAACTCCCCCGCACCGCCTCCGAAGCAGACACCCAAGCCGTCCAACGCGCCTGGGCCTTCAACGAAGGCTGGTTCGCCAACCCTCTGTTCCTAGGCGACTACCCACCCCTCCTCAAGAGCTTCACCTCCACTTTCCTCCCGGAATTCACCCCACAAGAACGAGACATGATCAAAGGCGCCAGCGATTTCTTCGCCCACGACGCCTACACAGCCGCTTACTACATGGCCCCCGATACCGGGATCGAAGGATGTCTCTCCGACTCAACTAACTCCCTCTACCCGAAATGCTACAACAGTTCCTACACATTACCCGACTCCGAAGGTGGTTGGCTCATCGGCCCAGCATCAGACCCTAACACGCGCTGGCTTCATAAAGCCACCGAATGGCTCCCTGCCTTCCTCCACTACATCCAGGATACATGGAAACCAGCGAACGGGATCATAATCACCGAATTCGGAATGACCGAGCCATTCGAGGCATACAAGACCAAACGGGAGGATATACTAACCGACCCGCTCCGATCTGCCTATTACCATGACTACGTCCAGGCCATGTTAATGGCCATTGCGGAGGGGGTCAAACTTGTTGGATGCTCGGCGTGGAGTATTGCGGATAATTTGGAGTGGACGGCTGGGTTTACGGTTAAGTTTGGTCTGCAGGTGAGTTACTAGTATAATCTTCCTGAGTCTGAGAAGATCATGCTAATGTTGTTGGCTTGGTAGTATGTGAACTTAACGACCCAGGAAAGATTTTACAAGGCTAGCTTTTTTGAATTGGCCAGTTTGTTTAAGACATATATGCAGGATTAGGGATTCTTGATACTGCGGGGATAAGAAGACTGGTGACTAGATTGCATTTTGATGATGAAGAAATCGAGAGTACAAGGGGAGAGTACATACTATTGAGACTGTTGAGAAAAGGCACAACCCGTGATTCTTTCACATGACTCTCAAAGTGATGGTTTCCTCTCGAGGAACGAGGTGTCCATCAGAAACATACTAGGGGGATGTGTGTCTTCTCTCCATACTTTGACCTCGTCACACACAGAGTCCAATAGACCGATAAGAAAGAATACAGGTTATTTGATGGTGATACCTTCCGTGTAATGCAGAATCAATCTATTTTTTATTCTCATCCACATGGGACAAAAGTCTCTGAAAACATTCCATCACCTGAGCCTTCCAATCAATATCAGCCCCCACTGCTTTGGCAAACATATTGCATCGCACCATGAGTAGCCAACAGTCAGCCAGATACCTTTTCAGTTCCTCGTGATTCAGTTTATGGAGTGGAATGAGGCACGGGAAGTATACGTCGTGGCGTATCGTAATCTTCCAAGACCAACACTTCCAGGATCAGTTCCTGAGGTAGTCCTTTGATGCGCAACATATTCAAGACTTGTAAGATGTCCGATCTCAGTGGGAGATATGGTCTGGGCTTATCAGGCTGATCGGGGTTTCCCGATGTCATGTTTTTCCTGGATATCCTACCTCTTTTGGGTTTGTCGCTCTTCGAGAACTCTTCATATGGTAGATACCCGTACGGACGAACCTTTTCGGACCAGGCATAATTGTATTCGTAGTAAACCGTATCGCAATATGTGAAGTGATCGTCTGCAATACCAAAGAATTGTCGATGTAGGTACCTTGGTACTTCATTTTCAGAAGACAGTGCGCAATACTTCAACATCCGCTGATATAACTTGGTGTCGCGGTAATCCCTTTTTCTTTTGTTTTTGTGTGCCCCTGGATGTTGTGGGTGGGGCTTTGGGACACACAGCTCCGGAAAGCAATACACAATGTTCAAGCCGATGTACGCATGTAAGGCAATTTCGAAGACCTGGTCCCAGCCAAGGTCGGTGGGCTAGGTTGTATCCGTTATAAGCCAAACCATTTGGACAGTAATAGGGGACGGAACGCCAGGCGAGTAGTAAGACCCACCCAGAAGGAATAAGCGACTTACAGAGCAACGACACGCGTTAATTCTCTTCCATCTCTCGTACCCTGTGTCGGGATATGAGCACACTCATATGATCGGATCCATTTCACCATATGTAAGGAGTGTCTCGAGTAGCTGGAGATTGTAAAATCCCTCTTTATTCGTGTCATAGAATTTAAAGCGGTCATTGTATTGATACTGGCGGAAAAAAAGCAGATGCTTTCCTTTTCCTGAAGGGCAGCGCGCATCCACAGTCCGTAATGCGGTCAGTGTGATAATGTTGGCAAATCTGTTTACCTTCTTTGATACCATCGGCGAACTCCCAGTTATATGCCCGACGCCATTTGTTAACAGTTGGAGTGATCTTGCGCGCTATTCTGTCGTCGACAATGACATCGTCTGGGCTTGGTGGCTCGTATGTCTCTTTGTATTTCTGCCGCTCATTCTGCGTATGTTCCTCGATGTTTCGAGCAAAGGACTCTGCAAAGGCGTGTAGTTCTCTGATCTCCTTTGGTTCGACAAGTACATAGAAGTTTGTGGGGTATTCTGAGTCAATGCTTTCTGGTGACCGGTATGTGAGTCTGGAGGCTGCCACGTCCCAGCAGATATCGTGGGGTTGGTGAGCCATGATCTGGGTGACTAGCTGTGTAACATTGTTAGCGCAGTGGCCACCACTTATAAATATTAGAAGCCCTTACCTTATCAGCGGCACCTACCTTGAAACCGAGGTGTTGCGGACTTGCAGTGATCGAGTCCCTCAGACAAATGTTCCCAGAAGGGACTTGTGGCTTGTGGATGCTAGATAATTCTCAGTCGGGAAGGAAGTGGCCTTGTATTTATCTTGGCCTGTTCAGATAAGAGTGCCACAGCAACATGACTACTAGTGAGGAGTAGTGAGTCACCACCTTCACATACCCCTGTCAAGGAGGCAAAACCCTTCAATTTTAGGGGCATACTATCGCCGGAAGCCGACAGAGCATGTTTTTAGCGCCAAAATCGCCTCCCCTACGCCATGTTCAGCCATCCATCGAACCTAATCCCACGTCCCACGTTTCTCATACACCGTCCTTTCCCACCCATCCCCTAGAACCTTGGGCTGTAGCCCCATATTTCGATACCAAGCTTGGATCTGGTCCACCACCTGTTGATCATCATTCTCAAAGTCCGAGTCCGAATCAGTACATGAAACCATCGCATAAGCACAAAGAATAATATCCGGCACTGTTGTGATGCCCAGTTCCTGCAACCGACGCAGTATAGTCGAGCTTGAACATTCGCCCCACCAGTAAATAGACGCGGGGCTAAAAGTCGGAACCAAACTGCTGTGGAAGATAAGCGGCTCAAAGAGCATCTCCATGCGGATGCCATCGTGCCACTGTTGGGTGTCTTTTAGTTGCTAGATGGATCTGGTTAGCATTTTCTGACTATCTAGGCGAAGTGGGGGGGGGGGGGTGATATCCCACCTGCATCTCGTAGTCAATACCGTAACCGAAGGGACTCCCCGACCAGCAGAAGATTCCGAGCTTGAATGCGGGAGGTTGTTGGATCAGCATACGACGCCAACTTGCCTCGGGTCGTAGGTATGCGGCTTTCTTCTCTGGGTTCCGGATCATGTCGAGGTCGGCGAGGGTAAACTCATTCTTGTTCCGAGGAAAGAGGGCCTCATTCTGTAGGAAGATGGCTGGGAATGCCTCTGCCAATAGTGGATTGATTGTGTTTTCAGTAAGATTGTTCTTGTGCTTCTTGATGGGCTTTAAGAATAATGCTTCCTGGAGAGATGATGATCCTTGAATTAGACCATTCCAGGCACGGCAGACCCGTTGTGCGGAGGCGACCAAGGTGCGCAGGTCCAGTTGCAACAGAATCATTTCTAGAAGCTCGGGAGTAAAAAGAACCCACTGAGTTGAACTGGAGGAATGCATTTTTCCGGTTTTGATGGTATGAGTTGCTGCTTCTGTCTCGATGATAGGATGGGGAAAGATCGTATCACCTTCCTTGTTCCCCTCACACGTGACATAATATTTTGGTGTTTGCTCTAAAGAAGGCTGCTAGGCAACACTTGGGGTGATTTGCTGCTAGATGATTGTGCCTCCTATGTTTTTTACTGTTTATATTTGCAACGACTGGATCTGGTTGGATTTAAGCATAATATGGAAACCAAATATGTGATGGGATACACAACCCATACTGCTTCAACTCAGAAGAGGGCATATACATCATACTAAAATCGTTAAATAAAGTCAAAAGACATTATTCTGCGTAACACAAAGTAGATGAATATATACAGATGTTGATCAAACTGCATACATGTTCATCCATCCAAATATGTAACAGCGTTAACCAAGCCAAGTAAGCCACACCAACTGTCCATATGATCATCCAAAGAGAAATGATATTCTTACACCCCAGACCTCTCCAATCATACAAGTAGAAACGGTTACATTCCCGCACTAACTGATCAATGCTGCTGCGCCGGCAACTCTGAATAATTATCCGTCGGATCTGACCCCTGCATCTCCTTAAGCTGTGGCTGTCGCACTAAGGGCCAAGAAGCAGGCCCTGTATCTGCAGCCACTGCATGACTTCTGACTGCTCGTACCTTGAGACATACCAGCGCAGTCAAAGCTGCGAGCACAGGAAGACCAATACCTATTCCTATCCCGAGGGCTACTTGTCCCGTTGTTGTTGTTGGCTGTGCGGTATCCCTAGACGAAGAAGGGGTAGATTGTGCGACCGTGTCTGTAACACTAGATGAAGAAACTGTAACAGAAGTTTTGGTGGTAGTGGGAGATGCCGTCGGACTTGTGATGGTGATACTCGTTGTAGTTGTGGTTGGCCTCGTGATATTGAAGAACGATATCGGGCTGCCGGGTACACCGGGGTTGATCCAGAAGAAGAATACATTGGAGTGGTCCAAGTCGAAGCCGTACAGCTGAACAACCCAAGTGAAGTTGGAGATTTGGTCAGTAGAGTGAATTTTAGCTTGGGTGAAGCTGATGTCAGCCTTTCTTGTCTTATGGGTGTCGGGACGGGTGGCATTCACGTACAGTAGATGTTGCCTTTACTGGATGCGCCAACGCCATATAAATCGTGTTGCCAGAAGGTGAGGTTGAATTCCTCCTGCGTGGTTTTCCACGATATGGTCTTCTCCTCGCCGATAGTCCAGACAGGTCTGATGCCATTGGTCTCGGCGGGGCTGACGAAGTAATTGTTTGGGTCATCACCGCGTGTTATTCGGATAAGAAAGAACAAAAGAAGGTGTAAGGGATGAATCATGGTTGAATATACGAGGGATCGTTCGAGTTATCGCATATGTGTGGTGACTTGTTTTGGAATCTGATATTTAGTGGGTGAGATAGGTCAACATGCGAGCTCGAGATGCAGATGTAGACATTCTATACGACAGACAGATAGGCATACTTACAGGGCTGATATCTCGTTTGAAATAGAAAGTCTGTGTTGCCGATATGGTCACTTCATGCTCCAAATGCTCCAAATGCATATCCACCAGAACCCCGAGTCCTCCTGGCTCCGAGTTGACAACGTATTATAATGTCTTACCCCGCTATTTTCATCTCACAATAGTACACGGCCCCCTGCATTTTTGAATCTCATATGGTACACCTGTAACACACCTGCATCATCAGTGAGTATTGCGATTGGCCCAGTTTCAAACATCTTGTGACCACAAAGCATCCGGACTCATGCCCACCCTAATAAGACTCCTGGAGCGTAATTATTGCTGACAGAAGTCTAGTTCAACGTTCGAAGTATATTCCAACACTACCATAGCAACTCCATAAATTGTACATGCATATGGAAAAACATTAAAGACATGCGCCCTCCACTTATGGATTGACTACCGCGAGCGTATACATTCTTTCTTCTTCATCTCCCAGCATATGCATTGCTCCTCCAACCATCGAGATATTAGCTGGATTGACTGTTGGAATTGCCGCATCCTCCCAGTTTGCAACAACTGTATCCTCTCCGCTCAATATACGATTGATATTCAACATCGTGCTGTACATCACTCCGTGACTTGAGGCGGGATGTATGTCCTCATTCTCATCATGGATATCTGAAGCCTTAGAGGAAGGCCCAGCTGCCTGGTAGCCGCCTGTCAAGGACGGAAATGCGGCGAAGCACTGAAGGTAGCCATTGCCGCACATACGACCTAGCGACACATCGAACTGAGCACCGATGTCAATCTCTTCTGCAAGATCACCTGGGCTGACAGAAAGGGCAGAGAGAATCTTCTGAGCTCCACGGTAGCTTACTGCGTAGACAATAGAGCAAACAGAATCACTGACAGCACAGACTAAGCGGGTGTGTTTGGGCACATCGATCGGAGGTGGATCACGCCAGTAGGGTAAAAAATGATGTGACGGAAGAACGGTGGGATCATGCGGGCTCAGAAAAAAGGGCACGTCAGTCCGACATTGCAAGCCGCAATGACCAAGCCAGAGGATGTCCCAGTCATCGCCGTAGGGCGAAGCGGTGACCTTCTGGTCCGCCCCTTGGAGAGCCCGGACTGCAAGAGCAAAGCTCTGTAGCTGGGTTTTGATCGTCACGTCCCAGTCGACATCATCCTCCATGATGATGGCGCTGCCGAGCTTCTCACTCACAATACTAGGGCATAGTGAGTTTAAGTCGATCAAAGAGATGAGAGTGGATCAGTACATACCGCTGCATGCCATTCACATGCGCCCGTCGAGCCGCATACTCAGTAGGCTTATGGTCACGATTCCAGTTCTTATAAGACTTTAGTAACGATTCGGCCCCATAATAGCAGATCTGTCAGCACTTACATGGGGATACGATTTGGGGTTGAGTTCTTCAGGAGTGACTCCGTCGATCCAGTCGATGTCAAAGTCACTGACCGATGAACCCAAAACAAGATTATCTCGCTTATCCAGTCTGCTGGGGAGATTGATGGCGAAAATCTTCTGAACCTATTCTGTGTCAGATTGGAGCCATCCTAAAGGGCTGCAAAGGAGAAGTACCCCCAGAGTCTCGTTTTTAATCGCATGGAGGTGGTCACGGGGGCTTTTAGATTCCTTTGGCACCGCTGTCGTCCCACTGTAGGGCAACGGCCATAAAATGAGGAGGATAGCGATCACTCCAGAGGCGTAGAGAACCCGCCGAAGGGACCTTTTCTGAAGAATGGTGCTTAGAATCATGATTCTCTGAACCGGGCGGCTAGGCTCAAGAATGACATATGAGTGAATCGCTGCTGCTCAGCAAAGATATTGAGCTAATTATGGAGCGACGGCCCGCACGGGAAGGAAGATGCTTGTGTTGCCGTTGCTGAGATGTTTTGTATCGAGCGTTGCAGATGCGCGGAAATCATGGTAGTGTCGGTTGTGTCGACGGTGCGCGTCACATTCAGCTGGCATGGTTCTGGCACACGGCGGCCAGGGTCCGGGGGGTTAGCAACTCAGGAGCCGGGAGGTTACACTGCTATCTTTGGCCAGGCGGGGGGTTCCTCCAGTGATCCAGGCACTCCCGGAGTCTAGCATGACACTAGGCAGGCAAACCTGGGCGTGATAGGTTGTCACACCTGGTCTAGCTGACCCACTGAAGGCTCCCTATTCAAAGGCCGCGTGGATCGCACTATCCCATACCCATAGATTCTCGTACCTTTCATGCATCGAATACGATTACCTCTTGCATTTTGTGCCTATCCACGACTGTTGGCATATCCCCCACGAGGGACTGGAATCCTACCCCAAAGCGGAAGTGGTGCGGACAAACCTTTGCTGGAGGATCGCTGCATGACTGCAACCACCTGCAGGTGATGATTCTGCGGGCGCTTAAGCGTCCAGGCTGCTTGGCCACTGCCAGATGTGGGCAAGCGGTTTCGACTACACAGTACTGTCAGACGCGAATCCTAATTTTAGGATTTCTCCAAGGGATCTCAGGGTGTTTTCCTAATTCCTGTTGGTTTGTAATTTGATCATCAATGACAAGGATTGTGTACAAGGCAAAAATTTTGCTGCTCACGGTACGGAGTACTACGTATTCATTTCTGGTCCGATCGACCAAAGCTGTTGCTATAACTTCTGTAGCCAAAATTTCCGGCCAAAAGTCATGTGATGGCCGGTTGGTGTAGTTGGTTTATCACGTGTCCTTAACACGGACAAGGTCCTGGGTTCGAGTCCCAGACTGGTCATTCTTTTTTCCTCCTCAGCTGCTCATTTCCCAGCTCACTCTCAACCATCTTTTTGTCGTCTATATAGTCTTTCCCGTTATGCAACTTGATACATAAAACCCAAGTGCCCTATACTCCTGTCGGATAGCCTGGTCTTTGCTCATAATGCTCAACAGTTCTCTTCATCTCCTTCTGTAACCGAGTCATATGACCCACCCAGCCATGCAGGCTTTCGTCGCGCAGCTAGCTGTCGGCGCTGATTGCGGTTAATGAGGAGTGATTCTTGGATCGTCAGGAGGCGTTTGATTGCTGCTAGGCTGATTAAGAGCGCGATGATGCATATATAGGAAAGGGAGGTCGTGATGTCGGGCTTTCTATGGGATATAGATTCCCCTCTATACTATGTATGTTCCCATGTTTACTGCTTCGTGTTATGAGGAGGACGATCTTTCATTAACATCTACACATTGAAGACTGACCTGTGTGCTGCCGTAGCCTACGAATCCATCAATATGCTTGCAGTAAGGTTACCGGCCTCGTAGATAAGTGATGTCATTCAAGTGTGTGAAGGTCCAAGTGCTCCAAGTTTGATCCCGAAGGAAGTAAAATTCGAAAAGCGATGAAAGTCGTTCATCGTACTTATTCTGGCAAAGCATGGAAGGATCATGTGGGATCGTAAATACCAGTTAATCAGATTATTGAGCAGCGTGTTTACTGTTATGATGAAGTCTTGATATCATAATTCTTATAAAGTCCCTAGATAAGTTCTAAGGAAGATTGTTTAATAGAAACGACAGGAAGGACCCCCAAACAAGGCTGCAAACCCTAGACTACCGATGCCTTCAGCTCCCAAAGCTGAGATAAATGTCAGTCCGAAGAAAGGTTTGCCAGAATCTCTTGACCCTTTTTGTCCAAGTTCGGGTAATCTCGTAAATGGTACAGATCCCTCCAGAGGTTTCTCGCATCTTCATACACATCCAATCGTTGACGTAGAAGCTTCTTCCATTCTACGTCCATCTCGGCAAATCCCACAGAAGCCGCGACATATTCATACCAGATAGGGTAATAAGCAGCATATTCCCAATCAAGAATACCGACAAGTTCCCCATCTTTGACCATGATGTTTCCCAGGTTCAAATCACAGTGAGTGAGAACATACGGCCCACATGGTGGTAGGCGCTTCTTCAAGTTCTCCAGGACTTTCTCGGGAAACGACTTGTTGCGAAGACTAAGAATCAGGGAGTCCCAGAGTTCGGCGTCAGAGTGAAACGGTCCGCGTAGTTCAAAATCGAGATAGAGTAACGATAGATAGCATGGACCTTGGTCGACAGCTTGAATGGAAGTTGATGTGATCTTTTTCAGCTGGTTTCGAACATGGACAACTTGATCTGCGATAGACAACTTTTGGGATTCTGATAACGAAGGCCAAGCCTTCTCAAGCGTTTCCCCATCCATACGCTCCATAAGGACAAAGTATCGCCCATCGCGATCGACCCAGTCACGCACAAGCTTCGGAACTGGTATATCTTTGTGGGCTGCAAGTTTGCGGAGCGTATCCACTTCAGCCTTTGGGCCTTCGTCAGGGCGTTCTTTCAAAATCATATCAGAGCCGATCGACCATACACCCCGATTGCCAGCACCATAGAAGAGCTTGACATGGCTAGAATAGCAACACCGTTTTTGGTCTGCACTTGTCCAACCACATGCAATACAAACGTCAGATTTTTGTTCCGTCATACTTTGAAGTTGCACAAAGAAAGTATAGGTTTGTGGGAGATGGACAATGGGCAGAAGTAACGAGAAAGATAGGAAGAGCGAGGGGTCGAGCCTTGTTAAAGGAAAGACGAGGCGGGAAGCCGCTGCTTAAATGCGTGACTTTCCCCTCGCCATTAACCCACCAGTTACGTTATGTCGTCTAAGAATAGCTACAAAAGAAGCAGCAAGATTCCAGGACGAAGAAAACTGGAAGCTAATGCTGTTTCCACAGCCACCTGCATTTAAAGCAAGATACCAAAATGTATCCAGAAGCGGGATGCCGTTTTATAGTAGTGAGTGTGGTCTCTAGCAAACTTCGGTTCTTCAGTAGTCTTCCCCAGATGAGATTGGGCATACTTGTTGCAAAACCGGGGCCTACCCAGTTCTCGCTTATGCATAAGCCTGGCGCTGCGAGGCGGCTGTCAATCTCAAAGCTTTTGACATATCGCGACCCTGTGATTTTCCGCTCAAGCTATCAACGTCCGTGTGGACTACACCCTCGCCAAATGTAACAGCGGCTAGATGCAACTTGAACTCTGATATGATATGAAAGCCTGCGGAAGAATTACCTCCAGAGAGCAAAGCTTTCAGTGTTGAGCACCTACCTGGACGTGAAGGGAACTGATACACTTCCAACTGGAATATAGAAGGATTCACCCACCAGGGAAGAGCGCCACTATATAAGAAGGTAGAAACTTCGGCCCATTCAAGCTGTAACCCATGGGACTTTGCACGCCCTCTTATCTCGCTATACGAAATAAAAAGCAAAAGATACTGACAGTACCTTCCCCGTATATCCCACGAAAGCGGTCCCAACCGGCAGAACAGACACCCACCGGGACTAACCAATCTAGCCCGGGAACTAAACGGCTAGTTGCCCAATAAGCTCCGGATCGCCCTCCCCTCCCATCCGCCTCCCGATTCCCAGCCACCCGCAACAGGGATCCAAAATCAACATGGCTGGGCCACGTCGGACACACTCCCCATTTATACGGGGAGCTGGCCTGTTCCTCGTTTCCCACTGTTTATTTTTCCTACCCCGTGCTACTTGGTACTGGGAAGTCAACTTCCTTCCTGGGTGGCGTTTTGCATCCATCATATTCATATAAACCAATCCATATCCATATCTTATCATCTATCAGATCGGTCGATCTATACCTACGGGCTGCATATCCACATACCAAAACAAACACAAACACAACCACAACCACAACTTCCCTAGGTACATTCCAAACATCCCGCCAAAATGCAAGAAAACGTCGCCATCGCCGTCATCATTATCGTGCTGTTCATCATTCTCGCTATTGCTGGGTGGTGGATCCACAGAATGAGAAACCAGGTCGCCTTCAGCAGGGAAAAGAGAGCCGTTGATGAGGAGAGTGGTGGTGAAGTGGAGGGTTAAGTGCCCATTCCCAGGGTTTCACATAATTTATCTGTCTCCGGGATGGGTTCGACGACGACGATGACAACGAGGTTTATACGATCGATTGAGCTGATATACGGCTTATCTACCTATCTACCTATTTACGACTTATTATGCCGACATGGGTGTTACGAGTTTGATGCGATTGCGATTGGGATGGTATACATACATATACATGAACACATACACACGATTGATGTTGGTTTGTTTGTTGATTGGTTGTTTGATTGCTGTGCTGTGAAAAGCATTATTTGGGACAGACGGGGTTTGGTTCTGTTTTTGTTTTTGTTTGAATGGTGTTTTGTGGTATACCTCATTCTTCTTTTGCTTGGTTTAGGTGTATGCTTTTTCATGTTATGTTGCACTTTTGCGGGCTCGGATATAGTCCTTTTTCTGAGTCCTTAGGACATCTTTACTAGAATGAATGAAGCTGTGAGAGTGCAGCATCAAATCATACAAAATCGCTTTTCGAAGTAGGAATAATTGGAATCCTGGAAATTACATAAAGTATTCTTCATTATGATGACATGCATGAACGGATATAGTCAGAACCGTTTTGAAGGATATACACTGTTCGCTCATCCAATAATCCTGAGTCCGCCCTTGGTCTTGCCGTGCTTTTTGACTCCATCATGCTTGACCTTGCCACTGCCGGCGCCACCGCCCGATCCCCCTCCACTTCCGTGTTTCTTGCCATTCTTCGTGTTGGATACTGGCCGGACCTCTGTGGTGGCCCGTCGGAGGAGAACCGGATGCGATCCGATGTACTTGCCCTGCATCTCCCTGGCGGCTTTAAAATAATCGTCGCCATCGCTGAAACTAACGAACCCGTAGCCTTTGCTCTTCTGTGTACGCTTGTCGCGGATCACCCGAGCTTTTTGGACCGATGTATACTTGGCGAATGCCTTTAATAACGAATCATCCGTCACCTCACCAGCAAGGTTGCCTACAAACAAGCGAAAGTGTGCGGGATCCCACTCTAGCAGTGTCGAATCGGTCCAGTTCTGACCGCCTCCAGCACGCGCGACGGTCTTGGATGCAGGTTCCGGGTTTCCCACGGTGGGTGCCGGCGTGCTAGCCGTTGTATTGGCACCGGACGGAGTATTTACACCAGAACCGGCACCAGACATACCCTGATTCAAAGTTGGCCGTCCAGGGGCCTTCCCGGTGGCTGGAACCTCCTCCTTGTTCGCATAAGCACTCTGCCACTGCGCAATCTGGGCCTCCGTTTCAGGATCCAATCCCGAGTCATTGCGTCCGAAATTTCTCCCGCGCCCATAAGCGCTCGACTGGTCCGCTGCAGGCGTAAAAGGATTCTGGATGTGAGGCACGGATGGACCGTATGTGTTGTCATTGTACTGGGAGGCTCCGTAATACGAAGGGCCGCTTTGATATGATGATTGCGCTTGCGAATAGTAACCACCGTAGCTTCCCGTGGTCGGTGTCGAATATCCACTGGTGGATGTTGTTGGGGGAGCGGACACAGCGGGGCTGCTGGTACGGTAAGGTTGACTAGAAGCTACAGAGCGAGGCTGGAATGCTGTGATGGCGCTGTAGCCCGCCCGAGACCCGTGTCCACCAAAGCCATTGCTTGCACCCGACGGCGCGGCCGAATATGCAGGTTGGAAGTTTGAAGGCGAAGCGGTGCTTGCTGTCGCCGGTGGCCGGGGTGGGAGGGACGACGGGGCTTGTTTAAGACCTGGAGGTGGCGGAAAGGACATGATGAACGGAGAGTTCGGAAAAAAAGAGAGGTGATGGATGATGCGATGCGCCGTGTGCGAACTAGCAGCAGACACGTACCTTCAGGGTCTGACTGACGCAGCAGTCATACGCCAGACGTCACGCCTGAAAAAGGTTGCGGATCTTGGATGAAGGAGAACGAGTGCTGAGACTTTCTAGATCTTTCCCTACTACTGATCGGATGGTGAGCCGGAAGTGAGTAAAAGGCGCCGCAGTGATAGTGGTAAGGGTTGCGATTCCTTGCTGCAGGATATTGTATGGTGTGAGGCGACCGAGGAGTCTGGCAGGAAATCGCGGAAGGTTCGACTGGCGAGTTGGTTGTTAGTGGTCCCGATGACGGATGAAGTCCCACGAGGAGAGAAAAGACCGCATGAATGGCCTTTGTCGCCTCCCGTTGGGTGCAAACTAGATTTTGCATACACCACGTGATAAAAGCACGTGACATAGCAGCTTCTCTGGCAGATGAGTCAGCAGTCTGGGCTGACCTCCTGAGTCATCCGGCCCAAAAAGGCCAAGCCCTTGTCAGCCCCAACGGATTTCCCACATGTGATGCAACCCCCACCCTAATCTCCTTTAGGCAGTGCAGTAGCCGACCGACCGGCGCGGGTAGGATCAACTCAGGCCTCCGTACTGGACAATTCCGTCACGAGATGCAAGAAAAGACGCGGGATGATAAGACGCCCCGGAAATAGGCACTAGTTTCTCCGACTTATGGCTTCTACTCCGTGGAGGCAATCCATCGAATTCCGACTCGAGCCATGACACGGACGATGGCTTGGATACTAAGGATTCCGATGCCGTAGCCGGACGAGGCCTGCCTGGATGCTGATAGGTACAGATGCCATGAGGGTGAGTACTACTAGTAGATACTAGTAGTGAGGCACCAGCGTGACCAACAATGGGTTACTGTTCGTAGTTAGGCAAGATGGGGGTGGTGGAGGGGATTCCAATTTATCCGTCTCCGAAGGGGCTTCACCGAACGCGCTCTGGGAAGTCTGGTCTGGGATTGTTGGTCCCTTTCCTAGGCCGATGTAGGAAGAGCGGGCTTTTTTGCATTGCATTTGCTGCGGCCGGCTGCCCCTCCATGCCCCGCCATCTTCAATGTTCCAGCTCCTGTGACTCCGTCATCTCCGAACTTCCCCCATGCTGATGGGGAATCAATTGACAATTGCATCTACTAGAAATATGAAACCGTGAAGGGTTTCCAGGTGGAAAGAGGATTGACTGTGATAAGGAGAGGTTTAATTGATGCTTTGCCGGTGTATGTTACTACCAGCCATATTATAGTCGATCCTAGTAACTAGTAACTAGTAGTAAGTAAGTACTGTATCCGCGGGCTTCCATCCAAACTCCCCCTCTCTTCTCCCATGTCCCAGAGTCCCAAAGGTCCCAAAGCACTAAAGTCCCCGTACCAAAATCGCCCATCCACCGGGCGTGGTTGTTCACCGGAGGACTCTGCTCCCTCCCTCCCAAGTACTTGCCCCGCCCTCCGTCCCACCATGACGGAAGGCTGCTCCGTAAGCCGTCCATTTGCACGAATCCTGCTCTGACATCTTCGAACGCCTTCTCCCTTCGCTCGCTTCTTCTTCTCCCTTTCCCTTCCTCCTCTCCAAACCTTCTTCCTTTCTCCATCATCTCACTCTGGGCAGTCGGTTCTTCCTGCTGTACATATATCCCCCACCCACCCTCTTCCTTTCTTCACCTCTTCCATATCTCCTAATCCAGCCTTCCCTCCCCACTATTTCATCATGGCTGACCAAGCTGTGTAAGTATCCTGCGACCACCCGTGTACCCCCTCCCTTTATCCTCACGTCTCTCTCCTTCAATCCTTTACTTCCCCCGCAGCTGGAGATCTCCCTGTTATCAATCAATGTCCCGGGAGACATCTACAGTTTGCGGGTAGGCTGGATCATGGATAGCTTGCATCCAGGGCCGCCTTCGTCATCATCCCTCAATCCATTGGGGATGGTGAGGGACGGCCAGCTTTGTGGAGTCTGTGTCTCGACGTCATAAGCGTTGGGTGCAACGCAGCTTCACACGATACCCCAACTTTTCGTTTTCTGCCCAGCTATTGACAGGGAATTTGGCAACTGACTTTAGCGCCCGTCTCGCCGGCATCAATGTCGGCGCTCCGGCGCGTCCTTTGCCTAGTGCTGATTTCGGTCTCATCGGTCTGGCCGTTATGGGTCAGAACCTGATCCTTAACGTTGCTGACCACGGCTTCACTGTCTGCGCATACAACCGCACGACCTCCAAGGTTGACAACTTCCTTGCCAATGAGGCCAAGGGTAAGTTCCACCCAGAACCAGCCTGCACTCCTATTCCAGAAGATGTTGACAAGATGACATGTTAGGCAAGTCCATCGTCGGTGCTCACTCCGTTGAGGAGTTCTGCGCCAAGCTGAAGCGCCCCCGCCGTATCATGCTCCTGGTCATGGCTGGAAAGCCCGTCGACCAGTTCATCGAGTCTCTCCTGCCCCACCTTGAGGAGGGTGATATCATCATTGACGGTGGTAACTCCCACTTCCCCGACTCCAACCGCCGCACCAAGTACCTGGCCGAGAAGGGCATCCGCTTCGTCGGCAGCGGTGTCTCCGGTGGTGAGGAGGGTGCCCGTTACGGCCCCTCCCTCATGCCCGGTGGTAACGAGGAGGCCTGGCCCTACATCAAGGACATCTTCCAGAGCATCTCCGCCAAGAGCGATGGTGAGGCCTGCTGCGACTGGGTTGGTGACGAGGGCGCTGGTCACTTCGTCAAGATGGTCCACAATGGTATTGAATACGGTGACATGCAGCTGATCTGCGAGGTAAGCCATTGAACTTGAGAGACCGTTCTTATGGATTGCACATAGACGCTGACACATTCAATAATAGGCCTACGACATTCTCAAGCGTGGCTTGGGTCTCCCCACCAACGAGATCGCTGATGTCTTCGCCAAGTGGAACAAGGGTGTCTTGGACTCCTTCCTGATTGAGATCACCCGTGATGTCCTCTACTACAACGACAACGATGGTACTCCCCTCGTTGAGAAGATCCTCGACAAGGCCGGCCAGAAGGGTACTGGCAAGTGGACTGCCATCAACGCCCTCGACCTCGGCATGCCCGTCACTCTCATCGGCGAGGCTGTCTTCTCTCGCTGCCTGTCTGCCCTCAAGGACGAGCGTACCCGTGCCAGCAGCCTTCTCCAGGGCCCCGCTGTTCCTGAATTCACCGGTGACAAGCAGGCTTTCATCGATGACCTTGAGCAGGCCCTGTATGCCTCCAAGATCATCTCCTACGCCCAGGGCTTCATGCTCATCCAGGAGGTAAGTTTACACACCGAACTCTCTTGCCACTGGAGTAGTGATTAACTGTTCTACCATTATAGGCTGCTCGTGAGTACGGCTGGAAGCTGAACAAGCCCTCCATTGCCCTCATGTGGCGTGGTGGTTGCATCATCCGCTCCGTCTTCCTGAAGGACATCACCAACGCCTACCGCAAGAACCCCGAGCTCGAGAACCTCCTGTTCGACGAGTTCTTCAACAAGGCTATCCACACTGCCCAGAGCGGCTGGAGAAACGTTGTCAGCAAGGGCGCCCTCTGGGGTATCCCCACCCCCGCTTTCAGCACCGCTCTCAGCTTCTACGACGGCTACCGCACTCGCGACCTCCCCGCCAACCTGCTGCAGGCTCAGCGTGATTACTTCGGTGCCCACACCTTCCGCATCAAGCCCGAGCACGCCAGCGAGCAGTACCCCGAGGGCAAGGACATCCACGTCAACTGGACTGGCCGCGGTGGTAACGTGTCTGCGTCCACCTACATTGTTTAAGTGACGCTGCGATGTAAAACGCTGGACGTGGAGCCTCGCACTGGTCTGGCCTGGGAGCCGGTCAGGCCAGGATCCGGCAAGTTAGCTAGCCGGGCTCTCTGAGCACATAAATAAGAATGATGACGATCAAAACGACCAGCAAAAACAGGAAATTTAAATCCTTTTTATATTTTATTAACATGTACCTAGATGCTTGTTCTGATGTGGAAAACGGATGGAATGAGATGGTTTAATGTTTCTCTTCAAGCCGGTGATTTGGCAATGGTAATCATGGTAGACTGTAGAGTGTACGGAGTCGTAGATAGATGAAGGGAGGTATCGGAGGTGTGCTGCTCCGCCCTGGACTAATCCCGATTGGGCGACGGGAAGGTCGTGACTTCCTCCGGCGGCCATCCCCCATCGTGTCGTGTCGGCGACGTGCACAAATCCCCCCATTCTGCCCAACTGCATGCCAGGACGCTGAGGAGCTTTCCCTCCCTGGCTGGCTGTACTCGATTGGTGCCCCTTTCGCTTCGGTGGTGGTGGTTGTTGTTTTACTGGATATTTTATCTTCTTACTTCTCGTCGTTCCTTTACTCAACCCCCGACTAAGCTGCGGTTCCCGCCCGTCCCACTTTTGCTTGATCCGCGCTGAGTGCCATCGTCATTGCTGGCCACGACCGTAGTTTCCACGCAGCCTGGAACCTCATTGCGATTGATTACTTCGACCTGCATTCGACCTGACTAGCCCTCTGCGTGGGCAAGTTTGTGCCCCCGTATTCCTCGACCGAGCACGCCTTTGTCCCCTCGGGAAGAGACCACTCAGCCACTGCGTGACGGTGGACCCTATCCTGTCCTGCACTGCTGCTGGGATAGTCTAACTGTTTTCTGTCTGATCATATGGCCGATAACAAGCGCCACAGCGTGGGAGCGAGAGCATCTGCACAAGGACCGTCTGGAGGAACTGCGGGCCAGGGAATGGCTGGTGCTATGGTGCCTTTGGAGGTGGCATTGAGCAGTGCAATTGGCGCACGGTAAGTGTCGACCCTGTCATGGCACGGTTGGGCAGGGGGATCTGTCCGTAGCCGGATATTGCTCCCCATGTTTTATGCCAAATTGTTGCTACCGGGTAGATGCCGGTGGAAAACAGAACAGCTTGTACTGACACTGTTGCTCCCACATAGTGTTCGTATCACCACAGCTCCGGTTGCCGCCACTATTGAGGGCACTCTGTTCACAGCCTGTCCTATTACGAACCTTGTTGCCATCAATACTGCCGACGGAAAACAGACACATGCAGGCGATTACCGCATAGTCCCGGTGTCGCGCATACAGTCTTTCCAAATCCTTTCCCTGCCCCCGTCCAACGCCGATGGGGCTTCCTTCTCCGATGCCGTCCCGGCTTTGCACGCACTTGACATTCGCTCGTTGAAGACTCGGGAGGCCACTGCCATCAGCAAACTACAGGAGAGTGAGGCACGCCGAGGCAAAGGAGTCACTCGGGAAGCACAGGACCTTTTCGATGCATTCAGTCGCACAATGCCGGCAAGGTGGGATGGATCCAAGATCATCGTGGCGGATGCGGTCTCCATTGCGGCTCCGTACCGTCCGGACGACTGCCGGCCCTTGGTGGCGGGTGACACGGCTGCTCTTGCCCGAGTACGCATGGTGGTAAGTCAATCAAGCGTCGAGGAATTTAGGTTACGTCTGACAACCGGGCTAGCTCGAGATGGAACGCAAGAAGATCGAACTGCGCAACGCGAGTGCAACTATTGGTACGGCCCAACCCTTCGCACCCTTCTGAGGACACCTCCAATCGTGACTACTTCTAACGACTAGAGTCTAGGGGCCGGTGCTGCTGGACAACGTAAGGGAGGCTGAAGCGTCCCCATCTACCTCTCCATCACCCATTCGAAAGGCTCCCCTCTGCCTCTTGGGTACAGTTACCGGGGATGAAAATATGTGTGGGATGAGCCCACCCAGAAACGCGATATTAGCAAATGCGGAATCGGGGACCACAAGTTTTTCGAGAGGGGCCTAGCGTCACCGGGAAGGGAAGCAAGCAGGTGGTAGAAAAACGAAGGGGAGGCTTATGACGAAGCGGGACTTGGACTTGACCGTGGCTTGGTTGTACTACGGACGTGGTGAATCAGTCCGGAGGACGACCGGTACCACGGATGGGTCGGAATTGGAGCCTTGCCTTCAGGCCTGACCTTTAGATTATTGATTTAGATACAGGGGCGGCATGAATATGATGACCTACACTTCGTGTTTCGTCGGCGTGAACCGGATTCTGTAGATAACCTACCCATGATTGAAATTGCTCCTCTGTCCCACACTTGTTCGGTTCGGTTATAGAACCCTCTACCCGGCCAATTGACACGTCCTCGACAGAGCGTGTAAGTAGTGGTCTAGACTTTGATGGGGGAGTGCTTCACCGGACGAGATGCTACAGAGATAACGGCTGTTGTTCGCCGGACAAGCAACGGGTGTTTCTGGAGATGGAATCTCTAGTGTTAGAAAAGCATAATATCCCGTCCACATGATTCTGGGAGATCAGTGAGTGGGATATAATAGGACTTGCGAGACGGTGGATTTCTCTCTTTTCTGGTTTCTTGCTCCTTTTCTTTTCTTTTCTTTTTTTTTTTACGTTGTGCGATTGTTGTATGCTGAGCTGGTTTTCTGCTGGGCATCTACTTGATCGGTTGATGAGCGACCTCTCGGATAAAAGTTCATGACGGCGCATGGCATGATGAGTGGATGAGTGGATAAGCTAATGAGTTGATGTGAAGACTGATGAGGGGAGGGGCTACTATCTAATGCATGCCCGTGATGGTGATGGGTGATAGTGACGGGCGGAGAATGTGTGTTCAGCATGGTGATGGCAGTGGCACACACGGCTCGCGGCACACGGTGGCACCCATACATACATACTTTATCTTAAATCCCTCACTTCTGCTCAAGGCAAGGGAGAAGGAAGCTAGATGAATTCTCCGAGTCGTGGGAGGGAGAGAGAGGGGAAAGAGAGAGATCAGAAGAAAGGGTGGCCCACGCTGCAAAGTGTATGCTGCCGAGTGGCAGAAGTCATCGGGTGGAGCAAGATGCAGGTCAGCATATGGCTATTCAAACTATGGCTTTGGCTAACGCGGGTGCAGGGCTGCATGGGAACTGATAGTTCAGTTGATGGCATTACCTATACCTGCATGGCATAATGGTGATGACATGGATGGATGGGTTCTATCCCTGTTGGTGTGTGCTGGTGGCGATTGAGACAATGTGACCGACCGATTGATACCCACCAGGTCCATCCGGAATTCAGAATCCAGAATCCAGAATCCAGGATCCACGAGAAAGGATACTGTGTACACTACTGTGTATTGTACACAGGGCAGAATGAAGATCATGGGGAGAAAAGGGAGGGACGAGGGAGAGCCAGACGATAGGGTGAACGGGTCACCCCGCAATCTGGGATGGATCAGCCCTCCGACCCTTGGTTGTTGCTCCAAAATGAGACCACGACAGATGAGATGAGGATAGTAGAAGAGGTGCTGGGCATCGGAGAAAACAATGGGGGATCTTGTTTATTCCCCCAGACCTATCAGAAACCTACTAGACTTATTTCCCTTACTACCGAGGCAGTAGTAGTTGATTAATGCAGAAGACGTGCATCCAATCATCACGAGCAGCTGGCCGTGTTTAGAGTTGGACCCAAGGATACTCCGAATTGATCAGGACTAATTGCCAAGAGAGTCGGTGTGTGGGTGGTGAGGCCATATGGTGTGAAGCCATCCAGCTTCCCCTCCGAGAGGCCAAGTGACTGACTTCTTTCCTGCGGTCGGGAAGCAGCAGACAGACACTGCCCGGTATCCATCTATATCTTTAGTGTGTATCACACAGCCACTGGCAGTCTCAGCACTATCGGCTCGGCGGTTGCTGCCTGATCTCTCGTGGGCAAGGCTCTTTTTCCCTCTAAGAAACCCCTCCTAGGGTATTCCATATCCCTTCTAGGTACATAGTATTTGTATCGATTTATCAATCTAGTACTAGATCACGAGGATTGAATCACGCACCAATGATGGAGGACCGACGGAGAGGACGATGAAGAAGTGAAGGTCAGGAACCGAAAGGCTAGGGAAAAAACCCAAGATGACCCCGGATCGTCCGGAAGGGACCAAGCCCAGTCAGTGGAATCAACTAATAATCTAGAAGACGAGGATCCCAGTTCGGGCCCCGCGCCTATCTGGGAAGGTTGGCTGGTGACTCTGCCTGACTTGGGAGAACTAGTAAACAGTAACCATCAACTAGACTATCTAGTCAGTCCAAAGGAACAGAGGAACAGGCAACAATTAGTCAGTCTTCTTTTTGCGACCAGTCATTATTCCCTCCATTATTCAGGTCAGGCGGTGGATCCCGACAAGTCCCTTTTTCGCCCTCACCACCAAACCATCTTGTCATCATTTAATAACCGGCCAGAGCTCGTATCGCGAGTAATGACGTTAAAGTGGCTGTTGGAGATTCGACCAGCCCCAACTTTGACTCAAGATCCTCGACGGGGCCCTTGGCGATAAAAAAGTCCAATTTGGGTTGAAACCTGCACGGTCTCTCGGTCTCTTCCCCTTCTCTGCTCTGGCTCCATTCCAACTCCTCTTTCATGTCCTCCTCTCCTCCTCCTTCTTCCACTGGTTTGACCTGACTTGAACTCTTGTGCATCCCTCTCTCCCTCCTTTGTTTTCTTTGCTTTTTTTTTCTTTTACACTCCTGTAGTGTGCTTATCCTCTACCGATCTCTCCTTGACTACCTACTTGCTATCTCCATTCATCCATCCATCCTATCCTATCCTACGGGGACGGCGTGCGTGCATCGGTCGCCCTTGCATCAATCACCCGCTGCGGCTGCTGCTGCTGCTCCATTCTTCCTCCCCCAATTCCCTCCCTTGACATCTTCCTTTGTCTCTCATCTGACTCGGATTTACCTTTTCTGCTCGATTTCCTGCCAATTCCCCACTAAGACCAGTCAATTCCCTCACCGGCTTTCCACCTACCTACCTACCTACAGTCCTACACTCCTTCGGCCTGCCTGTGCCCCTCGCCATTCTTCTCCTTCGCGGATCCCTCGGTCGTCATTGCCCATTGAGACTGAGACACGCCGACCTTCGTCACTGATGGGGGCATCGCCAACCTAGCGACCTTCCTCCTTTCTTCGCCTTATCGCCCTCTTATATCGTTCCTCTCCCGCCCTCCCCCGACCAGCCATCGCCGACTATGGGAGTCTCCCCGTCCGGCAACCATCATCGACGGCGGAGCTCAGTGCTGGCGGGCACCTCACAAGCCGCTCCTATCGAACACCGGGAAGACAGTTCGAGGATAACTGGGGACGTTGCAGGTCCGAAAAAGGAAGAACCCAAGTCCTCACCGGCTGAGGACGCAGACCTCTCGGATCTTTCGTCTATCGCAGAAAGCTTGGAGATGGATTACATGAGTTCGGATGACGATCTCCACGATGACGAAGAAACGGGCCTCACCGCGAAGCAGAGACGCCAAAGGCGCCGCAGAAGACAGCAGCGGAGGCAGTTGGATGCCCGCATCGCCGATGTCAAGGCCTCGCGACAAGATGCTATACCACTAGGATTGGGAGACCGTGAGGTCTTCAAGAGATTATCAATCAATGCTGGCTTGATCCTGATGTGGTATTTCTTCTCGCTGTCAATTTCAATCGTGAGTTCTCTCGTGCGCGTGCGGCGGCGATATGGATCGTGATTCTAACCTTCTCCGTGTCTAGTACAACAAGTGGATGTTTTCTGACGACGATGTCGTGTTTCCCTTTCCTCTCTTCACAACCAGTCTGCATATGGCTGTCCAATTTACCTTCTCATCCCTAATCCTCTGGCTAATCCCATCTCTGCGCCCCAAGGCGCCCATTGCACCCACTCCTTCCGGATCGCCCGTGAGCGAGCATGAGGCGTTCGAACCCCAGCCGATTATCACCAAGTTCTTCTATCTTACGCGTCTCGTTCCTTGCGGTACAGCGACCTCCCTCGATGTTGGTCTGGGGAACATGTCCTTGAAGTTTATCTCGCTTACTTTCCTCACCATGTGCAAATCCTCCGCCTTAGCATTTGTGCTTCTGTTTGCCTTTGTTTTCCGCCTCGAGACCCCGTCCGTCAAGTTGATTGTGGTTATTGCCACCATGACTGTGGGTGTCGTGATGATGGTCGCAGGCGAGACCGCATTCAATGCGGTTGGATTTATCCTTGTCATTGCATCAGCGTTCTTTTCGGGCTTCCGATGGGGCCTCACTCAAATTCTCCTTCTCCGCCATCCAGCGACCGCGAATCCGTTTTCGACCCTTTTCTTCCTGACGCCCGTGATGTTTATCTCGTTGATTGTCATTGCGTTGGCGATAGAAGGCCCCCTGGAAATTATTGCTGGCTTCCAGGCTCTGGCAGATGCCCGTGGCGGCATGTTTGCTGTTTTTCTCCTGATCTTCCCCGGCATCCTGGCTTTCTGCATGATTTCCTCTGAGTTTGCGCTCCTCAAGCGCTCCTCGGTCGTGACGCTGAGCATTTGCGGCATTTTCAAGGAGGTCGTCACCATCAGTGCCGCTGGGGTCATCTTCCACGACCAGCTCACCGTGGTCAATATCACGGGCTTGGTGGTTACCATCGGCAGCATCGCTTCGTACAACTACATGAAGATCGCCAAAATGCGCTCCGATGCGCAGAAGGGTGCATGGACACGGAGCCCGAATCTGGACTCGGATTACGATTCGGATCCTACCGGGGAACGCGGAGAATATCAGCGGATCCGTAACCCGGAAGCGAGCATGTTCCATGCTCCCGACGTCCATGTTGACGAGGACAATGTGAATATTACCCCCGATGATGACTTGACCGCTGGCGGTCGGCGCTCATTCCGTGTTCGTGCCAGCGGAGCTAGCAACGCGCTCGGGCTTAGTATCAACACGACCAACCTAGGCGACCATGATAAAACTCTCTCTCCGCGGGTGTCCGGCCCCTCGCCGATGAAATCTGCGCCTCCGGTAATTACGTCCATCGAAGCTGAGCTTAACCGGACGGGCCAGGGCCCTAGCTATGGGAGCAACCTCCAGACCTCCCCCGAACGGGGATTGCAAGGGCAAGGGCGTTCAGCGACTTAGAGATCATAGATATCATCTTTGGGCTTGATGTTTTCTCCACCTTGGCTCCCGGAACCACTGGAATGGTTCACCATGGATCTTCGCTTTCTACTTTCCTTTACCCTCTGAATACCCTCTGGTCGGTCGTAAACGCAATGGCATCAGCGTTCGAGTCCTCGATTGTCATTGTTTGGACTTGATAATCCTTTCCCCTTTATATTGGCGGTTCTTAGCAGCATGCCTCGGAGTCGGCATGTCGGAGTACATTGGGCGTCCCGCACATATTGGCAGACAATGTCTGGTATAGACAGTGATTTACTGAGTGATACCATGTTATCTATCTCTTAGCTTCGAATGAAGCTTAATCGCATGTTGCGGCAGTGCCATAAGTCAATACGTAAGAGCCCATCATAGGACTCTTGACTAAATGATGTCATGCAATTGATCATCAATAGTCTGATCTACTGGTGCCTTGGAAGCACCATCAATTTACATCTACATGTTACATTATCATCTTGTACACTCTTTCAACCATACTTTCCTGTTCCTTTGACCAAAAATAGCATTCTTATGAGCATATCTTATTCAATTTGTAGTCATACATTTCGCAGTATGTAAGGGCCCACTAGGTATACCCAAGTAAATACCTAGTTAATATGCCAACTATCAGCGCGACATAACTAATCTTCCGCATGGCTCTGACACCCCTCGTCATCACTCCCCTCCCCACCACTCTCATCCCCCTTTGCCGCCTTCCCCTTCTTGGTCTTCCCAGCCCCATTCATCATCTCCATCAACGTCTTCTGTCCCTTCTTCTTCACCGGGGCCTTCGTCTTCTTTTTCTCCTCGGTGGCCAGTTTCCGCTCGTATTGTTCTTGTTGCTTCTCCCTCATTTCCCTTCCCTCTTCGGATAATTTGGCCTCCAGGGCACGGAATTCCTCGCCCTCTGGATCCATTCCGATTAGGGATTCGAGGAGGGCGATTTCATTGGCCCAGACGGAGGGGTCGGCGATAAGTTTGGCGGAAGTGGGGGTGGATGTTGGTTTCTTGGTGGGTTTCTTTTTCGGTGACGAGGATGTAGTGGTGGAGATGGAGGATTCAGGACGGTCGATGGGCGTTTCGAGGATCATAGGGAGGTTTTGGAATCGGGGTTCGTTCATGACGTTGTGGAAGGCGCGGAGGCCGAGGAAGCCCGTGCCGATGTTGGCGTGGAGGTCGCGTTTACTGCCCTGGGGCGCTTTGGAGTCGTTGAGGTGTAGGGCGCGCAGGTGTTGAAGACCGATGGTGTCGTCGAATTCTTGCATGAAGGCTTTGAATCCCGCGGGGTTGACGAGGTCGTAGCCTGCTGCGAAGCTGTGGCATGTGTCGATGCAGATGCCGATTCGGTGGTGGTATTCTTTCGGGATTTGGGCGATGATGTCTCGGAATTCGTGCAGGTAGCCGCCGATGGTGGTGCCGTGGCCGCACATGGTTTCGAGGACGGGGATCACGGTCGTGGTGGCGCGGAGGGCGTTGGTTAGGGCTGTGGCTAGGCGGGTGAGGGCGTCCGGGAGACTGCTTTGGTTGGCGCTGCCGGGGCTGGGTTGGGTTGGGGGTTAGTTTGGGGATGGATGGGTTGTGGGTGAGGGTGGGATGGACGTACTGGAAGTTGTAGAGGTTGATTCCGAGGGCTTCGCAGCGGCGGAGGTCATCGAGGAAGGCGTCGTATGCTTGCTTGGCTTTGGCTTTGTCTTCTTGGGCGAGGTTCACGAGGTAGGAGCCGTGGGGGAGAATGTGTCTTAGAGAGGTTAGGATGAGGATGGGCGGGTGGGTGGAGGTGACAGAGGGCTCACTGTGCGGCGTCATATTTGTGCTCCGTGCAGAGACTGCGGAATTGGTCACGGTGGTCGTCTTGGAGAGGAGGGTTGTCCCATTTGCGTTGGGACTTGAGGAAGAGGGCGAAGGCGTTTCCGCTGGAGGAATTAGTTGAGGTGTGGTCGAATGGAAAAGAGGGGACATACCCGATGTGCGTGCTGTTGTGAATGGCATTGAAGACGCCTGTTGAAGGACATAGTGAGTGTTTGGTCCATGGCACATGTGATCGGAGGATTGTAAACCTTTGGCGGCGCTGACATGAGCTCCCACGCACATGCGCAGACCCTGTGTGCGCACCCTCAATGGTACCATCTCGACCTCCTCTTTGATCTTCCTTTTCCGCGTCGCTTTGGCCTTGACCATCGGTTTCTCGTCCACTTCTTCCTCCTTGGCCACACCTTTGTCGACTACCTCTGCCTCGACGAAAACCTCTTCTTCCTCCTCGAGCTCCTTCTTGACGGAAACGACCTTGCCTTCACGAGGTTTTCTCGGGGTGGCTTTCGGGCTCTCTGCAGCAGATCGGGTCGGAGCTGTGCGCGTGGTGGACTTGTCGGATGGCGACTGTGTTGCGACAGGTTTGGCCCGCTTCGACCTTCGCAGAGGGGAGCTCTGTTCCTGAGTTTCGTCTGGCTTGCGCTTGTTGGCTCCCGCTTCGGGGGAGTGTGGTGGCTCGGTCGCCACAGCGGTGGAGGCAGCCTTTCGGGTACCGCGAGGAGGCATCGCAGAGTATCCGGGGCGTGTCAGTGACGATGAGGTCACCGGATCCAGTCAGAAGTGTTATTTGAGGAATGGTGGATGGCAGAAAGTTGGTGGGCCGTGAATCCAGCAGGGTCGGCCCGCGCTTGGACGCGCTCGACGCGGAGTGGGACGCTCGATTAATCGAATGGGGGTCTACCACGCGGTATTTCCACGAAACCAGATGGTTAATGCTTGGTTTTGAGTCCCTTTGCAGACTTAGATCTCCAATTTGTCTAGATGAGAATCAATTCTTCCCATAAGGGTGGGTTGGTCAGTTTTGAGCACCCGAGCGCAGCAACAGCAAATATTACCCGATATGGGCTAGGGTGCATGTGACCGGTCGCCAGGGAAACGAACAGGGATTGGCGGCTGTTTATCGATAAACTGCCCAACGTGGTCAATCTCCATCTCGATTGGAGCCCGAACCTCGTCTTTTCCTCCATCTCGCCAGCCCACCATCGCCATCATCGCCAACTTCGCACCGCCATCGCATCGGATTCGCCAAATTGAAGACACGCCACTCCCGCCTAATCTATTCTGACACATTTGTCCATCAACATCTCTCGCCGCCATGGCGGCCCCCGGAGACCTCATCAACTTCGACATCATCGAAGGCCAGAAGGAGAACATTCAGTCATTACCAGGAGGACGGTCGGCAAGAGAACTGGCTCGGATCTTCTCGCCCCGCGATTCCACAGACATTCTGGCTACACCATCACCAAATGATACCCGGACGGTCAACGATGCCATCAGACAGGAATACGAGGCGGAGTTGCAAGCCATAGGGGAGTCCGACGACCCCCTTGACATCTACGACCGATACGTCAAATGGACCCTCAATGCCTATCCATCGGCCCAGGCGACCTCTGAATCCGGCCTTCTGCCACTCTTGGAACGCGCCGTGAAATCCTTCCTCACTTCCCCTCACTATAAGAACGACCCTCGTTATCTCCGCCTATGGCTTCACTACATTCGACTCTTCTCAGACTCGCCTCGAGAGACATTCGCATTTCTGGCACGTCACGATGTCGGAGAAGGACTTGCCCTGTTCTACGAAGAATTTGCTGGATGGCTGGAAAGCGCCGGAAGGTGGACTCAGGCCGACGAAGTGTACCGCCTTGGCATCGACAAGGAAGCGCGCCCCGCAGAACGCCTCGTCCGCAAGTACAGCGAGTTCCAACACCGCTACGAAAACCACACACAGGACAATGGGCCCTCTTCACCGGCATTGCCCGCTGTCCGGCCGGCTTTGGCTGCCAAGGTCGACCCATTCGCATCGGCTTCACCTCCGGCCACCGAGGCTCAGCGCCCAGCCCCTGCTAGAGGGGCTGCCCCGAAGACGAAATCCGGCAAACCAAAGATGGCCATCTTTTCCGATGCCGATTCGCCCAGCCAGCCAGCTGTGAGTGGCCCGGCACAAGGGTGGGACAACATTGGGTCGTTGCACGAACGACGGAAGGAAAACAAGGTCGAGGCGAAGCCATGGGCGGGAGAGACATTGAAGGCCGGCAAGAAGCCAGCCCCCGCCCAGAAGATGGCGATTTTCAGGGATGAGGTAAGTCCAGTGGTTTATTTACCTACTCTATCTGATTTCCGCATATTTACGATCACAGGACTAATTGGTGGCATGAACCGCATTGGTTTACGATTAATGTATTCAGTCAAATTCAAGTTCACAAGCCAAAGAAGCATTGCAAAACAAACATGTTCCAGAGCATCGCGTAAGGGAAGCGATTAACCCCCGTACTGGGAGACGCGAGCGCGTCTTTGTCAATCTCGAAGCAGTATACCCCGACTACAAGAACCCGAACCATGAAGTCAGCTTCGAGGAACTCCGGGCCATGAGTCGTGGCTGGATGGACAAGAACTGGCGGGCTCAGAAAGAGCCCCTCAAACAGATATCGGGGAATGCTACTTCGGCAGATCTCCCCTCTGACAACCCTCTTGAGCAGGGTCTAGAGAACGAGCTGCCAGAACAATTCAAGCAGAAGTTGACCGTCAGAGATGCAGACACTCACGACCAGGGGCAGGCCCAGGTGGCCCAGGAAAGCAAAGCCAATAAGGCGCGGAAATTGAAGCTTCGTGAAGTGAAGGGAGAAACCCAGACCAGTAAGCGCAGCGCCTCGACTCGCAATGCAGTTCCTGTCTTCTCACTTGACACTTGTGTGTACTAACCCATTTTAAGTCAAAATGAAGTTTGACTCTCCGACTGGTGGCAAGATCCGACGCAAAAGCACCGCGGAGCCAACCATGACTATCCATACTCGCGCTGCGACCGATGAGATCTACAGTATTTTCAACCAGCCCCTGAAGGCGGAGACTGAGAATGTAGCGGAAAGCAGTGACTTCGAGGACGATGATTATACAAGCGCTGGGGAGAGCACAGGCACTGGTCGCCATTCGGCTGCGTCAAGCGATTTCGGTGATGATGATACGACTTTCCATAAGTCATTTGTCGAGGGCGATGAGGACGGCTTTGGGGACAATACGCGCGCCGAAAGTGTCGTTGATGGTGAATGGACGCAGTTCTCCGCCTGCGATGTCCCTGCTCATTCACCAGACATGCCCGGGGACTCCACCTACCATGACCGAGAGGATAACACAGGGCAATTTCTAGACGATGCGGATGAGACAGAGAGGCAGAGGTTTGTCCCAGAAATGCCCGAAGACTATAACCCACCTTACGGTCCTTATCGAGACCCTGCGGTTGTCGCACAGAACCGCCTTCCTTTCATGACCCCGATCGTGGAGCAGACTGAATATTCGCTCTCCATGACTGCAGCCAGGAACAGCTTATACAATGCGAAAACCCCCTCCAAGCCTCAGATGGGCAATCTCCTGTTGTCCAGCCCCTTCATTCCCGCCACTCCTCGCAACTTTCCTGATATCCCTGAAGATGTTGCTCTGAGCCCTACAATGGAAAAGGTCCGCACCGGTTTCAAGTTGAGCCCCCTGAAAGACAGCAGTCGACGAGATGTAGTCATCAAGGATGCACAATGCAATCCCACCGACAGGGAGATTCGTGACACAATTCTCCAGTCCTTACAACCACCCCTGGCATGTTATCCCGGCTACCACGGTCATTCTGAGATGGACACCCACTACAGCAGCGAAGTCCAGAGATTCCTAAAGACTAGCCCGAAACGTTCGAGAAGCGGTGATGAAGCGTCTTTTGATGTGCCCATTCTTGAACTCCCAGGCGCCGAAAGAAGCTACATCATTCGGCGCGAGCTTGGCGCCGGTGCTTATGCCCCGGTCTACTTTGTAGAGAGTATCGACAATATACCTTCCGATTCGGACGCCGAATCCATGGACGGCAACAGCAGAGATTCCCACAATCGTAAAATGACTCAATACGACACTCCCCGCTACGGATTTGAAGCGATCAAACTGGAGGTAGGACCGCCTAATGCGTGGGAGTTCTACATGATTCGCACCGCCAACGACCGATTAAGCCGCCACCCCGAATTCTCGCGGGCTGCCGAAAGCCTCATCCGTGCACATGAACTTCACGTCTACAAAGGGGAGAACATCCTCGTTGAAGACTACCGTGGACAAGGCACATTGCTCGATCTCGTCAACCTCATCCGCAACGAGCCCATTTCGGCCGGCACCAACGGTGAAGGTGGGATGGATGAGGTTTTGGCCATGTTCTTCACGGTGGAGCTATTCCGGACTATTGAAGCTCTGCACACGTGTGGCGTCCTACACGGCGACATCAAGGCCGATAACTGTCTAGTCCGCTTCGACGACAAGCCCGCAAGTCCTCCATCCTTGATTGATCTAGGGGACGAAGCCACCGCAGACCCACGCGAAGTTCACTACTCCCCCCGGGGGCTATACGGCTGGCGTAGCAAGGGTCTATCCCTTATCGACTTCGGCCGCAGCATCGATATGGAAGCCTTCCAACCATCCGTGCAGTTCATTGCCGACTGGAAAATCGGCAAACATGAGTGCAACGAAATCCGCGAGAAGCGGCCCTGGACGCACCAGATCGATCTCTACGGGCTAGCGGGTACCGTGCACGTGATGCTCTTTGGCAAGTACATCGAGTCGGTTCCCAGTGGCCCTTCAACATACCGAATCCGGGAGTCTTTCAAACGGTACTGGGAGCGTGATATCTGGACCGATGTCTTTGACCTCCTGCTCAACCCAGGCGAAGAGCGATGGGCCCAGATGGAACGGGAAGGCAATAACCCCGCGGCCATGGCCAGCGATAACCCGACTATTCTCCCCGTAACAAACTCGATGCGCTATGTTCGCGAGAGAATGGAAGAATGGCTCTTCCTGAATGCCGAGAAGAAGGGTCTTGGTCTGCAGATCCGGAAGCTGGAGGCCATCTTTGCCGAGAGGAAGAAACGTCTGGAGAAGTGCTAGCCCTTCCAAAGCCTACTTCCTCTATCTGATCTTCCTTGCTCGATTGCCTTACCATCTCTGTCCTTTGCCTTTGCTGTTCCTGCGATGCATGATTAACTCGTATACCCCCTTTGCCTTGTCACAGCGTTGGCGTTTTGGTTGATCACCATCTTATCTTCTCTTCTCTTTCCGTTGTAACTATCTTGGCCGTTGCCCATGGATACATAATCTGCTTAGTACTAGTGTCTGAAATTTAGGTTGTTCTATACATATAAGTTACTGATACAGTTTTAACCCAGCATGTGTAAGTTATGAAACTTACGATACTTCCCATCTAGCCAATTGAGTGAATTCTACTAACCTAGTAAAATACTAGCTAGCGTACAATTAATTCTCGAATGCAGAAAAAGGAAAGAGAACTATGGATTCATAATTTCCAAAAATTCAACATTCAACATTCAAGATTGACTGACTTGCTTCGTAAACATTCCTCATCATATCATCTGTCGTACTACTTATACGTTTAGAGATCATGTATTCGTTATCAAAAACAGCAACAGATTGATCAATCAAATATGCCAAACAAAACTACAATGTTCAAAAGACATCTTGCAATGAAGAAGCGGAAATGTATTGTGGGAAATAGAGATAGTAAGAAATTTAATGAGAGAGAGAGATAGTTGACTGTAAATCGACATGCTTGAATGGAGCAAGACATGGTAAAACAGACAAAACAGATCATAAACAAATTCGAAACAGTCAGTTGAAGCAATGCTGGAACTGCAACTGAAACTGAAAACTGAACGCTGCAAAGACAATGAACGCTTCCATAAGACGTCGTCACTGAGCAGCAGCCATGCTGTGAGGCTCATTCATCTATCAGTCATTCATTCAATACCGGCGTCTCTCCATTCTAATCATCACTCATGCCAATGGGGCATGCGGAAGGTTCATCAAGATCAAAAACAGATCGCATGGTGATATCGAGTATTCAAATTCGATGGGTAGGACAGATAAGAGGAAAAATAGAGAGGAAAAGAGATTGAAGGATAGTGGGATTGCCAGGGCGTGTTGGTTATGTAGTTTTTCTTGTGTTAGCAGTGGCAATGTTGAAATTCTGTCGATGTTGTAGTTCAGAGAGTGAATCCGGTTCGGTATGTCCAGAGCATAAGAGAGTAAGGAAAATAAGAGAGTGTCATTGACCATCATCAACAATGGATGCGGAACCCTTCCGTGGCCGGGGTCGTACTAACGTGACCGGGTCCGCCAAGGCGATATGCAATGCTGGTTTGGTCAAAAATAGGGGAGAACAAGAACACTGCGCAAAAAACAACGATCAAGTTCAGTTGGTGTGGAGTGGCGGTTGTAGGTTTGGCTCGTACGGGGAATACGGCTGAACCGCTGAAAAGCAACGTATGCATCTTGGAAGTCCAAAACAACTTCGAGTATAATTTTTTTTTTTCTTTTGGTTCTTTTTCTTTGTAACCCTTCTCAATCGTATCATGCAACGCTGTTCAAACGAATAGAGAAAGGGCGGGGTAAAGTCGTCAAGTCATAAATGCCATTTCTGTCATCATTTCCTTTAATCAAATGCGATCAATCTCACGGTAAATCGTCCAGGTCATTAATATAGTAGATGGATGTGGCGTTGGCACATGGTGAAACTCAGATTCCAACAATGGGGCACAGTAAACCTATTGTCTTGAGTGCGGCGTATTAAGGATTGGAGTGCGACTGCATTCAACATCTTTCCCGGTTGGATCGTATAGGGGCACGCCAGTCATTCCTTGATTCTGAGGCTGACTGTTCGAACTTGTCGAGTCCAGTGGGGGAAGTAGTCCGCTGGCAAATGGATCTGAGAAAGACGGAGCATGCCTAATGCGCCTAGGTGAAGGCTGGGGTCGTTTGGTTACTTCCAGCTTGAAAGGCGAGCCCAAACGCTTGATATTTTCGCCACCGAGATTCAGCAATGCGTTAGCTACGGGTTTCTCCACTATAATGTCTTCATTCCGAGACGACGATGATGGCGGTGAGAACAACTGGTCGAGGCCCTGGTGATTGACTGCACTCGTTGTGGCGCCACGGTTGCGAATCCGTATGCGATGCTGGCCAACATGATTGAGCTTTCCATGCCGGAGAAGATCTTCTAACTGTTCATCCGTGTCCTGTTCGGCTGGAAATTCACTCGTGGGGCCAGCATAGGGTGCCAGGTGGGGGAAGGTCTCCATGCGAGGCGGAGAACGAAGCCGGGAGCCCGTCACATGGATGGTTTCCCGCCTATTTCTGGGTGTATGACGATGGAGGCGCTTTTTCGAGCCACTGGGACCCCACGAGTTGTACGTAAAGGGTGATCCTAGTCGTGGCACTGGCTCCTGCTTGCCGGCACTGGCAACAGCGTGTATCGTGGGCGGCGCAGCCATGGTTTCATATCCCTCACTAAGGACAGGGTTGTTGAACCACTCGTTACTGACCTCCTGTGGTGACGGGCCCTCCGTTGCTAATTTAGCCAAAGGCCCGGGAACATAGCTGGACACTAGCGACACGCCCAGATCGCGCGTCGCATACGCAGTGGAGCTGTTGATAGGAGCCTCGGGTCGGGCAGGTTCTCCGGTCGGGTTCGAGAACACGTCCAGGAACGGTGTCGGGCTCTTGGACTGCATCATCCGCTGGTAGTGAGGAGCGATTGAGAACTTTTTTCTACAGAGAAATTTTAACCTGCGCCGAGTGGATGCTTCTGACTTGGGCCAGGTTTGCCTCGCTAAATCGGACCTGGGGGTGGGCGTGGAGTGGTTGCTTGGGCGCTGATGCGACGAGAGCGCCATGGGAAACTGCCCGTCAGGTCTAAAGCGCCTTCTCTCCCAACTCCGCTTCGCCTCTCGGGCGACGCGATGAGCGACACCAAGAGGCGGAATGCTGCCCGGAGTCATTTTAAAGGGGGTAATGGTCGGGTCTTGTAGGTAGACCTGGTAGGTGTTCCACAGATGGTTGTCCATAGGCAGGGTCCATCGCTCTTTGAAAGGGCGTGATCGTGCCTTATTCTTGCGCGTGTGAGACAGGGTGGGTGTTTCTGGTGTTTGCTTTGATGGAAGCTCCAGGTGGAAGAAAGGGTCGTATGACTCTTCCTCCATGCTTGTACAGCTTCCGCCCGCTGAGCGCCGCGAGCTAAACGTTTCGATTGATGAGACCGACGAATCCGATGCTTGCGAGCAGGCGGAACTCGGACGTTGTATGCTCTCCCCCAGGGCTTGGGAATCGTGCAAATACCATGATCCCGAGTTTGTCTCCTCGACCGGATCGGGACGAATCTGAGCCGGGGGCGTTTTCATGGCCAGACGGTCCCGGGGAGGCGCTAGGAACCGGTCATCGCGAGAGGGAACTGTTGGATACGAGGATCCGGTAAAAGCGTCATTAAACGGGAATTCAATCGAGGGCAAAGGGACATCGGATTGGTTAGAGGTGGACGTGCTGAGGTCATATTGGGCCTCAGCAAAGACGTCGGTCCCCGAGCGGACGCGGGACCTGCGCAAACGGCAACTGGAATGACGAGGGGGGGGTGGTGGCACACCCAGGTGAGTCGAGGCGCGCTCTGGCGTCCTAGGCTCACCCAAGCCCGTCGAAGAAAAGGTGAAGTTCTTCGGCAGGGTGCGCGAAAGGCCGTTCTGTCGACCAGCCATAGTGTGTACCTTCCCGTATCTTCCAAAGATGACTAGCGATCGGCTGGATCGTGAGGACGATAATCCAAGGGTTGGTGTGATTTCTCGAAAGTCGGAACAAGTTTCCCTATATCAGTCTCATGTCGCGAACCTCGTGCGTGATCGAAAATAGGTGGCAGACGTTCGAAGTAAAGCGCGGACTTGGATAGTAGCCTAGGTCGCACTCTTCCGATGGAATCCAATGAAACGCGCACACGCTATCCCACAGTATACAACCAAATTCAGATATCGAGGCAGAAAGCAGAGTCCAGGAGCAAGAGGGTAAAGAAATCAATTTCAGTCAATGGTGCAACGTCTCCAATCGATCTCCGAAAGGTCGATAAGGCGCGCTTAGGGTTTGGGGAAGTCGTGATTCGTAACAGGTGCAGGGGGGAATAGAAAAAGGAAAAGGAAATCAAACACGTCAGGGTGTGAGTGGTGGGAAGGGCGAAAGCGATCGAATCCGTGTGTTATTCGATGTGAAGCGCGATGGGGAATTGCAAGAGTGCGCTTGGGATTGGGAAAGATCACATCGAAAGGTACCCGCGCTCCATTGCCGGAAGGTCAGAGTAGAACTATAGGGGACGGGGACCGGACATTGGCACACGAACACGCCCGACCAACACAAACAAATAAAAATAAAAAGAGTAAGGAAATGGGAAGGGATGGCTGAGACAGAGCGACAGGCTCGATCGGAGAAAAAAGGAGAAGCGACAACGTGGTTGTCGAGAAAGAAAGGGAGTAAGTAGGTAGTGGAAGTAGAGTGATAGGAACGGAGTCAAAGGATGGAACGGAAGAAGAGAGGATGAGACAGCCGAGGGGGAAGCGGTAGGCGCCCCGACCAGCAGCAGTACAGCAGAGCACTGGCCGACGGGGGGAGGGCGGCCTCAGGGACGGACGGACTGGACACACTCTGTGTCTGTCTCTCACTCAGTACTTACCGTACGGAGTAGATACCTACTTAGTCACTCACTGGCGGCTCCACTTTGCATGGCTCCCGGAGATCACCACGTCAGGGCATCAGGGCACCAAGTGGCCTCGCCGCTGTGCTGTTCTTTGCTCAATGCTCTGGCGATGCCGCTAATCGGGCTCTCCATCCAGATCCATGCCAATGCCATCATGACAGCCTCCCTCGACATCCTTTCTCAAATGCCAAATGCCACGGGCGCATTGTCGTCATGTACCCAAGGAATTGACTTGAACATTGCACAGGAGGCAAATCGAGAGGGTTCCAGAAAAGGGAAAAAAAAAAAGAAAAGAGAAGAACAGACGAGCCGGTGGGCCCTTGGGTCGCGACTGCTCAGGAATGCGGAGAAAATCGAGATGCTGCGTTTCCTCGTGAGCCACTCACCTGCTTCCCTTTTTCCATTTTTCCAATTTTCCCTTTTCTATTCTTTATTTTCTCGATTTTTCTTATCCTTTCCCCCTTTTTCCTCGTACTGCTCTTTAGCCAATGTTGGTCCATCCGGAAAGAGACTAGATACTTGGGACCATCCAGAACTAAACCTTCAGCAATCAGCATGCTCCGTACGGCGCACACAGTCACAGTCTCCAATTCCTGGAGGCTGGAGGGGACTCCCTCCAACCGCCTCACCGCGTTGCCCAACGATCCCTCGGGACGGGCAGAGGATTCACGCATGCAGCTCTCGACAAATCGCAGCCCGCCGGATGGAGTCTTCCATCGGCCCCGACCAAGTCGGCCTACCCAGCGGCCAGCCAGAAGATTTATCTTGGGCCCTAAATCATCAGCCCGCTGCAGGAGCAGCGATCCAGAATCGCATAGCTTAGCCTTTAGTTACTATACCTACCTACTTGCAAGTTGCAACGTTGTTCGGTTCTCCTCAACTGCAAGGGTACCAGGCCGGTGCCCTGTGGTCACTGGTCAGTGGTGATAGTAGTAGTAGTTCCCTCGACCGTCTCCAATGATTGCTTTGCATTGCCCTGGGATTGATCACAATCCTCGTGCACCCGGCAGACCTATCTGATCCTTCATCTATGTGGCCCCATGGATCTACACGCAACGTTCTCTAGCGAGCAGGACCGAAATAGGCCATGGGTGACCATGTGATCGAACAACCCGGTGGCTGGGGGGCGAGCAGACGAAAATTATTTTCCCGTTTAATCATGTTGGCGAACCAGGAATTTGGGGGCGTCCATCGGTGCTTCAGCAAGGTGGTCTTGAGGGCGATGCACCGTACATCAATCATGGTCGCGGTCATGAACTCCAGTCACCTGCAGAAGCGTTCTCCACCGCCTGGCGAAATGAACCCCGACGCACTGGGCGTGCATTAGCACCACTGCCCGCCAGCCAGTCACATCCCGGTCACCAGGCATGGAATTGAAGCCACAACTTAACCGCCTCGCGGGCGGCCCGAGAATGATCAAGCAGGATAAAACGTTTCTACAACCTCATCCACAGTTCCTTCTGCTGTTATATAGGTTCCTTTCCTTACTATCACCCATCATTTGTGTTCCCTTTCATGAAAGAACTCCCCGCGGACAAAGGATGTGGGCTTTCTTCTATGAAGGCCAGGAAGTGTCGGACTCGCTTATCGCCTTTGCCCCAGACGCGTTAGGGCGGGGTAGTCGCGACTTAACGCGTCTGGCACGCGGACCCGCGCGTGTGGTAAGTGACTGTATTACACCCGTTTCCCGCCAGTCAGCGCTAGGCTTCGGGGTACGGGCGTACTAGCGCACTGCCTGGGGCTTCCATTTGTTCCTGGCTAAATCGACTAGATCCACGACGGTTTAGTATGGCCGTGCTATCCCACTCCATCGACCTTGAAATAGTAATTCCGATGGCTGGGGATGGAGCATGCAGGAACAAGATACGGAGTACGGATGAAGACTTTTATAGCACACAATCCACTGAAGTTATATTTAGAAGGGAACGATGGACTAACTGCCATCTATGGAGTAGCGGGTGGATGGCGGAGTGACTTGATATCGCGATTTAGTGCTGTAGCCTGTGGGACATAACATATGATTAAATCGAGGGCATCAAATTCAGAGCAGGGATATCCGACATTGCCGGTAGGACAGTAATCTCCAGATCCGTTTGTCTAAGTACATGATTTTGCCCGATGGAGTATAATGCTCTAAACTCAACAAAAATCCAACCACCCCACACCACAATCAAAACAAACCATCCAAAAAATCATCACCAATCAAGTTCTGTCATTAAAATTAAACCACTTTAACCTACAAATCACAAATTCATACCTGGCTACCTATACACGCACATCCCACGGAGTACCTACCCTCCCTCCTCACAAAGTACAGGTACATACATACCCACCCACTCCCCAAAAAGAAACATACAAAAAAACAAAAACCACCCCCATTCTATGTACTAGTCCACACATACAGTAGTCCCTCCCACATGCGATGCTTGCTTATCCATACGTGCTTGCTTGCTTGTACATCATTCTTCAGAGCAAGCAGGTAACCGAAGCAAGCAAGCAAGCCGTACAATCCAGAAAGCTTGGCCTGACATGGACGGTATATAACTTGGACTGATGGATGGATGGACCGGAACCGACTCCGCAAGTCCGTACCTTACCTTACCTAGCGGCATCCGCACACACACGCGCCAGTGGTTAAGCTTGATTTTGAGCCGTGGTTCAATTGATTTCTTAAAGGAAGCCATTATAGTCACACCCTGTAGTCTTAGAGTCACACCCTTTTGGTCGCTACAATAAGATTAGTGCCATCACATGACTCATCTAACTGAAAATAGAATAGAATATCATGTGATCTACAAAACAATAATTTTTTAATCTCTTGCTACGCGTTCTACTGCCCGTCGTGGCTATCCCGTGATCCAATCCCTGCAATCATGAAATTGCTTCTTTATATTCAGGAAGTGGCTGCTGTACAGAGCAAATAAAGGTCTAAAGACACCAAGAATGGGTTTTTATCGGGCTTCAAGATGAATAATAAGATAGTTGACTAGGACATTTGTCACGCAAGGAAGACAGGAAGATCTTACCTTTCAAAGCGGCTCCGGGAGGCAGAATTTGTTATTAGGATTAGTCAGGCAGGTAGGAGACAGAAGGTAGAGTGGTCAGGTGACAGGAGGCAGTGTGGTCAGGTAACATGGGATAGAGTGGTCAGGTGAAGCAGCAGGCCTTGTAGACTGTAGAGAGGCCTGAATCATTAAAAAATACAGTAAAAAATTAAAACAGGTGTTGCTTTTATCCCTCTTTTCGGCGAAGTGGATCAGGTAATGGCGCTAAGCCTATTTGAGAGACCAAAAGAGTGTGACTCTAAGATTACAGGGTGTGACTATAATGTGAGCCTTCTTAAATCCCATATGGAGAAGGCCATCCACCCCCTGGCTTCTTAGGTATTCGGGCTTACAGCGTGCGAGTAATGCTTAGGTGAATTGTGTCGTATTCTCCTTTCATTTCAGTATGTGTATGTTTAACATGCGAGGTTTGGAGCTATAGTTTCCAGGTATAATAGCGCAGCGTATTGGATTTCAGTCTGCAGGCGGCGTTCGAAAATGAAGATGGACTCGTCCAGCAGAGTCAATCGAGGTGTTGAGGATGAGAGAACTTCGTCTTAGCGCTTCTGCCAATGAGAAAAGCGGAATAGTAGGCTACTGAGGGATCAAGAGCAAGTATAAAGTGGGCGATCGAGCTCGCAGAGGTTGTATTTTAACTTAATTCGCATGCAACTCTCTTCTCTAGTTTTCATCTCCTTTATTTTAATTCCCGTAATATGCTTCCCACATTTCATATCAACAACTGCAAGCCGTGGGCACTTCACAGGAAGCCATTCCCACTGTATAAATCACCCAAACCATGCTCTCCAAAAACCCAGAATCTCACTCGCCCCATCTATTTTGAGCGTCTTGGTCGGTTTTTACAATGCGAGGTGATTAAATATCTAATTAACGGAGTAGTTAGATCCTGGCCCAGTAAGTGAACAGGAGATGACGAGGAAGCGGAATCTACTAAAGGATGCTCGTTGCTTCCCAAGACACGTTAGGAACATAAAATCCCAAAGTTCCTTGTGTCTCTTTTTGCCTTTTACAAAGAGTAGTAAGTACGCAGACAAATTCCTTGACCGGACCTAAAGATGCAGTGATTGAGGATACATATCTGGGGTGACCTTACTTATCTTACTTAGTACCTTGTACTATACTTATCATATGTGTAGTACTACTTGTCGGCGGGTGATCGGTTATAAAACTGCGTATTTCACTACTAATTATCGGATTCTCTATTTATGTCTGGGGGTTGTTCATGTGTATGTATGTATATTAGTAGTCACAGTTAAATCGTTAGGTGAAATCATTTACGATAGATGACTGGTTGGGTTACGGTATTACCATCCATGATCTACCCCTTGCTTAAAGCCGGTTTTGGTTTTGGTTTTGTGACCTCACGCGGACTGGGATTACGATATCTAGATAGATAGATAGGGTATGGCCATGCATGACTGGTCTGCATGCATGCATGCATGCATGTGTGCGTAACGCCGTTGGGTACCATAGGTGGGTGGGTAGCTAGGGAGGGATGGAGGGACAACTCAGCTTGATCCATGATCTGTTGTGTTGTGTTGTGTTGTGTTGTGTTGTGTCTTAGGTTTGGGTATGGGGTTCTGATTGGCTGATGACTGTTTATGTATGTAGGTATGTACTGGACGTGATAGGATCTATGCTACACAGTATACACGGTTGGGATATTCTGTTGAGAATTCTACTCAATTCATACCAGTTCCACCTCCGACTGTCGCGACTTGAACAGGAATTTCACGGTCGGATCGCAGATCGTCTCAGTCCCGTGCATAAAGTTGGTCGGTCGCGTTGTGCGCTCGTCGGCAAACTTCCAGTCGTATCGCATCAGGATGTGGATGAGGAGGATTTTCACCTCGTTCGCGGCGAAGAACCGTCCCGGGCATGCATGCATGCCGTGTCCAAAGCCGAAATGCTCCGGGCTGGTCGTTACAAATTGGTAGCGGTGCTCGTTGCCTGGTTCCTGTCGCTTTCTGTAGAATCGGAAGCCGTCATATTTCTTTGCGCCCGGGTAGACTGATTCGTCCTCGAGGTTGTGTGCGGAGACGACGACGCTGGCGCCCTTGGGAATTCGGGTGCCATCGGAAAGGATGATTTCCGCCATGGCAAGGCGGTTCAGTAAGGCTGCGAGTAGGTTAGAAGTTGGTTACTGTAAAGTGAGGGGTAGGATGATGTCTACCGATGCCAGCTGGGTGCATTCGCTGGGTCTCCTTCAGCACACTGTCCATCAACTTCAACTTGGTAAGACTGGTCTTCTTCAGGCCTCCGTCTTCGGTGACGACGGCTTTGATTTCGTCTCTCAGCGGTTGAATGTACTCCGGGTGGGCTGTCAAGTCGTACATGACGTTCGTGAGGAGATGCGATGTAGTGTGAATCGCAGCCAGGGAAAGGCCAACCTGGGCGCGAACGACATCCACCGGCCGCCCGGCCGCAACCTCTTCGAACCAGTCCAATGTGTCTGCGTGTGTCCTTGGGGGTTCCTCCTCGGGAAGCTTGCCTTCTCGGATGAGTTTTCTTTTTTCAATCTCGGCATTAATGATAGCGGAGGCGATTCTGATGTCTTTCCGGGCCTTGCGAGTGGTCGGCAGGACCCAGTGGACTAGAGGATGAAGAACGGATGGCCAAAGCCTGAGGTCGCGAGCAGCAAAAAAGGCGTCAATGGTGTAGTTGACGGAGACGTCCAGCCACTGCTTGTTGCGACAGATTTTCTCGCCCAGAAACACCAGGGAAGACAGCCGAGCCACGACATTAGGAATCTCCTGCGCAAAGGAAAAAGAAACCCACTCTGAACACCTGTTAGATGAGTACTAGCATCACGAATGCAGTCACATACCCTTAGACTCTGGCAGCTTTTCATCCAGAACCGCAGCAGTCTCCCTCGATAGCGGAGTGGTTAATTGGCCTAGAACAAAGTCAGTACTGCGAACAGCTCTTTTGCATGACACTTACCGAGCCCTTGAGTAATCTTCTTATTTATCACTTCCAGAAAGATGCCCTCGTTGTCTAACCCATCAAAGGGTTCAAAGCCCGGGATCTTGGATCCGAAAAAGCTCTAGCCGTGCGTTAGACATCCATGTGGAAGTAACAACGGCAGTAGCCTACCTTTCGATTGGCCTCATTAAAGTCAAGAAATGGATGGTTTTTGACCTCATCCACAAGGGTAGGATGAAGGACAATGGTCGGCCTACTAGAGAAAACCACCTGAAACACTTTTCTGCTCTGGATGTGGCTGTCAGCTCTACCGAATCTGATAGAAGTAATATCCAATCCTACCTGGCTAAACCCCTCTGCAAAGATATCTTTTGCAGATGTGACAAACCGCTGTTTGGCCTTTGTGTTCGTGACTTCCCATCTGCTTTTCCCAATAAGGGGAATATTCTTGTATGGAAAACTATCCGCTAGTTCATGATAGAAGGTTGACGCAAAGATAAAAAGCAGTGCCACTGCGACACCTTGCAACAGGTGGTGGCTTTCCAGGACGTCAAGCAATATAGCCATGGCTGGGGTGAGTAGCTAGGTGGTGAGAGTCAGGAGGGATGGCCAACAAAGCCATTCTTGGAACCCAGAGCTATATATTTCAAAGAGGACAGGATTGCCATTCCCCTAGAGCATTAGACACTATGATTACCGACGAACTCTCCACTTGATCATTCACCATCAGGATGAATCATTGAATACGCTAATACGACAGGATCATCCGTTGCGAGTAGAGGGGCCGTGGGTGGGCCGGCACCTGTAGCCGGTCTAAATGAGATGGAGACTGTATATCGATCTCCCTTTCATCCGGCCAGTTCGCCTGGAAGGGTTGATGTACTTACCCAAGGAGGCAAGTCGGAAGTCCCGAGGATACATGGTTGACTCAAGCCCCTCTGTGGTAACAACATACGATACAGTCAATGAAGGTCGAGTTGAGAAGTTTGGCCCGACAGTATGAGCCATGATTATAGATGAAACATGGCATGGTCATCGTGTTTGCAGGAAGATGATGGAGGATGATGAAGGATGAGAGAGGATGATGAGTAATGGGGCTCCTCCCTCACCGCAATTGGTTGGCTCGCATGTAACTTATGCGGTCCGGGACACCCTAAGTTGTTTGGGGGTATTGCATCCGATGAATAGACGAGCCGCATTATTGACAGGTCCTAATAATGAAGCAGACGGCCTTGTGGTCCTGACTCTGTCCAGTGCAGCAGTTAGGCTGTAGTTTGAATAACAAACTGCCGTGAATGTGATAACAAAGCAATGACGGATGAGCTGTGGCTGTGCAATATTGCCACCATTGGATGAATTAAGACGCGCATTGCGTAGTTGTGCAGAGCTGCCCTGACCTTATCTAGTCCAAGCCACGTGCATCAACAGGGAAGGCTGAAGAACGGACAAGGAAAAGCATGCCAGAGCAGGATAATCCTATGTGAAAGGATGCTGCGGTTGGCGAGAAGAACCCAAGATGACGAAGGCCGCTTATCTCACGACGCCAAGCCCACCTCCCCAACCCGGAAGTAATGCGGGGAAGGCGTTGGAGACCCAAGTCTTCCAAAGTCTCCCAACTTCCTCGCAACCTCATCGCCTTGATTGACTTTCCTGACTGCCGTGGCTTGGAGGCTGATCGTATTTAGTCCTCCTTTTTGCTTATTACCTTTCTTTCCCCCAACTAGCTGTTGCTGACCCCCACCTTCCGATTAGCTTTATCACTTCTTATCTTGTAATAGCTCGTGCTGATCATGGGAGACTACGGGCAAGGCGTGTCGTCACTCTCGGTACAGGCACCGGGCAGTAATCCGCCTTCATCCGTCACGGACTCGGATGAGATATCGGTTCTGGTGACGGGCTTCGGTGTAAGTCGTCCTCTCTCATACCTTAACAGCTCCGCAGCTCACGACAACAGCCTTTCAAATCTAATCTAGTCAACGCCTCCTACCTAATCGCCTCATCCCTGCCATCCTCATTTACCTTCTCTCCTACGAAAGACCCCGATGCCACTCCTCGCCGAGTCTCGATTCACGTCCATCCCTCTCCTATACCCGTCGCCTACTCTACCGTCAGCACAACCATCCCTGCCATCACAGACGACTATGTCAAGACACACGGCCGACGTCCCGATATTATCCTTCACATGGGCATCGCCGGAATGAGAAAATTCTACTCTGTGGAGACAAAAGCCCATCGCGACGGATACCTGATGTCCGACATCAAAGGCAGAGCAGGCTACGAGGATGGTGAGAAACAGTGGAAGGAGCTTGACTTGCCACTGTTGCTCAAAGCCGGGCCCGCGGCTGAATCCGAGTCTTCGGCGAAAGGCCATTTGAATCCCCGCGCACCGGACGACCGCTTCCTAGATGCGTGGAAGACCTTCTGTCCCCCGGAAACAGACGTTCGGATCTCCACGGATGCGGGGCGGTATCTTTGCGAGTTCATCTTCTACACCAGCTTGGCGGTGGCGTACCAGGGTGGTCATGACCGTAACATCACCTTCCTTCATGTCCCTGCAACGTGTCTGGATGAGGATATTGACCTTGGGAAGGAGGTTGCCATTGCGTTGATCAAGGCTTTGGTGACCAGCTGGAGTGATGAGCAGGTTCCGAGCGATGCCTAGTTTCTTTCAACAGTTTCTTTGGAACCGCGTGGAAATTGGGGATATTGCATGATTTATAGCAATTTTTGCTTCTTTTCTTCTTTGCTCTGACGGTCTGAAGACTGATCATCTTGGATTATATATCTTGCATCTCATGGATCTTATCAGCGTCTCGAGGATTTCGAACCGTCTGCATCACCACTTGGCGCCGCTGTGCATTTTGGGGCATATGGAATATTCCCGCTCTATATAATTTCCGCAACCGGCCGGCTGGATACGAGCTAATGGAGATTGATGTAGTGCTCTTGGTATTGGTTTCAAATAGTATGGAGGTCGTTTCTGTCGCTGTTTATCTCTTTGAGAAAAAGCATCTTGCTCGATTTTGGATTTTATAAATTCGGAACATTGCCAAATCTTCTACTATAAGCAATCGTCTGCGGGCGTCTACACGTGACTAGACGCAGTCTGCTTGGCATTCCGGGGTAAAGAAAAGGGGGAATCCCTTCGCTATACATCGAAACAGTGGACCGCTCTTCTCTTCAACATGCCAACGTCACGCCCGCTTCTTCGTGGGGAAATTACGTACTCCACTGCACAAAAAAAAGAAGTGAATATTCTCCATCGCTTAAGCTACCATGACCAAAGGGAAAGATTCTTTGCACATGTTGTTGAAAGACGCGACTGGATAGAAGCCATAGTCGCTCATCATCTCAATCTGGGGTCACCCAACTCATGCTATATGGATGATATGGAAAATTGGCACCATGGAAGCTTCAATATATGTGTTCCGGTGACTGTTAACGATTGGAAGCGAAAAGAACAGCCTGGGAAGCGTGTTTTGCTTCGATTTCCTCTTTCATATCGTGTTGGTGATGCATTTCGACCTGGAAATGGGGACGAAAAGATCTGTTGTGAGGCGGGAGCGTATGCGTGACTTCAAGCAAACTGCCCGGATGTCCCTATTCCGAAGCTATACGGGTTTGCTACATCTACTGGTCAAACCGTATGGCTTCCCCTTTCTCCCCCAAGCAGGCTACAGTTAATGAGTGAGCTCAGTTTACCCGATTACAAGACCTGCCTACTTTCACCCGCTGGTTTCAATACGTTCGTCGACGACTTCTATCATGGCTTGGACGTCCTGTCCCTACTCAATTTGTTTGTCACCAAGCCGCTGGCAACATATCCCAAAATAGAGTCATGGGCGCTGGCTATCTCCTGATAGAATACATCGAGGAAGAACAGGGAGAAATGCTCTCAAATACCTGGCCCGAGAAACAGCTTGATGCTGGACTGAGAACCAATTTTTTCCGTGATCTTTCGCGAATATTACTGAGCATCACTCGGATCCCCTTACCAAAAATAGGCTCGTTTACTATTGACCCAAATGGATTCTTACAGTTGACAAATCGTCCACTTTCAATCGGAATTCACGACCTCGAAAATGACAAAATTCCTATTGACATACCGCGAGACTATACTTATTCCACGATTGACTCATATGTGACAGATATTCTTCGTATACATGATAGTCGACTCCGATATCAGCCAAACGCAATCAATGATATAGGGGACTATATTTACCAGACATCAGCTTTGGCAGCAATGCGAACAACATTTCCATCATTCTTTAAATCAGAACTACGACGTGGTCCTTTTACCTTTATGCTTACAGACCTTCACCCAAGCAATATCTTTGTTGAAAAAGATTGGTGTATTACCTGCTTGCTAGATCTTGAATGGGCATGTACTCGACCTATCGAGATGCTACGAACTCCGACCTGGCTCACGAACAAGGCCGTCGATGAGATCGCCGAAGATGCGCAGGACTATGATATGATCTGATGCGAAGAGAGTTCATTGATATCCTGGCCGATGAAGAACAGAAGCTTAGGAGCAAGATATCACCAGTTACCCAACCGTCACTATCGGTTATTATGAAAGACGGCTGGAAAAAGGGAACATTCTGGCACTCACTCGCGCTTGCCAGTCCAACCGGTCTCTTCGCCGTATTTTACAAGCAGATCCAGCCTAGATTTCTCGAGAACTGCCCTGACCACGACACATTTCAGCAGATTATGCCATGGTACTGGGCACACGACTGGGTCAACGTTGCAGCTAGCAAACTATCAGACAAAAAAGAATATGACATCGAACTTCGGAAAGCGTTTGAAACCGACCCGAGCCCCTATTGATCAACCCCCAGGTTCTTACTACCTTGAACTACCCTACACGCATCCGGTTGGCATTATGCTCGTCGATTGCCGTGTGTCGTTCTCTTCAAGTGTAACTTCCTATATGGTGCGGATGTTTGGATGTAGTGGTCAATGGTTCAAGTAATACCAATGGAAATTAATGAGCATGGCTTGTCGCAGCTCCTCACTCCACAAAATTTAATCGGGTCGAAGGTCGTCATGGATTACATCTAAAAAGGGATTTGCTTGCTGTTCAGACTGATAAAGCAAGCCCATTACTCATGTCAATCCGGAGGATTTTCCAGTGTGATTTCATCACCATACTCTAAGCAACGTCAAGCTTGATCCAAAGTACAGAATCATTAATTGATATATAATTACTAAACAAGATCAATTTCAATCGCATAAGGGTTTATTGAAAGCGAGCTGAAAATAAAAAAGAAATATGGACCAGACTCATCTATGAAAGGGCAAGACCTTCTGGACTTGGTTGATGTTGGTGATTACAGTTGACCAGGTCACTCAGCTATGGGCAGCTTGGTGACTCGATTAGCTCGGCAGGACTAGTCACTTGGCGCAATTCTTAGAATATAGATAGTACCTAACCACTAATGTGAGGTGGTTACCCTCTCCTACTCTCTCCCGCCCTTTCTTACTCTCTCCTACATCCTCCTACTCCCCCTACTCTCTTCTACTCCTTCTTACTCCTTCGTTCTTACGATTTGAATCATGAACTACGATACATGGAGATTTCATTGCATCAAGTGAGCTTCTTGGATATAGTACGACTCAATATAGGTAATAGTGGTACCCAAATCTCTGTTTCAGTCAAGTTATGATTTGACAATCCCTGCAAGTAAAGCTGAACATGCTACCGCTGGGAAAGCCTTCTTTACTTGCAAGGATCCTGACTAGGTTGAGAAGACTAGGACAATTACATATCTGAATGGCAATGCAATCATTCGAGGGTCAAAGATATCAGTCCTCTCAACTTAAAAAGGCCGCCGAGTCCCTCACAACTTCGTAATTCATATCACCATCTTTTGGTTCAGTCATAGATAATCTGTTCCTTTATCTTTTATCATTATTCTGTTTGCAGCTGCCTAAGCAAAGGTGAGAGATTTCTTGTAGCCTTCCAGAAAGCCTATCAATAACATTACCGGATAAGATCAAACCACCATGGGAAAACTTTTCAAGTCCATTGTCGGAGTGGGTAAGGTCGTGATGGGCCGTCCAGTTGACCTCAAGAAGTTCTTCAGCCCGACCGCTGCCCGAGGAAAGCCAGTATGGCCAAAGACTCAGGCAGATCTTCTTCGTTACGGAGTTCGTTGGGACTACGACGGCATCATCACGAAAGAAGACGGCAAGGAATATCACAAATTCCAACTACAACCCAACGCCGGGAAAGTCCCCTCCACGATTAAGGAATGGCGCGACAACAACGGAGGCACACACGCAGTGATGGCGACGATGTACATTGATAAAGGGACCAATCCGGATGACGAAACATTTGAGGCTGCGGTTAAGAGCTCCCTGGAAGGGCTTTGATGACGACCGATATAGAATCAAGCTGACGAACACTTTCTGGTTTACTATGTATCTACTCTCCAGGGGATAAATAGGTGCAGAATTGTTACTATCACACATAGTCCGAGCACGTGCTTTGATTCATTCTACTTGGATCGATCATGCATAACTCAACATGATTGGACTAATCAGATCAACCCCAGAGTGGGGTAAATCTTGCTCGGCTTCATTCCCCGCAGTCATTCTCTCCTCCTACTCTCTCCCACTCTCTCTCCTCCTCTCCTACTCTCTCTCACTCTCTCCTCTCCTCTCCTACTCTCTCTTACCGTTTACTATTTTCTCTTAGTCTCTCCTACTCCTTCCTACTCTCTCCATTTTATTGCTCTTGTTCCCAAAACATCCCCTTTGTTCATCTGGCTACATTAACATGCCAACCACTAGAAAGAAGTCCAAACCTTCAAAGCCTAAGTTTGTCGACCTTCTGGAGAGAGAGAGAGGAAAACTTCCAGTGAAAGGGAACTGCCTTTATTAGATTATCAACTTGAGCGGCTACAATCCAACCTAAACCTTTTAAACGATGACCCTCTATCCTCTACTTTGTCTACAACACAACGTTATGGAAGATCGAGAGCGCGGAAAACACTGATTGGTATATTACATCGTCAAGGAGGATGCGCATTCTTGCTTGTCGCCATTGCTGCCTCTGTTTCTGCTATTCAGAAAATTGGTGATGATGAGGTCTTGGAAATGCACCGTTGGTTTGAGAGCATATCGCATTTCTCACATGGTTTGATTGCAAAGGCGGCAGAGATTTGTGATCAATCATTCATGAAACGATTTTCTCATGGTTTGTTCAAATACACTTTCAAAAGAGAGAAATAATTCTCTGACATCACACAGGCCATAGCTCAGAGGTCAAGGAAATCACAAGCCAGCCTCCTTCGACAGTCGTCAATTTCACCCTCCGTGAACTCATCGAGTTTCTCCAACAGAATCAGGCTAGCTCCTCGGTGTTGCAAATGGTATGTCCGTTGTTCGGATCGCCATTACCGTCTATCGATATAAACATAGACGTATCGTCGGAGAAGACTGCACGACTTGAGCTTTCTCTAAGAGCGAGCGAGGCGTTGATCAGCCATATTCGATTATCACGAGACCTATTCAGAGAACCGGAAGCATCGAATTGAGGGATTTTGATAAATCCTGCACGTTTCTCCTGGTTTGATGATGATGATGGAAATTCCCGAGCTTAGTCCTGGTCCCGAAACCTCATTCAATACAGGGCTAGTATCGACTCTTACAGCGCCCCAGGCGCTGTTTTTCTTAGAATGAGGGCTGGTATTGACGGATATACAGTCTCGAGATCGACACCGGTAGTCCATTCTTTTTCCAAAACAACATCCCTTTTGACCTACAGAAATAAATCTTAGAATCGTATTGTAGACTGATTGCAACACCGAGCAGCATCGACTGATGAACTCCGCGATTCAGACCTTTGCTTGAACAAGCTTCTTTAGTTGTTCTCCATCATCGGCGAAATCAACTACGGGTATGACCTCACTTTTGTCGGCCATGCTCTGATGTTCTGTTCCAAGTCTCGAAGAAAGTTGCTCGCCAATGAAAGATGAAAAGAAAAACAAAAAGATCTTTCTGACAAGATTTCCAGTGGTGTGAACAAAATAATGTCGTAAGCAATGGATGAAATCCGAACGACAATATCAAGATCAGGAACAAGAAGTAATGAATCGTGTTGCAGAAAAGAAGTACCGTGCATCAAAAAGAGATAATTTGCAGGCCGCGGGGTTCCTCCTCATCGGGGTTTTCTAGCCCCTGCCCCACGGTCGGGTGTGACTAATCCGCAATTCAGGCATCTTTGCATTATTATTATTATTGAGTCACGATTCTGGACAAATATTTCGATTTACAGTAGGGTTCATTGTGTATATTGATTGTGAGAAACTACGTATCGTGATCTGGTACAGATCAAATACAGTGTGGATAAATGACGCCCCAAAGTCCAAACTGGGTAGATCATAACACAGTCACCAGCGAGTAGATGTAATTAATAGCAAAAGTAACAAGTGGTAATACAATAAGCCGGATAGGAAAGAGTGGGAGCGAGTAGGAGAGAGTAGGAAAGCGTAGGAGCATAGGAATGCATTGTCTTCAAAGATACTAGCCGGCTGACAAAGGAGGTTAGCCAATCACGTTGGCCCCTGCCCAACGCTTTCCTCGGTGGAAATCAAGGGGACATTCGGCTTTCCAATACTCATTACTACAACTATAAAGGTGCTGGAATGAATCTCAATATTTTGACATAGGTAGTGTCTTGACAAGACGGGTCTTAGTCTCTTGGCGGAGACACCTACACCTTCTCAGTTCAGACTCTGCTACGGTCCCTCGTAACGTAATCGGTAAGCGGGTCGGCCATGTAAGCGGGTCGGCCACCTCACGCGTTTTTGGCCCCGGTCGAAAACCTCGCTCAATTCAACCACCAACCATGCCTCCAAAAGCGCGTCAAAAATCAAGAGATTCAACTGAGCAAGAGGGCAGGATTCTACTAGCCATCTCTGCTTTAAAAAAACATGAAATCTCTAATATTCGTGAGGCAGCGCGTGTTTATGATATACCCCGCTCAACACTTCAAGACCGATTACATGGAAAGACTTTTTGCAAGAATACACGCGCCAACTCTCATAAGATAACTCAAACTGAAGAGGAATCGCTTATACGATGGATCCTATCACTTATTCAATATGGAGCACCTCCCCGACCATCTCATATACGAGAAATAGCCAATATTCTTCTTACTGCGCGTGATACTACACCCATTCAATCAGTTGGACAGAAATGGGTATACAACTTTATTCAACAACGTGATGAATTGAAGACATGCTTTTCTCGCCGATATAGCTATCAGCGTGCTCAATGTGAAGACCCTAAGATTATTAGAGAGTGGTTTGACCGCGTACAAATCACTATAATACAGCATGGGATTATACCTGAAGATATCTATAACTTCAATGAGACTGGCTTTGCTATGAGCCTAGTTGCTACTGCTAAAGTAGTAACTAGAGCTGAATTCTACGGGAAAACACCTCTCGTACAGCCAGGTAATCGGGAATGGGTTACTTCTATTAAGTGTACTAATGCCTCTAGATGGGTACTTCTGTCTTGTATAATCTTCAAGGGAAAGGTCCATATAGAGGGTTGGTATCAGTACAATCTACCACATAACTGGAGGATTGAGCTTAGTCCTAATGGCTGGACTAATGATGAGATAGGCCTTCGCTGGCTTAAAAAGCTTTTTATTCCTGCAAATACTGCGCGTACAACTGGAAAATACCGCCTCCTAGTTCTCGATGGCCATGGCAGTCATTTAACACCTTAATTCGACCAGATATGCAGTGAGAATAATACTATTCCTATCTGCATGCCTGCTCATTCTTCGCATCTACTACAGCCTCTGGATGTTGGCTGCTTCTCACCACTAAAGCGTGTGTACGGAGGCTTAGTGGAGCAGAAAATGTACCTTGGAATTAACCATATCGACAAGCTTGACTTTCTTGAGGCCTTCCTTAAGGCGCGTACAGATATCTATACTACTAGAAATATCTGCAGTGGTTTCTCTGCTACTGGGTTAGTTCCATATAACCCAGAGCGAGTGCTCAGTCAGTTGACTATTCAACTAAAGACTCCCACACCACCAGGCAGTCGGTCAACCAATTCAGTGCCTAAGACACCCTATACTACTAGACAGCTTGAGAAGCAGGCATCTTCAGTAAAGAGAAAGCTTCTTGAAAGGCGTACGCAGCAAGGAACACGCTCACAGAGTCCTAGCTCTTCCTTAGAGGTACGATTAGATAAGATTATCAAATGCAGTGAATTAGCCTTAATTGAGGCAGCTCTTGCGCGTCAAGAAATTCATGATTTACGAGCTGCAAATGAGAAGAAGCTTAAAAAGCAAAAGAAATCTACTAAGCAGCTTGCTGCAGCAGAAGGCCTTTCCATCCAGGAGGGCCAGGAGCGATTTCAGCAAGAGAATCAGGTCATTGAAGCTCAAGATACTGTATCTAGGGATCCAGCGCTTCCTGCAGTTAGACCACGCGTACGCGCGCCACCGCAGTGTTCTAATTGTCATGTTCGGGGGCATACTAGGGTTAGATGTCCTAATACACTTACTAATTAGTTCTTCTATCAAAATGCAATTGTTTTGTTGATAAAGGCGCTTGAATCTCACCTAGTCGTGGAAATCGGGTGGAGGTGGCCGACCCGCTTACATGGCCGACCCGCTTACCGATTACGTTATTTGTCTCTTGAATGAATCAGCAGTCAACATCAACCTCACAATTTCGCTCCATGTTGAAATGAAGATGCGATCACTTATTCGGCGTGTCCAATCTTCTTTCCGGCATGTTTCGCACGTTGCCCCAATCTGCAAAACATTGCACACAATGAGTCAGTGATCAGTATTCTTTTCGTGTGCATTATCAGTTGCTAACACGGCTTCTATTTAGACACTCCAAGAAACTCGGAGTTATTCTCTTACACATCGGGTAGATTCATTTACAACGAAACAACTCGATTACAAGAACGCTACATTGAATTCGATCCAGATGCTCTTCTGCGAGAGACTGAAAAGCACCTGGGCCGAGCCCACGGGCATGCTACGTGCATTTCTAAGATCGCGGAAGGGGGCTTCAATCGCGTCTTTCTTGTGACAATGGAAGATGGGTTTCAGGTGATTGCTAAAACTCCATACAGTATTGCGGGGCCGAAACACTATGCCACCGCCAGCGAAGCTGCTACTTTGCAATATCTTCATTCCAGAAATATTCCTGTACCAATGGTTTATGGATACTCGTCTTCGAACAACAATCCTGTCGGTATCGAATATACTCTCATGGAAAAAGCTTCAGGTGTCAATTTGGCAACTATGTGGCTTAGTATGAGCAAGAAACAGCGACATAAACTTGCCTCTAGTTTCGTCGAAATTGAGAGACAATTCTTCGATATCCCTTTCGGATCTATAGGGAGTATCTATTACAAGAGAGATATCCCCACTGAGCTTCAAGCATCTTTATATGATACTAATACTGACAACGACGGTCACTCGGAAATCTTCTGCATCGGCCCAACTGCAGACTATATGTTTTGGCATGGGGCACGTGCTACCTTTGATCTCGATCGTGGGCCCTGTGAGTGTATCCATCCTGAGCCTCATCTGGCCCATTTGTCTAATTATTTCAGGGAATGACCCCAAGAGGTACCTTGCATCCATTGCAGAGAAAGAAATAGAATGGGCTCGACGCATCGGAAAGCCAGTAGAGCTTGACTTTCCACATAATGGCGTCTTCCCCGGGGTCAAGTATCCCGAAGCCTATATTGATCTCTTAGACAAGTATCTCACACTGGTGCCATACCTGATCCCCAAAGACATGTCGAGTCCATTTAACCGCCCAACTCTCCGTCATCCAGGTACGCTGGATCTTCCCCTCAAATGATGTATCTTACCTAATATTCCTAAGATCTGAACCCAAATAATATCTTCATTTCGCCCGAAACCGGTACAATATCTTGTATCATCGACTGGCAACATTCCAAGATCGAGCCACGTTTCCTTGCTGCTGGTTATCCCCGTGTATTCGAAAGTCCAGATCCTGAACCCTCCTCCGAACTCATAGAACCAACGCCCCCAACACATCACGAAGCAACGCCCGCTGAGGAGAAAGCCGCAGCTGACGAACTCTATCGCCGCCGTCTTCTCTTTTATTACTACCGTATCTTCAACGGTCACCTGAACAAGCCACATCTCGAAACCCTTCGTGACCCTATCCTCTTCCCTCGTCAGCACCTTATCGACAGAGCCGGCAGACAGTGGAATGGAAACACGATGACTTTGAAGGGCGCTCTACTTCGGATTATTGAATACTGGCCTCATCTCCCCGAGACAGCAGGTGTCTCATGTCCTGTCGAATTCTCCGATTCCGAGACATCTGGATTTCATGAGCAAGAGGAGCTATGGTTCAGCCTTAACAAAGTCGTGGAGCATTGGCGGGATCAACTCGGTGGCGTTAATGAAGATGGTTGGATCAGCAGTGAAAAGTACGACGATTGTGTCCGGAAAGTTGCGGAGCTCAAAGCCTCTTTGATTGCTACTGCGGAAGGGGACCAAGAAGACATCTCTCTTTTGGAAAAGGGGTGGTTATTCAGAGACCGTGAAGAATGTCAATAATACCACCCATACGTTTTCACAACCAAGAAAAGAAAACCCCCCGCTTCTTTCTATTACTAGACAGTCGGATATTGCTCTTCAATCTTCGTCATCTTCTGCTTTGCTTCATAAAAGCGCATTACACACACACGTTGTATCTCCATAGTCCTATACTATCCCGGCTTTGGTGCACAGAGCGCCTGCATCTTGTATCGACATACTTGGCACTTGACTCCAGTATCCATTGTAAAATACTTTCCTTCTTTCTCCCTTCATCGTCGACACCACCCACACCCACACCTCCAGCTCGTCTCGTCTCGTCTCGTCTCATCTTACTCTTCGGCATAAAAATTACATGTAAATCTCACTTGATCATACCCCTTCCTTCTCCAGGACCATAATAGCCAACTACTCATATATCTCCCAGCCGAAGTAGTACGTACCCCGCAGGAACAAACCGGTTCAGTCACACCCACCCTACAGACCCTTCATATATGGTAGAAATAATCTCTTACCTGAGCTCCGTCCCGAACACAGGCTTTGTGTGGGTGTCCAGTGCGAGGTATGATATGATGAGATTCAGCTGGACGGGGATAATTCCCATCAGTGAATGGGGTCTTGGGGTGGAGTAGCAGAGCGGGAGCGGAGATCTCCATATAGATCATTGTCGGCTGTGCAACCCAGCCACTGAGATCGATTATGTTAGTCATGGAATGAGGGGATGTTGTTGGGGAGTTGTCGCTGAGATTTAGGGAGAATCGCGGGAGGAGAATATGTCAGACCATGGATTTTGTGCTACGGCTGTGGGGAGTAAGGCTCAAAGGCACATATGAGCTTGGGAAGGTAGAAGATAAAAGAATTTGATGGTGGCGCAGCGGTTGGGTCGATCGGATTATTTCTGATATATAGCGGGAAGGATACAGGGGAAAGTGAAGATCCAGGTTGGATCACGTAGCAAAAAGGAACGCGTTGTACAAGCTTAATTATGGTGAGATGCTTAGAATGCCAAGGGTGTCTCCCGGTTGGTTCTTTCATCAGGGCAGTAACAAAGACCGTGACCTGATAATGACATTTGAGTTCGAGATAATGAACCTCATGGCCATTCTCTGTAAAATAGGTATTTGTTCCCTTTTTTTATTTTTCGGGAATAGTCAGCGGACCTGGGGAGTTATCTTGCTAGTGACCGGGCCTGGACTGGGAATACCTATATCAAATATGCGAAGTGTTTCAGTGCATATAGAGACTTGATGTCTTTGTACTGCAATTTTCTTTGTCGATTCAACCTCGCGGTCGTATGAACTTAGCCTTGTAGTTGTATAGGTTAAAAGCCAGGAAGTCTATATAATTGTATCCCTGCTCTGCCCACATCCATAGATCTAGGAGATAAATTGATCAGCTTGCATTGTTTGGGTATCTCAAACTTGAAATCGTCCAGTAACAGCGGTATCATACCTATCGATCACTATCCGCACACCACAATATCAATCGTTGGTTCGAAATGATGGTGGGGATAAATGCATCTCAATGCTTCCAGGAGAGATTCCTCAAGATAGCTGAAGGTAATAAGGGAATAGTGCAGTGCAGACCGAGTTTGAATGCTAACGTCATTGCAGGGGTTAACCAGGAGAAGTGCAAACCGAGCTGAAAGATTTGGTCGAACGGAGAATCCGGCCATGGATGCAGCGTTGCTGTGCCGAGCACGTCGAGTGCCAACAGGCTGAGAAAGAAACGTCAGGCCAGTTGCCCACGCGGCTGATCGATCTTGGTCCATCGGCCACTAGCCCTATCAAGGTGATAGAAACAAGTGCCCAGCGTGAAATAACGGATAGGATAGAGTATCTGATCCTTAGCTACTGCTGGGGGGAATGCAATGATACTGCAAAAACCACCCGTTTCAACCTACACCACCGACTAGACAGCTTGGAAGTTGACAAATTCCCAGCAACTATCCGCGATGCCATCAGTCTCACGCGAGCTTTGGAAATCCGTTATATCTGGATCGATGCCATCTGTATAATTCAACCCAGCGACGACGGGTATTATGACGACCTGAGGCGCGAAGGCACAAAAATGGCAAGTTATTACACCAATGCCATGTGCTGTATTTCGGTATCCAGTTCCCCTGATAGTTCACATAGTTTCCTGACGGAGCGACGACTGATGCGACAGTCGTGGCATCCAAAACTTGCTTCGCGTGAACCGGAAATCACCAGGGAAGTGGAATACTCCACATATCACCCCAAGTTGTATCTGAGAGGAGAGCTCAGAGACGCCCCATTGATGCGACGTGGGTGGTGTTTACAGGAATGGTTGCTTTCACGCCGCATCTTGCATTGGACCCAGCGCGGTCTTTTTTTGGGAATGTCGCAAGGGAATCTGGCACGAAAGCCTAGGAAGACAGAGCCTGGCGGGGATAAACCTCCTTTCGTCCAAAAATGATCCCTACTCTCACTTAATGAACGCGCGCCAAATTGTGGCTGCCCCTCGAGAGGAGGTTTTGGGATCCAAATGGCTCGAGTTCGTCGAGTATTACGCGACAACAGACCTATCGTTTCCCAGTGACCGCCTGGATGCGATTAATGGCATTGTGAGGTACCTTTCCGAGAGGCACCAAGACCAGTACTTTGGTGGAATCTTTAGTTCATGCCCAGAGAAAGGACTTCTCTGGACAGGGACAGGCAGGCGTGAGACTGAACATTTCCCCACCTGGTCATGGGCATCCGCAAAGGGGATCACTTTTGATGAGAATGATGTCCAAAAGGGAACGTCTCTGGTTGAATGTGTGGATGCTAGTAAGTTCCCGCCGGTGGACAAAGTCAATGATTTTAGTACCCTAGCCAGGAAGGTTCTTTGCCTAAAAGCACCTTCCATTCCTTTGACGCAGCCTCAGGTGATGAAGAGGAATGGCCCTTTAGCCTGGAGGATAAAGGACTGTAGTCCGTTGGGGTCCGAAGTCAACTATACCGTTCACCTGGATGTCGAAACTGATAAGTTCCCGGAACTGGTCGATTTGAGATTTCTGGTGTTGATCCAGATAGATGATCCAGATAGATGATCCAGATAACCATCTTTGGTCGACTCCTGCCAAATGCAAAGGGCTCTTGTTGCAAAGGGTCAAGGGTGAAGTGGAGGAGCTGTATGAACGAAAGGGTGTTATAGAGCTGGATGCTATGGATAGCGAGTTTGAAAGATCAATGGTTGATTGGAAAACCATTGTGAACTTGGTATGAGAAGAGTCTAGATATGTATGAGTAGGTGTTGAGATAGTGTTAGATATATTTTATCTTGTCATATGGCTGCCATCAATCTCATATTACTTCTTGTCAATGATCATATTGCGAAGCAACGCAAGACCTCAAGTTTGTCTATTTGATGAAATGGGCCCTGCATTCCATATGATGGATGATGGGGGTCATCACTTCTTGTGATGTATATTGAGGGACCTGCCTAAGAACATTGCTATAGCAAAGAAGCGTTGCGTAATACAATAAAAAATAGCTAAGAAAGGCTATCAACGGCGGGAAAATAAGGAGGAAGGTGAACACTGAGCACGAGACAGAAAGAACCGCGACCATCACGTGATTACTAGGGTACCATAGGACTGGTCACGTGCGATAAGGCGTGCCGTGACACCACAAAAGCAGTGACATCAATATCTCTGTCATGACTGGCTAGCTGACACCAAATTGAGAGGGAAGATAAATAGCAAGTATTTCTGCATCCAATTGCCAAGGAATGACCCAAGATCAATTCTGGCATGTGTGACTCACAACCCACCACTAACTAATGCCAGTATAGTTAGTCAAATTAAGCTCTCACCTTAGTTGCATATCAAACCCTGCGGCTATATCTTATCTGCTATCTACTCTGTTTCTCTCTTTTCTTCTCTCTCTTCCTTCCCCTCTCCTCACTCCACTATTGTCTACAACAACATCAAAAACAACATGGACTCCCCCCTCCTCCTCACCACCAGCCTCGCCATCCTCCTCCTCTCCATCCCCTTCCTCCTCCTCCCCCTCCTCAAACCCAACAGCAAACCCCCAACTTCCTCTCCTCCCTCCTCCACCACCTCCACCTAACATCCAAACCCCCCTAAAAACCCACCCCAGCACCATCCTCTCCCTCCACATCTACCCCATCAAATCCTGCCGCGGCCTCACCCTCCCCAAAACCACCCTCAACAAACACGGTCTCTCCCTCGACCGCCGCTGGATGTTCATCGACGCCACAACCCACGAATTCATCACCATTCGCCAAAACCCCACCATGACACTTATCACCACAGCCCTAGACCCCACCTTCACAACACTCACTCTCTCCATTCCATCTTTTTCCAAAAGGATAATCTCCATCCCGGCAGCGCCATCCCCCGCCTGGCTAGCAGAGAATACCACCCTCGCGACAGTCAAAATCTGGGATAATGTGACGGATGGGTACGTTTATGGTGCGGAGGTGAATGGACTGTTTAGTGAGTTCTTGGGACGGGATGTCGCGTTGGTGTACAAGGGGCCGACGCCGAGGGTGCTGAAGGGAAATGCGGATCCGAGGGTGTTGGGACGGGAACAGCATACGTTTTTTCCCGATGTGCATCCGGTTTTGGTTGCGTCGGAGGCGTCCATGGAGGAGTTGAATGGGAGGTTGGAAGGAGGGGGTCAGGAGAGGATTATGGTCGAGAGGTTTAGACCGAATATTGTGGTTAAGGGGGTCGTGCCGTGGGAGGAGGATTCGTGGAAGGTGGTGAGGATTTTGCCGGATGGGGAGGGCAAAGGGAAAGCGCTGGAGTTGGATGTTGTGGCGAGGTGTGCCAGGTGTCAGGTCCCTAATGTAGATCCTGATACGGCGGTTAAGCATCCTAAGCAGCCGTGGGATACTCTCATGGCGTATCGGAGGGTGGATGAGGGCATGAAGTATAAGCCGTGTTTTGGCATGTTGAGTGCCCCGAGGAATGAGGGGGTCGTGGAGGTGGGCATGCGGTTTGAGGTCGTCGAGGAGACGGACGGGCATAGGTATATTACGGGGTTTTAGTGGAGATTTTATATAAGAAAATGGGGTAGGGGTGGTGGAGAAAAGTTGTGGAGTTCGCTATATTTATAGGAATGCAGTATATTACATGTTGGGAAGCATCCCGTAAATGTATCTAACTAGCTCAACTAGTTCTTCATCTGCTTGCTCGAAGAAACACACCAATTGTTCCAGTCCGTGAAGAACGATGGCTGGACGTGGCATTTCTTGCTGAGCAGCTGCGCCTTTCGCGTCTCCGCGTAGACGTCCACAGCCCCCGCAATGGTCTGCTTGTCATGCGCCGCCAGGGTCTTCACCACCAGTAGACTGGCCTGGCTGCAGCCGGATGCATGCGCAGGCGGCCCACTGTGGGTGGCTTCGGTGTGGATCGATTTCAACAGATCCCAGACGGGCTCGGTCGACTCCAGTGAGGGGAGCGCAGTGCCCTTGCAGTGCTTAGTGTATTCACGGAGCACCCCGCTGGCTTTGTTGGAGATCTGCTTGACGGTGGAGCGGCGCGTCAGTCGCAGCAGGGGGAGAAGAAGGTCAAGAGCCAGGAGCTTCGAGTGGCACTTCTTCACGTAGATCTCGAGGAGATCGAGGACGCGGTTCTTGAAGTTGACCATGTTCTCCTTGGCATCCTTCTTGTCCTTCTTCTGGCCTAGAGCGTCACGACGAGCCTTGAACACCTTGACGAGCTGCGTGTCTATCTCCTCCATCTCGTCGTCGTTCATGTCGGCGTCCGAACCTTCCGAATCCTCGTTCAGGTCCTTGTCGGCGCGGTGGGTGCCGAGGGCCTCGGCGAGTTTGGCCTCGAAGAGGGCTTCTTCCTCGTCATTGGCATCGTCGTCCGACTCTTCCTCTGCCTCGTCATCGTCGCTCTCATCGCCGGAGCCTGCTGCTTCAACAACTTCGACGTCGCTGTCTTCCTCGTCGACATCCATCATATCCTCGTCGCCTTCGTCGTCCTGCTGGTCGAACATCTCTTGCTGACCAGCCAGACTTTCTTTCGCTTCCAGAATCTGGCAAGACGTTAGTTTAGATGCGAGGAAGTTCAGCGTGGAACCTACAGAAGTCAACGACTCCAGGCCGTTTTCCGTGATGCTGTCTGCGAAAGCACCAAAGACCTGTTCACTCATGCGGCGGAAGAGTTGGGATTGCTTCGAAGCGAAACTCAGAAGAATTTCTACCAAAGCATCCGAAGCATCCGACGTCTCCTCCTTCTTGGACTTTTTGTCGCCAAAGATCTTAGTGTAACAAAAGTCGAGTTCTTCCAGCATGGAAGCAGCATCGGCATCACCGTTGTACACTTGGAGGATTGTCAAAGAGTAAAGCAGCTTGAAAGCATCGATGCTGGCCTTGTCACCCTTCTCCTGCGTAGGGTCAGTAAAAGAACAGAGTAGCTTTGAAGATGGGCTTACCATGTTGGAGAGTTTCTTCAGCGACTTAAAGGCGCCCTTCACCGACTCTTGGATGGCGTCGTCCATGTTGATGATAAACTTGCCGTGTTCCTCCGACTCGACTGCGTCACGGATTTTGCGAACAACAGCATACGGAACTCCCGCATACTTCTCGGTAGCAATGAGACTGTTAATACACGAGTTGATCCGGCTCCGGAAGAGTTCCTGTGTCTGCTCAGTCAAAGGCGGGACAGCAGACTGGTTTTCATCCCCCTCGTTATGCTTGAAATAGGCCAAGCGGACAAAAGCGAACAGAATCTGCTCGAGAACCTTCTGCATACCCTCTTCAGCTTCGCTAGCCGAAGCCCGGGCACGAACGATGGACAGGAGCAAGCCAGCCAAGACCTGACGGCTTGATGCGGCAGCCTTGCTGTCAGTCGTCCCCGGAGACGCAAGGAGAGATACGAAAAGCGGAACGATCTGTTTCAGGGCGTCCAAATTGGCTTCCACAACGATCTTTTCTACTGTCTTCGTCTTGGTGGCTTGATCGAAACTCACAGACCCAGATGGGCCCATGAGACCGTGGACAGAAGCGGCAGCAAATGCGGGCTCCTTTGAAACGCGGGTCTGAATAGCCTTGGCAGCCTTGACGGCCATGCGGTGCAGATATCTGTCCTCGACGGCAAGCTGGTTCATCAGACACCTGACGAGGTTCTTTGTGAACACCAGGGAAGCCAATTTCAACGGGCTTTCGTTGATGACCTTGTTGAAAAGAAGGAAGCCCCAGTATTTACGCTCCTCTGACGAAGAGGAGGAAAAAAGACCGTCTACAAACTGTTGTTAGTCGGAATTCAGAAAGTGAGAAAGCCACTTACTGTCGACAACTTCCGTCCAGAAGTCAACGAAGCTAAGACGACCCGAAGACTTCGACTTAGATGTCTCCTTCACCGGCGCGTCGCCGAGCCTGGAGATAACAGTGTCCCAGGCAAAGTGAAGCTTCGAGTTCCACACTCCGGACGATTTGGCCTTTCCACCCTCGCTTTCGGACTCGGCAGTGGAAGACTCCTTCATAACCTTGGCCAACTGGTTTCTCTCGCGCACATCGAGAGGGTCGTCGTGCTTCCAGACCTTGCCTGGGAATTGCACATCCGGGAACAGATCCTTAGCTGCAAGCCAAATGGCCACACCCTCGGGGGTCCGCGCAAGCTCGTTCGAGCACAAACGATCAAGAGCCGATTCCACGAATTTGGCCTCGGCCTTCTGAGCCGCGAGTTCGAAGATGCAGCGATAGATAATCCAGCCACATTCCTCCCGGAGCCATGGCTTCTTTTTGGCCAGCTCAAACACAAGGTCCAGAAGCTTGGTCCACTCATTGAAGGGCACACCGGCCTTGAACAAGATGGATGACTTGATGATGGCCTCCGCGCCAAACAGACGACCAAAGTGATGGTCTCTTTGTTCCTGTAGTAGAAATGTAAGCATTGCATTCCAGTGGATATGCACGGGAATTCATACCTGACCGGACTCACCACCGGTAGCGTTGGTCTGTGACTCCCAAATGTTCATCACGGTAGAGATGCTCAACTCGGAAGAGTCCCGCGGAGAGCCAAAGACCTGAGAAATGACCTCGGTCAAGGCGATGGAAAAGCCGATTCGGGCGGCCTTACGGCTGCTGCAGAGACCACGGAAGAGTCTTTGCAAAACCTTTTTGATCTGGTCATCGGCGGGGTTCTTGTCCGGGGTAAACTGTGAGACCAGGAGTTGGGCAGCCTTCAGTCTGATGTCGTCCTTTTCACTGGCGAGATCCTCATAGATCTCGACCAATTTGGTGTCGACGTTGAACGGCTCGCGACGCCGCTTCTTGGACGCGGCATGATGCTGTGCCATTGCGGAAAAAGATGGGATGAATTCCCGGCCAGCAATCGACTAGGAGAGTAACCCGTAAATGATGAACGGATGGAAAACAGGTCGCTGGGAGGGGCCAACCGCAACTGGGATGGAGGAGTTGGCTGCCATTCGATTCCGCTTCCGAAAATTTATGAGGCGCCTGGCCGAAGCGGGTTAGCGCGACCCCAGACGGAGCTTCCACTTTTAGTAAGAACTAGTACTAGATTCCTGTCCGCTCCACCAATCATCGTTCTGGAATCTTACCCGCCTACCGAGTATTCCATTCCATCTTTCGCAGTATTCTTTCTGGAGACTCTTGAGGACTGGAATATATCCAAGGGGGTGAAGACCATGCCAGGCAGTCCGCGTCGTTCTTTCTTGATGGGATTTAAAAGATATGTCTCACGAGAAGGGACGGTGCAATTCTGGGATCCGGACACAACGCATCTGCGATCTGGCATGAGCATCGGCTCTACCACGGTTGCCACATCTCCCCCTGATGGCAGGCTTCTATTCGCAGTTTCAGAACAAGGTCGACTCCAAGTATGGAATCTCGCACGCCCCACCTTTCGTACGAGCTTTGAGGATGCTGATTTGGAGTACTGGGGAACTGACACTTGCGTGGCATGGCTTCCGCAGACTGGCACTCATGTGATGGTCGCTTCAACGAAGGGGATCCGGATTTGGGAAGCCAGCACCGGAAAGTTGCAGAAGAAGTTCGAATCATCCGAAGACCAATCCCTCCCTTTTAAACAATTCTCGACCAAGATGACAATATCTCCCCATGGGAACTTGATTCTCGCCTATCACAGTTCAGCACTCATTCTGGAATGGATCTCAGGTGCCTCGATGGTGGGGAATGACTTGGTTCATAAGACGGGATCTTTTCGTGCCCTGTCTCCAAATGGTACATTCATGATCACTGTGGAGCGGAACTCCCTGCTAGTTTGGGATATGAAAACTCAAGGGCTTCATTGAACTCTATCGCTCCAGGGCACTAAGTCAGGTCCTGTGAAAGCCTTTAATCACGAGATGGAATGAGAGTTATAACAATAACTTCATCTTTCCGAGTGACTATCTGGGATGTTGATTCGTGGAATTCACTGCAGAGTGCTGTTCTTCCAATACCTCAAAACCGTCGGTATGAAATCTGGCCAGCCACAATGTCACCCGAGACAGGGATGGTCGCCTTTGTATTCACTGTTCCCACGGGCCAAAAGCGCAGCATTGAGCTATGGGATATAAGATCTGGTAACCACATCCGGACAATCGATTCCGATGTGGACATATTCAAATGCTATATTTCTCCCCATGGTCGGCTGGTGGTTTCCGGTTGTGGTCGTGGTCATGGTCGTACTGGCGAGATCTGGGATATCAACACGGGTACCCTTGTGGCGGAGATTCGGGGGGGCTTTGTTTCGGAAATCTCTCCAAGTGGCGAGCTAATTGCAACCGCGAGTGGTGGGTCAATTACGCTGTTGCATACAAAAACCAGGAAGAAGATGGGAGAGATCGAAATGAGAAAGCTCAAGATGGATGGTGCTACCTTATCAAATCTAACCTTTTCCAGAGATGAACAATGGCTTTGTACGGAAAAGGGACTCGTCCGAGTGGCATCAATTACTGACCCAAACCTGGGCCCCATGGGGAAAGAAATCACTCTGAAAGAAGGTCGGGAGTGTCTTCTAGAGGGTGGAAAGGAGCTCATCTTACTTCCTCGAGGTAACAGGCCTTTTGGATTGGAATGTGCGGATCCCTCAGTCGCTCCGTACCACTCAGTTGCTCTGCACTATCCTGGTGGGTCGGCTACTACAATCGAATTTGACAGTTCGGAACATCGAACAGTCAGGGATACTTCGGAAGCTTGATTGGGAAAGGGTCTCTTGTTATTTGAGGTAGCGTGTGGAGGTAATGGGCTCTTTCTTTTGTATTGTAATAGTCGTGATTTATGGTATGTCCTTTCACTCTAAGCAACGTACCACCTCCTGGGTTGTTGGCACATGCAACAGAGATTGTCCTCATTGGCTTCAGCTTCTCTTCCGGTGAGTGGTTTTTTGACTCGTAATATAACATGTCTCAGATGTGAATGGAAAGGGTTTGTTAGTCGCTGCGGCTAGGTACTAGTGTAGCTTCGTGGGTTGGGTCTCGACTTAGCGTTGGCAACTAAAGATGAACGGTTATAGGGTTGGTTAGGTTAGGCTGGTTTTGAACGAGACAGAGGAGCGTCCTTGATCTGGAGGTTACTGGGGGTAACTTGTATGTGATCTCCATTATTTTTGACGTCAAGGACGTAATGATGTCGGACTAGGAGGCTCTAAGCGTGGCTAAGAGGCCAAGCCAAAAGCTTGGGCGCAGTCAATGGGGTCCGATGGGCGTGGGGGAGGGCCGGGCTTAGCGGCAGGGCTTAGCAATTAGGCGAGACTGAGAGAGCCAAAGACTTCCCCGCTGGTTTTCTTTTTAGCATCAGGGTCCTGATCCACTATAGGCAGCAGCAAACCGATTCCCCTGGATTCTCCTACTAACCCTTTAATCACTAGAAAGTACGGAGAGAGATATGAAAGCCGTACGGACGTTCAACTCAATGTTAAATTCACTGTCTTCGCGGCTTGCAGACTGTGGTCGGGATTCAAATGGCACGCCTGACTAGAGGATGGTACAAACCTCTTGCTCGCGCTTCCTTCGAGGAAAATGAAGAGGTTGAGCTGGCAAGGTTTGAATCCTCGGGCTTTTATTCCAGACCCCCTGGTATCTTCCCAATCCAGTATCCCCTGCTCTGGGTCACAGGAGGGGTGAGTCGAAGGATAAGGCGTCGCATCTTTAGATCCCTCTTGACAGTGCGTGGGGTTATCACTTTCCTGATCTGCACCCTTCTGGGTCTCATCACCTTCACCTTTGCCTTTTGGCCCTCATACACCCATTTGCCGCCCCATTATCGTGCGCTACAGGCAGCTGTGCAACAATCCACCACCCCCGGCCGAGGCAATCCATACAATTCAACCATCTTTATTGCCGTCAGTCTATATGATAAACTCGGTGTCCTTGCTGGAGGCTCCTGGGGCCAAAGCCTCTTAGATCTGATTGACATGCTGGGACCAGACCGGGTCCATCTGAGTATTTATGAAAATGACAGCGGTCCGGCCGGCGAAGAGGCATGCAGCACCTGGCTGATCGGGTCTCCTGCAATAAGACAATCGTGTATGATAAGCACTTTGACTTCACAGGTTTTCCTACCGTCACCCTGCCGGATGGGTCGACGCACGTTCGACGCGTCGCTTATCTGGCCGAGGTGCGCAACCGGGCGTTGCGGCCCCTGCAACAGCAACCGCATCGCTTCGATCGCCTGCTCTTCTTGAATGATGTCTACTTTAATCCCGTCGACGCCCTGCAGCTTCTCTTTTCTATGCATTCCCATGACGGAGATGGGCCCGACTACCGCGCGGCGTGTGCGGTCGACTTCATCAACCCATTCAAGTTCTATGATACCTTTGCGTCTCGCGACCTTGAAGGCTACAGCATGGGCATTCCATTTCATCCATGGTTCACTACCGCCGGTAAGGCGCACAGTCGCCACTATGTCTTGCTCGGCACCGATGCCGTCCGGGTTCGCAGTTGCTGGGGTGGCATGGTGGCTTTTGACGCTGCATTCTTCCAGCATGACGGCTCCACAAATTCACTCTTGTCCCACCACCGCGGACGCCATACGCCGGTCCAGTTCCGCGGCGAAGAGGATCTCTTCTGGGAGGCATCCGAATGTTGCTTGATTCATGCGGATATCCAGCGTCTACCTTCTATTCCAGCAGAAGAAGAAGAGGATACTGGAATATATATGAACCCGTTTGTTCGCGTGGCCTATGATCCACGATCGTTAAGCTGGCTTGCAATTACCCGGCGAGTAGAGAGGTTGTATTCGCCCATTCATGGACTCCTCAGCCGCGTGGTCGGCCTTCCCATTCACAACCCGCGTCGAATCGAGATCCCGGGCCGTGAATCGCAGGAGCTGGTCTGGGATGATAATCAGGGCGAGTTCGCCAAGGTGACGCGGGCTGCCAGACCTGGTGGCTTTTGTGGCCGGTGGGACCTGCAGCTTCTTAAACCCCGGAAGGAAGATGGAGAAGGAGGTTGGGCGTCTGTCCCGGTTCCGGCCCGGAGTATGGCTGAAGGGGCGTAGGTAGACTGGACAATATCTACCTTCACTTTTTATTCGTCTTCTTTCTATGTAAATGTCTTATTAGCAGGGGGGGTTCTTATCGCAGTTACCACCATGACACGATTCTCCATGGTCATTCTCGGTCTATGTCTTGGGATCTAAATCAACATACAGTGAAAGCTATGCTTTAATTACATCATGGATGGTGAGCACTATCATGCAGAGCTGATCTCTTACTCTGATCTAGGGTGACCGTCCCCTGTCTACCGGCGCGACATGGAAACGCACCTGGTAGGTGAAGACAGATCACTTGTCCCGACCAGATCATCCCCGAATGGCATGGAAACATACTAGACAAAATGCTAGCGCATACACGGACTGCAGCTCAGTCTGGATAAGAACAGACAGAGCTTCCACGCGGAAAAGGTAAGCGTATCGGTTGATCATTCTATTCCATCGCTCCTCCCCTGAGTCAATACGGTTAAATCCGGCATTTTTACTGTCTGGATTGTCAATATCACAACGCCCATGTTCGACGCCGATAGTTGCTTAGCGAAGGAGATACTCTTGGACACAGGAATTGAACTCAGCCTTATCTACAGCCGGATCAGAGATTGTCCGTGCTGGTAGATATAATCCCTGCAACTGGGATATCTTCCCCGCTAAATGGCACGCCTGAACGGCAGGTCTCGCAGCAAACATATCTTGGTGTATCTGCTTGATGTGAGAGAAAATACCGCATCTGTAAGTAGGACGCCTTAGTCAATTTATTTTGGCAGTCCTGAGCAGAAATGTGAGACATTTCCTATCGACGACCAAGCATTGGTGGCTTGCCTGCAGACAAAAAGCAAAAGAATGCGCAGCGTCAGCACTAATTCTCCCCTCGGAGTCGTTTGGTATACACCTCGCGAATGCTCAAGAGAGGGGAACGATAAGAGCGATTCTAGGCAGACGTGGTCTGACCTTCTAATAAAGCTTGTTTTGCTGCCAAGTGGTGCCACGATCTTTTCTTCTACCACCCCCAAACACCAATTGTCTGCCTTTTCTCACAATCAGAAAACTCATCCTCACTTTGAACTCATTTCTATTAAAACTCCCACCATGCGCTACTTTGCAATCACAGCCCTTCTCCTCGCCCTCAGTGGCTTCATTACTGCCCATCCAGCAGATGATTCCATCTTCAACGCACTCGAAGGTCGCTGCCAAAAAGCCGGAAACCGCTGTGACCCTGGGGACAGCGCTTGTTGTGGTGACTGCTGCGCTTTTTGCACGGCCAAACGTGATGACGATGCGGTGATCTCTTGCTCTTATACTTGTGAGAGCTCTTGCTAGGGTGTGGGGTGCGTATACAGACCTCTTTTTGGTTATCAGCTTGCTTAGGTTGGTTGAAGGGACTGACTTGAAGTAGGTCAATTGGAAAGAGACATGCTTTAGACAGTGGTTGTGTTGAAAAGATCTGGGCGGTGGTTGTTAAGCTGGTTGGCAATTGGGATGGATCATGCATTTAAACCATTGGGGGCAACCACAAGGATATTGTCTAGCATCATCTCATTTCAGTTCCATACTACTTCTACTTTCTGCCTGAAGCAACCTTTCACTTAGATCATCCTTAACCCAACTCTCTATTTGCGATACCACCTCTCCAATTAGCTTTTCGTAACTTCGTCCATCCCCATGTGGCACAAACATCGATTGATGTGCTGTGACTTCGTCCATGTTTTCCATCTGCACCGGTACCCAGAGTGAATTGTCTCCGTGTTTCCAATGATGTGAGGGCATGAGCACAAATTTGTGTGGTTTGGAGGGGGCTTTCTTTGTAGCCTTGTCCACTTGTGTCGCGATGCTGTTGTTTTCCTGGATACTGCTCTCTGTAACTTCCAGTGAGCATTCCGATGCCGCGGTGCTATCCTCATCTGTGGATAGGTCGAGTGTGGAGAGCGAATTCGTGAATTGCAGCTGCTCTGCTGACTTTGACGGGGACGCATACACAGTACACGTTTCCGTTTCTAGCAAAGCCGAATCGTGCACCGTCACCATTTCCTCCCTCCCTTTCCCCCTCCTCTTAACCTTCCCTTCCTCCCCCTCCCCAACAACCCCACTACTCAACGTATAATAATTAACAAACCTCACCCTCCCCCCGCTCAGACTCCCATCCCCATCCCCCCCCTCCAACACCATCAACCGTTGATACCTCCTCCTCAGCATCCCATAATTATTCAACCCCCCGGCAAACCTATACGGCGACAAAACCCTCTCATAGATCGACCGCACCAAATGCTGATGATTCTTCTGAATGAAGTGCATTATCCCATTGATCCGGTCTCGTTCGACAAGGTGTACGTCGTTGACGAATGGGGGGTCGAATAATGCATCTGTTGCTGTATCGGGGATGCCGTTGGTTGTGTCAATTGAAGTAGGGTCTTCTTTCCTGCGGAATAGTCCTCTAATCCCCGTTGGGATGACATGAGGATGGAGACCTAGGAATGGGACGTCGAAGTTAACAAGCCCCAATATCCGAGTGCGATTCGTGAGGGTAGGTGTTGTTGTTGTTGATGCCTCGGAGGCAGAAAGCAACGCTACATCCGCAGCCACTATTCCACCAAGACTATGTCCCAAGAGAATCACATCAAGATCATCTGCTATGTGGGGTGATAACCTACACATACAATCAGCCCATATCCCATACTAGTATTTCTACCATTTTAATGACATACCAAGCCCTAAAATTCTCCACCGCCATACTAATCTCCCCCCGGGATTTATACCGAGGATAAATCCGAGTATAAATAACATGTGACTCATCCAGTACCTCTTTCAGGGAACTGTGCACGTGGGCCGGGAAATCCCCGAAACTGGCTTCCGAGCCCATGAAGCCGTGGATGTAGATTAGGAGGAGGCGGCGTTTACATGTTTCTTCGGTAGTGGGGGGGTGTATGTGTGTCATTGCTTTGTGTTCGGGCTGTGCGGATGATGATGAAGTATGGAGTGATTGATTCTTTTGTTGAGTAGTAGGTAGGTAGGTGTAAATTGTAGGTCTTATGTTCTTAGGTACTAGGTACTAGGTAGAGGTTTATGTTTATCGGTTAGCCCCACCCCCCTGGTTGGTGCCTGGTGGACTGTGGGGGGTGGGGACTGGGCGGTGCCATAGCCGGGTGGCTCCCGGATACGAGTACGAATAGATGTAGCCTACCGGATTTCTCTATTCTTAGGTTTATTTGGAGACTGGTAGGTAACAATATTTCTACTATCTATCTCTGGGTCTGAATCAATCAGATAAAGTCATATATTCAGCTGGGCCGCTAGTTGATAAGATTTACCTCTGTCTAGCCACAAAAGCTTTAGTCATAATTTGAACTGCTGACGGTCCATTTTCCAATCCCTAGAATCAGTTACTCAGTCTGTAATGAATATGAAAATCAGTCAAGGTAAGTTTGAAACATAGCAGAACTACTCTTGCTCATCATCGCTGTCGGCCTCCACGGGCATATCCTCCGCCGGCTGAAACTGAATAGCCACATCCAACATGACCGCGGTCCTATCCCTGCCAATCATCGGCATCCAATTGTACTCCTGCATCTGAAAGCTACGCGGAAACTCCACCATCGGAAGAATCTTGCCCGTTTGTATGCTTTCAAAATTGAAGGACATCAGACGGTCCTTGTGAAAGTTCTGTTTCAACCTCACAAAAGGCCCTGCCACAATGCTCACCCGATCATCAAGCCTGTACTTGCGGAGACAACAGGAGCGGATGGTCGGTACGAACAAGCAGGTCTTCCACGTATCATAGTCCAGAAAGTCCAGAATCCGGCTGTAAATCACCAGTGGCAAGGTACCTCGCGATTTCGACGCTGCGCGGCGGTTCGCAGCGACTTCGAAGAAGTTGACAAGTGCCGCAAGCCCAGGGAACTGTGTCCGTAGTCTTCGAATAGTCCCTGTGCAGTTCGACTTCATCAGGAGCTCACCGCGGTGATGTCGGGCCTTCATCCCAGATTTCACCTCCGGGCGCGTGCGCGGGTGTGTGCTCACACAGTAATTTGCATGCAGAGGCGAGAGGTTAACGGCCTCGCTTAGTTTAATGAAGAAATCCCCACCATCTTCGGGGGACACCTCTGCGAAAACCACTTCAAATAGCGATAGGACGACGATCTGAAAGCTGGTGCGTCCCTGTTTGATGCCCCAGTCAACGGCCTTCATGATGGCCCTATCGTCAATCACCAATGTAAGACTGACAAGCACGTCCTCGAGCCAGTATATTGTCTCCGTAGGCGATGTCCCTGGAGGCTCGCCCGGTCGATGGGACGAGGAGCCAAACTCCAGTAACGGAGCACTATCGCCGGCCCATTCTTTGTCAAGCAATCCAGGTGACTGGCCTATGTGGTTCAGGTTGCAATTCCATGCTGCGCAGGTCCAAGGATTACACAGCTGTGCCGGAATAGAATGGAATTTGGACTGGCCGGAGGCAATCGAGACAAGAGCAAAAGCCAACTCACGAAAGGGAAATGAGTCGGCGCTCCACTCCCTTCCAAATCTAATGATCTCCTCCTTGTATTGAACAAGGACTTTGGCCAGAACACGAGTGAGAAACGCCTTTGGCGCGTCTGTTATGTTTGTTTTCGGGGTTACGTAGCGACATCCGAATTCGATCACCCCTTTCGGCTTTGGCAACTCCAAAGCCAGCGAGCCCATACACTCTTCTGGGCAAACATCAAGGGAAATAGTAGGCTTGTACATATAGATGCTATTTGCGATGGCGCGAATCCATAGGTTGTCCTGACGCGGGATATTTCCCAGCTTCCAGTGTATGCTGTAGTTCATGGTAAGAACTTCGCGATCGAGGTTGATGATGTAGATGTACTCGGCATCGTGGCTATCCAGTCGCGGCAGCTCGGAAGGAAGCTCCTCGAATTCGGAGAACAGCGAATAGTTTGGTTCGATACCGTCGCGGATCTCGTAGACATGGGCTTCAAGGGCACTTTCTATGGCCGCGTACTCGGCTCACATTAACTTGAGCCACTCTGTAAACTATTAGTTTGCTGCAAAGCACATATCATTCCTTACGGCCTACTCTGGTATTCCTCAGGGTCTGTGGGGATGCTGGCGACAATCTGAGCACCAAGACCTTCGTAGTAGCTGTCGTACTGGTTATATCGAATGTAGTAACGCCGGTTGAAGCGCACGATTTCAAGCCCTCGAGTTCCCATTGTGATCTTGCTGGCTGCCTTATGACCAGGAAAGAGGGTAGGAGGGGGTTATCGTGTGGTAGAGAGTTGGCTCGAAACACCAAGGTGCAGCAGCTAGCACAGGAGATATGGGCTTTAAATAACACCTGAAGTGGAATCGTGTCAGTTTCTCGCAGGTGGTAGTGCAACCCAATTTGAACAGAGTGAAGGGTCAAACCGTGCGAAACCCGGAAATTGTAGTTAGCTTTCAAGTTCAGAATTCTGTGGAGGCGGTGATCCCCGTTGATGGTTCGAGGTATTGAAACGTCACCTTTGCCCATGTGTTGATTGGTTGTTTGGATCTAGGGATGGTATCGTTACAGGTCAGACTGGTAATTATTTATTGATGTACCTCATCTCCCTACTATGCTGACAAACTGTATCCTGCAATGTCCTGAGCAATTAATCGTATCTATTGTAGAGAACTTAGATCTGTATAGGAGGCTAAACCACAGTTATTTGCCAATAAATTGGTGGAGATACATAGTACAAATACTACGGGCGGGGCCGAAGTTCCCCACTCAGGGCATTTCTAGTAGAAAGTATCACAAAACAAAGGTCTGGATGACCAGGCATGCTGAGTACTCACATACTGCCCTCGTAAAAGAAGTAGCAGAGCTCATTAATAAACAAACGGGATCACTGATTATATTCCGGAAAGCTAAATTTTCCGTATAATTACCTATCCAGGAGTGCATCAAAGTTATGAGGTGCTGCGTGCGTCATGTGATCTAGTCTACGCCGTTGGGTCTTCCTCTTCCATCTTTCTAAAAGAATCCAACCATCTCGTACCGGTCTGCCACCTACATCGTCAAACTTCATCGTGGTTGAATTTCTGCGCACCTGTATACCTCTCTGACTTGTATAAAATGCAGTTTGGGACGCTACCTGCGTCAAATACGTGTCGTGAGCTATATCCATTGAAGTGGTAGTGACATAGCTAATCATTTCACACATGAAGACAGGAGAACCACAATCCCATGACCAATCACTTCAGCAACGTCCACCTAAAAAAGCGCCCCTATACACCATGCTACGTTCATACCAGTAGACCAAAACGGAAATCCGCTAGCCATCTGGAGAACAGACGGAACGAAGACTCTGTGTCCCACTGAAAACATCACAGCCTCCTCCTCACTAACAAAGTGACCTCCGGCGGCACAGAAGTGGTATTGATCCAGTTAACCACCCTAAAGCTCCCCTCCTTGACCCTGACATCAAACCGTGAGAAAAACAGATACAACATTATCTTAATCTCATGAACCGCCAACTGCCTCCCCGGACACGCCCATCGCCCCAACCCAAACGCCAAGAATTCTGGGCTGCTTTGAACAGCTGGCTTGGCCTTCTTCTCCCACTGGAATCCATCAAAGATCCTCCCATCGGAACCATAGTTATCCTGGTGTTGGTGCGCTCGCGAAATGAGAACCATGCACACTGCGTCTTTGGGAAGTGTGTATGGCCCAACCTGAACTGGCCGAGTGGTTTGTCGGACTGGACCCCAGGTATCGCCTTTCGTGCGGAAGACTTCACGCATGAAGGAGTCCAAGAGGGTGAGTTGGGTGAGTTTCTTTACGCTCAGAGGCTCGTTTGCATTGATGACTGTCTCCCATTCTTCGCGAATAGCTGGCAGATACCCATCTTGTTTCTGGACCAGGGTGATCAGGATCCAAGTTCCAGCTACGACGGTCTGATGGATCGAGGCGAAGATCATCCCCACGCAGAGAACGACTGACCAGCCGAATCCCGCCAGAGCGCATAACCCAGATCTCTGGTGGTAGTTCTTTACCAGAAGGAGGTCGAATAGTGGTATGTATTCACCGTGGCGTGCGGATAGGCCATTGGAGAGGTGCTCATGTCGGGTTTTCCAGAGCGTGGGGACGATGGCGAAGAAGAACTGGGGAACAATGGTGAAGAGTACAGCGCGGAGGCCATTAAGAAGGACCCATAGTGAAGGAAACCAAGCCCATTCGTGTGTGTTTTCGTGCATGCCGGTCATGTGTGCCATTGCGACGGCCACAGCGGCGAAATGACCAGCTGTCACCGGGGAGGAGTGCGCGGGTCCGAGGATCATGATGACCATGGCGTGGGCGATGGCATGTTGAAGACGAGAGAATATATCTTGGAATTCGACGGGAGACTTGTCCTCAACTGGGGATGGTACCTCGCTAGCCATCCGGTCAAAACATGCCTCGAAAACCGGCAAGATCCGTTCTATGATGGCGTTCATACGCGGCTGCACGTTGTGCTCAATTAGGTTATCCACATCACGGACAAAGACGCCATTGTCGAAGAGCGCGATAAACCCCAAGTGAAGAAACTCGAACGCAGCCTTCTCAAAGGTGAAATTCTGCGTGTCGGTGAGAACCTGATGGGCGTATCGGTGGTCGATTACGTATTCATTCCGGCCGTGTCGAGGGACTATCACGACAGGGCCATATTCGTCCAAGACCTGGCTATAGACCTCGTTGACATGTTCAGATCGTCGAACTTCACGAGGAATATGCACAACTGGTGGTTGAAGCCCCTTCAGAGGATGTTGAGAGTCTCTATTCAACAAAACCATGATCAGAGAGACTATATTGGCAGGATGGGCAGGTTGCCACGCGGCTCGTGAATAGCCCAGATACTCTAATCTGACTATTAACAAGATGCAACCATGCCATGGATTAGAGTTATATCACAATATATCTCACCTGACATCTCCTGTCCTACGTGCAGCCTACATGTCTCGCGCCCGAAGACCAATCCCCGTCCCTGACGTCAGAGAACTAAAGGTTATAAGTACCATTAGCTAATCTTTGGACAGCGCTTGCGGGGTATGTTGCAGATATCTCGACCAGGTATCCTAAAAAGCTATAACTAAGTTCATGCAGTGAGACTGTAAGCATATGCGCTCGTGTTTCTCCTATCGTGAGCTGAAAGATCATTCCAGGGCAAGATCATTACCTTTCAGTCCACTGGAACAAAATCTATAATCATCCCCGACTATGTTAGCACCTTGCTCAAGACTCATCATGGCCTGTTGTATTATCCTCCAGCACATTCATCCCTCCTACACCAAATGAAAGAGGGGTAAGGCTCGCTGGGCAATGGCCTGACTCAGCTGAGTTAGTGAGGATCATATCCAAATGGGGAGTGTGAAAAGGCTCGTGACATCTATTTGATCAAGTAAAAACATCATTGCTAGAAATGTTCTAGCTGATCACCGCAGAGGTAGATAACCTGCATCCCATGCATTATGAATACACTGCGCAATTTAATGATGGCCTGGTTTATTCCCACCATTCATTGGCAACAGCTATCGGGCCCAATGGAGTGTGTTGGGCAGAGTGGATCCGGCGCTGATCTGGCGTCAGCTACGTGGAAATACCTACTACTTGCCTCCACGGGTGTTCTTCTACTCGCTCTCTTCATACCTCCAAGGCCGAAGTGCCCGCTTCCTCTGGTGAACCCCAAAAGACGGTGTGAATTTTCATATAGCCGCGTCAAGAGAGACTTTATTGCTCGTGCCCCCGAGATCATAGAAAGGGGCTTTCTACTCACTGGTAATAAGCCCTTTAGGATCAACGCTGATATCGGCGAAGTGATAATTCTTCCTCCGGAATTAGCAGATGAAGTTCGAAACAATGATAACCTCACTTTTGCTCGGTTCATGTATCTGGTATGGATGTCCCTCGCTATTGCTCATGCAAACAGCTTATCTAGAATAGAATTTCCATGCCCATCTTCCTGGGTTCGAGGCCTTCATTGAAGGCGGCCGAGGCTCGCGCTTGGTCAAACACGTCTCGCAAAGGCAGCTCACAGCGGCTCTGAGTAAGTCCAACTAATGTCGCCGATCTAGTCACAATATCTGACCTGAACCACTGCAAGACAAGATAACCATACCTTTGTCGGAAGAGTGCAGCTTGTCACTGCAGGAAATCCTCACCGATCAAGACAGTAAGTATCGTTATTTGCCCCTAGCTCTAAGAAGCGCGCTGATCAGACAACAGCCTGGCACGAGATCAACCTCAAAGAGAAAGTACTTCCTCTTGTCGCCCGTCTCTCATCCAAGGTCCTTCTCGGCGATGAACTGTGTCATGATACCCGCTGGCTGAAGTTGACCGCCGAGTACACTACCGTAGCTTTCCGAGCGGCCCAGTACCTGCGCATCTTCCCTTACTACACCCGGTATATCCTTCACTGGTTTCTCAGTGACTGCGCTGCGGCCCGAGCCCGCGTCCAGGAAGCTCGCCAAATCCTGGGACCGGTGCTGGCCAAGCGTCGTGCGCAAGCTCGAGATAAAACAGCAACTATAGAATATGCCGACGCCATCGAGTGGTTTGAGCAGGCGGCCAACGGAGGAGACTACGACCCCGCCATCTCGCAGCTCATGATGAGCTTCAGCTCAATCCATACCTCGGCTGATCTGGTCATGCAAGTCATCCTCGATCTTACGCAGCATCCAGACCTTATCGAGCCATTACGAAGCGAGTTCACGACCGTCCTTGGCGAACAGGGCTGGAGAAAGACCTCACTATACAAGCTCAAACTCATGGATAGCGTCATCAAAGAAAGCCAGCGCTTGAAACCTGTCCTCTCTGGTTAGTATTACCATGCAACAATACTATCCTTCGCCTAGGCACCCATCTGATCTAGTATTGCTAACATCAAACAATGTATAGCATCCATGCGTCGAGTATCCACCACCAACATCACTTTATCCGATGGGACTATCATCCCCAAAGGCGCCATGGTAGCCGTTTCCGCCCGTCGCCAGCGCGATCCCACCATTTACAAGGATCCCGATCGCTACGATGGCTACCGCTTCAAACACATGCGTGGGATCCCTGGCCAAGAACACCGATCTCACCTGGTGAGTACGAGTCCAGAGCATCTGGGTTTCGGACACGGCCTGCATGCTTGCCCTGGCCGGTTCTTCGCCGCCAATGAGATCAAAATCCTTCTTTGCCATTTCCTTCTCAAATACGATTTCAAACTGGCTGAGGGCTGTGAGCCACGACCGAGGAACTCGGGGTTTCATATCAATGCGGATCCTTTTGCGCGTATCCTGCTTCGCAGGCGTCGGGATGTGGATATCTCTGTTTTGGAGTCTTGAACGGTCAGGGTCGGTGGGTTTGTGTACGTCGTGTTCGTATGTAGGCTTGATTATCTTGTTTTAGCTACCTTTTGTTCGAGGATGCATCCTTAGAGTTTGATCCATGTCATACGGCATGTAATAAGGAGGCTCTGAGAGTTGGTGATAGGCTATGATGCTACGAATCAGCCTAAGCACCGACATTCAAAAGGAACTCCGTTGTGACTCTGTTTTGCCTCCGCTCTGCCAAACTGATCAATGAGAGGAGAGAAAGAGCGGATTATTGCCTCTCGTCTAGGATAACCCTCTGTCTAGGTCCTCGTAGGGCGTCTTTGAAGTTGAAACGAAGGTTACACTATGTCGATCAAGCCAAACACCTGCCTAGAGCGTGTGTCATCATCCTACGTAGCCTGTCTTACTAAACGGCCAACCTCCTGTCCAGTGAGAAGGCTTTGTAGGCTCGACTGCTCTTGTAGCTGATTCCTCGCAGTAGGCAGCAGGTTTTGCAGGGGAATAATTGGGACCAGATCAGCCATCGCTCCGCCAGTGCATCCTCTGATACACAGCCTAAGCATACGGAGGATAAACAATCCCGCTCACCCCGGAGATAATTGCGGCTCGGATAATAACGATTGCGGCATATGAGGTCTGCGGAACCTTCGTCCGACCGAATCCATGGACAAGGGCTATACCCCTCACGCAATCCTGTCCGACCCGACAAGGCAGGACCGTTTTGCTTGCATATGCAAACAGATGGTTACAGGCAGACACTGGTACACCAGTTGATGTAATCTTGTGGATAGCGACAAAGTACAAGTTCACGTTGTTAGTGAGATCAAAGGAAGCCAACGAAGTCGAATCTTAGGAGAACCCAAGGAATCGAAATGACACCCACTCCCTCCATCATTCAGGGACCAAAAGAACCCGAGCTCTGGTCTTTGACCCTTGGACAGCTTGTTCATATTCAAGCTGACCGGTACAGCTCGAAAGATGCCATTATTGTTCCATGGACAAAGGCACGCCTGAGCTATCTCGACTTGAGTCGTCGGAGCGAGATGGTAGCTCAAGGCCTTCTTGCTATGGGAGTCCACAAGGGTAGCCATGTCGCCATCTTCTCGAGCGACGACGAACGATTCATCGAACTATTCTTTGCTGTGGGTCGTATCGGGGCCATCTTGGTTATCCTCAACAAAACATACACGGTTGCGGAATGCGAGCGAGCTCTGCAGCACTCCGGTTCGATTGTCCAACTGGATAAGCCCCAGTCCATGGTGGTGCAGGACTAATACACTGGTAATAGACAGCAGCCTGCTCTTCGTGGGCAACGTTGTCAACCGTCAATCCACTGCTCCGCTGCTCCGTCATCTGCAGGGACACCCGAGACACATCTTGGAGAGAATCATAATGACCCGATGGGATCCTCAGGTGGCCGAGCCATTCAGTACGTGGGATAGTTTGTTACAGAAAGGCTCCTCGGTGACAATGGGGTACCTACTCGAGGCCGAAAGTCAAGTTCACTGCGAGGATACAGTCGCCCTGCTGTTCACCAGTGGGACAACTGGCGCGCCAAAAGCCGCGATGCTCAGTCATTTGTAAGCTTCATACCTTTCAGGGCCTTGAGCATGCATAAAGTGAGGATACCCCTGATACAGTTGTAGCAATATTATAAACAACGGTCGCTCCATGGGGGACCGTCTCGAATTGACGCCTGACGACGTGGTGTGTTGCCCACCTCCACTGTTTCACTGCTTCGGTCTAGTTGCGGGCATGCTAGCTGCTGTAACGCATGGCAGCGCTATTGTGTTTCCGCATGCCGACTTCGATGCCGCAGCAACGGTCGATGCATTGGTCGCTGAGCGCTGCACCCTCCTCCATGGAGTCCCCGCCATGCTGACGGCCGTTCTCCATCATGTGCGGCAAACCAAGGCACCGATTCGAGGGCTGCGGACAGGGATTATAGGTGGCTCGAAAGTGCCTCCAACGCTCCTGGTCGAGCTGAAGAAAGAAATGGGCTACCGGGATATTGTCATAGCTTATGGTGAATGAATCGCCCCCTTGCATGACACCGGAGAGGATTTGGCCGTTTGCTGACATTGGGGTGCGATTTAGGCATGACGGAGACTTCGGCCGCAAGCTTCATGACAAAGGTATCTGACACGACAAATCAAAAGCTCGATACCGTGGGCACTATTATGCCGCATGTCTCAGCAAAGATCGTCGACCAGCACCATCATGTCCTTCCACATGGCAAACGTGGGGAGCTTTGCGTCTCCGGCTACCTCCTCCAGCAGGGATACTACCGTAATCCATCAAAAACTCGAGAGGTCATGATTCGCGATGCAGTGGGGGTTTTGTGGATGCATACCGGAGATGAGGCGGCCATTGATGAACAGGGCTATTGTCATATAACAGGACGCGTGAAAGACATCATTATCAGAGGTACCGCGTCCATATACCATCCAGATTTATCAGCGCAGGCTTGCTAATCAAGAGACCGAGGATCATAGGAGGTGAGAATGTCTATCCTTGCGAGATCGAAGAGCTGCTGCTGTCGCATCCCGCTGTCGAGCAAGCCAGCGTGATTGGTATCCCCGATGACCACTACGGGGAAGCCGTCGCTGCCTTCCTTCAACTTCGAGTCGGCCACGTAAAGCCTTCCTCGGAGGAGGTGAGAGACTGGGTCCGACAGGATCTTTCACGGCACAAAAGCCCGAGCTATATCTTCTGGGTTGGGCCAGGGGAGACCATCGAACGTTTTCCGGTCACCGGCAGTGGGAAGATACGAAAAGATATCTTGAGAGAGATCGGGATCCAAATCCCGAGGCAAGAAAGGATGATCAATCTATAGGGGTGGGATAGAGAGAAAGGAGAAGAAGAAGAGGGGAATTCTCTCTGCCTTGCTGCAGGCAGTGAGGCACCCAACCCGGTCACCTGATCCATCGGGGATTTTCCTGGATTTAATCCCTTCGATCGAGATTTCTACAGTACTTTTGTGCTCACTATCATTTTCTGTCCGGACAGCCGGTTGGTTAGTAGGCAAGCGCGTCACGTGCCTCGTCATATTGGCCACTGTGTTGTTGTCCTTTTCATCCCGCGTAGGCAGACGCCTTCTAGCTAGTCATACTAATATTACTCGTTTTCTTCAGCTTCATATTTTAACAGGTTATAAGCCTAGCTTTTTGCTGTAAAGCACTGCTATATTTATTGTTAAAGTATTATTTAAAATAATTCTATACAATTTTAAGTTATTAAGAATCTTTATAATACTTCTATAAAGTTGTAACAGGAATACTAAACCCCTTACAATATTAAGAATTCTAATTTTAATTAATATTCATAATCTACAATTAATTATTCCATACTAGCTACTGACTAGAAACTAATTTAAGCCAAAAGAGCTATAATAAAAATCTATATTAAAAAGTAAAGAAGAAATTATATAATTTTTATATATCAGTAAGAATAATATAATAAATATAAATTCTTTAATTCAAATAAATCAAATCCTGATAAAGCTGCTGGAGAGTCTTATTAAATTCTTAAATAAATCTAAAAGATAGATAATTTTAATACATGAAACTTCATAATTAAAATAATATTAAAAAATATCAGATTATAAGATTTAATAAATAAAGAATTAGATAAACTTTTAACTATACATGTAAATTATAATATTTAGTATACAGTATTAATTAATTTATAGTTATAATTAATTATTCAGCTAAGTAAGAATATATCAAAATAATTTATAAAATTAAATAATTTAAAGAACTAAACTAATAATACTTATAAAAAAATTAGATATCTTATTCTTAATTATAACTATATTATAATAAAGACTGCTTAGTTCAAATTTACTAGAATAACAAGATTAAAGTATTCAACTATCTTCTAATTTATTAATAACTTTAAAAATATATATTTTTTAACTTAGTAATTAAAAATTAGTATTCTAACAGACGGCAAGCGGGGCGCCAGAAACGGCTCCCATTGAACGGCCGTTCTGCCCGCCGCTACCGCCTGTCACATACGGGAATGCCACTGCCTCTTACTGTCTAGTGCGGTCCGTTTTGGGTATCGCGCCCACTTCTCGCCGCTTTTACGCCCTTCGCCTGCCGCCTCATGCCTCCCACGCCATCTATATAAGCCCGGCACCTCTCCCTCGAAAGGCGACGCACTTTCTCTTCCTCTTCCCCTTTCTCCCCCTGGCCGTCTGCCTCAGCCGGAGCACTACCCCCTCCCAGAGATGCCGTGCTACCCGAACATTTCCCTCTTACAGTATGGCGCCCTGCGTTTCCCCTCTCTCTTCCCCCCTTCTTCGGCGACTCCGAGTCGCCCACGGATGCTCGAGGGTTGGCCAGCGGTCATTTCCGTTGGTTTCTGAGATATTTTCGTTCGCCCGGTCGGGCATCCTCTCGTTTGTGGCTGCCTATCGCATTCTGAGCCCTAATATCGTGATTTTACGATCGTTTGCGGCGCGGTCGTGCATGAGTTGACTGGCAAGTATGAATATCATGTCTTGATTTCTTGCTGAATTTTGAGTCCCGCATCGTTTCCATCGCTCATTATCTACGAGGCTTCGAGTCTCCAGGTAGTGGATACATTCTGTGGTCTGCCGGCATAGCCCCCTCTCGTCGAGCCGACAAGCCAGGAGGCTTGCTAGCTCACCTGGCCTGGGTTGCATGTCATCCCACCAACGCATGCCTTTGACCCACCGGAATTAATGCCCGTTCGATAACATGCGGTCTGGCCTTTACCATCGGCCAATGGCAAAATTGCCGCAGCTTCATCCATATCCTGTGTGTAGAGCCGAGAGGCTTGACATACGAGTCTTGGAGGCAACATGCTAGCCGCGATTGGCCGGGCGCCCTCAATTCCAGCGCTCGGTCGAAATTCCTGGCTGAGGATGGATACGTCAGCCGCAGAGGACGAGTTTTTAGGATCAGGGAGTCTCAGTTCGGCGTTCCTTCCAGCTCGCAAGGCCGTCCCATTGAGAGGACATATAGAGGATCCCCGAAGTTCGCAGTGTTACCATTCGATTTTCGCATCAGCTGCACAACTCCCTTATCATTTGACCTTCTTCCAACACTACATCCTGTGTCCCAATCCCTACCTGCACATCCCTCCTTCACACTGGTCCCATTCTCCACCTTCACTCCCAGATCCGAATTTTCACAGAGTCAAACCTGCCAAAAGATCCCGCTAATCCTGTTTCTTGCAATATGTTATCTGTATTTCACATTGAGGACTTCAGGCCATGGACTTTCCCTTCTCTCACACAAACCCCTTCTCCTACACAATCTGCTCCTCCCACACAATTCCCTTCTTCCACACGATTCCCTCTTCACAAGCAACATCCGCCTTCTAATCCCCCCTGTTCACACAGTCCATGTAACAAGTCTTCTGTCCTTAAGCATTATGATGAACCCCAGCCACGAACTTTGCCATTACTCCAGCATCCACTCCCAGCGCGGCCACCAGAGAGTGCTTGCGTAAATACAAGTGCAAAAGGCGCCCTACACACATTCTCTGGCTCCAAACTTTCACCACGACAATCACTTATACCATTACCCGGTACTTTACCTGATACGTAACATCCAGAGAAGCCTGAGCAACCTGTAAAAAATCATAAGAATAACATGTTAGATTCAGTCACGTTATATAATGGTCAAGATACCATGAATAATCTGACTGATATGTCTGTTCTTCAAGTTATTACCTCATCACCCAGCACGCTCAATTCAGAGCACAGCCCACCGTTGTCTGATATACACAATAGCATTCCAGTTAACCCGGTTATTCTCACCGACAACAGACCGTGGGTGATTAGAGAGTTGCAGTCCATATATCCAGAGAATTATTTGATTAGATTAGCAACAAGTTTTCTGTATCCTGACCCCCCCCGTCACTCTATGCAACACAACTATTTACCACTCAGACTCCAACACAGACCGAAAGGCAGAATATCAATCTTCAATCAGTTAGCCTATATGACTAAGGCTATACGCGAACACCATATAACAATGCTGAAGCCAATATTTTATTACATGATAGCCCGCCGGAGCCCTTCACCAGCAGTCAATGGTCAAAACTACGCAAGCGAAAATCGCAACCCACCGGTAAACAGCCGTCAAAGCGAGCTTGATATCCTATATCCAGCCCAGAGGAAGATACATCGTCTTCAGCACTTTGTACTCATTATTTGTCTGCATCCGCCGACGAACAGCTGTAATTTCTCAGTTAGCTGTTCCAAGGCGCTGCAAGACGCACCTTTGTTGAATTAGGTACAGAAATGTCGATGAACAAAGGAGAGAAGCCAGCAGGTAAGATAGATCATCCACCTAGTCGCCTTGAGCACCGTGGAACCTCCAGGAGGGGCAAGAAGTGGTTCTCTGAAGAGGTGGCTTTCCTGCAGGAGCTAAGAAGTGATAAGAGCAAATCCTGGTCAGAAGTGACCAGATTGTTCTCTATCTGATATCCGGGCAGAAGTAGGGGTTCGATTCAGGTATACTGGTCTATAAAACAGGGTACTTAACGGTCGGCCAGATTGCGTAAGGAACTGTATCTGGTTGACGGACTTCTTTATTACTCGAGTGTCGTCCCAAACTCGAGGCGGCGATCAGGCGGAATGGGGCTTCTTGAGGGACCTGAGAGGGCATCTTCAACTGCAAAGCCAACGCTTGTGAGAAGTACGTTAACTAGTACAAGACAGATGATATCCCTAATGTTAGCTAGCTATTCACATGCTCAATTGTGCTCGACCATTTCACCAAAGGCGATTGGACAATTATTGTTCACGTGAGTGCTTAACGGACTCATGTCCCTGGACTGCCGGAGCATGGAAGAATACTTTGGGGTCTGTGGGGTATTATATCACATGACTGAGATGTTATTGGCCATTTCAAACTGGCTAGTACTCTCCAAAGAGATAAGAGACAGACAGCTTCGACGTAGCTGGAATTTTATCAGGAAAGTACTGGTCAACTGAATGAATGCACGTATAGAGATAGTGGTATTCTTCATGTCACCTGAGGCGAACAGGCAAACGCACGGAGGGTTTATATAGAGATAATAATAATGAGAAGAACTATCAGTTATAAGGGATCAACGGCGTCTCTCGGTTTGGAAGACCAGGAAAGGGGCAGATTCGTGAGCTAAAAGAATAACACGGATTAAAAACCTAGTAGACCCCGGAATCAGTCCTGTTACTATCAAGAACACGCCAATTTATGATTGATACCTACACATGACGGCTTCGCCTAGTCTAATTGACCGCCTGAAGGTGTGATCGCTGGGGACTCTAGAATTATTAGCTTCCGGCCTTCCAACCCGCTCGCAAGTCTGACAACCCAGGTTGGTATGCACTTTTACGTGCAATGAGGCATCTCTGATCATATTTGTAATAGCTGGCAGGCATTTAGTTGGGGTACTGAAATCCCGACTCTACCCACTTGTGTAGTTGTCAGTGTCACTGACATTGCTCTTCTGAGTCCCAGCACAGTCAGGCATAGGATTGATTCATAGCAGAAAGCATACAAGCAGATAAGTTCACTATCGCAGAGACAACATGATGCGCTTTAGCTCTTGAAATTCTTTATCTTTTTACTTTAGAGACTGTGTCTATACCATTTAAAAGTGAATCCAATCTGCTCAGGCTCACCTGAAGAAAGCATGCGAAGAAGCCCCCGTTTTTCCAGGTCCTGGCAAAATTTCCTTTCCGAAGAACATTCCTTCTCCAAGTAGTTTTGATCTATTTCATTACCATGATCGCAACCTGTTCGCTCAGTTATTGCTGTCTCGCTGCGGAAATGCAGTGATAACAACCTCCACAACTTTCCAAGGCCATAATATATTCTATTAATTATGCGACTCATGACCATACACCATTGTTCATTGAACATTGTTGCGACAAAGGTTACTACTTTGTTGCTTTCTTTTCTGCTTTCGTCTCTGCTTTTGTATCTTTCCATCGCATTGGTTCTTTTGTTTAATAGTGTCTTCGTGTGCGCAGCTAATTCTGCAACCGTGACATATTTATGATGTCAATATTTATCAATAATAGCGTCAATCAAGGGATCGCCATCCAATTTAGGAAATTCCATGTTCTGTAGTAACTCCACGACCCTAGGACCATGTTTATAAGGATCTTCAGTAAGACATTGATCTCCATAAACCTCAAAACCGTAAAACACATCAGCACTAATATCTTGCGCAAGTCAAGCGGGGTAGGACGCGAGAACTAGACCAGCTACACAGCCTTTAGGTCCTGAGAGATTTGGAGGGTGATTTGTGAGTCCCACTAGTGGTTCAGCTCCATCTATCCTTTTCAGCCTTGACACATCCGTGTAGCTTTTACGCCCAGACGTGTGCTAACCTCATGGCCCTTCGTTAAGCATACATGGAATGCAACGTGACGCAATGCAATGAAATGAAATGGTGTGATGTGATGTGATATGGTGTGATATGGTGTGATATGGTGTGATATGGTGTAATGTGGTGTAGTATGGTGTAGTGTGGTGTAGTGTGGTGTAGTATGGTGTAATGTAGTGTGACTTAGTGTGCTGTGGTGTGATGTGGTGTGATGCGGCAGTACCAGGAATACAATATTCTCATTGGATTGCATGAAGATTTTTAAGATCGTCAACTAACGTAATCCACAAGCGAACCGGCCACACAAGCGAACCGGCCACCTCCCCTACATACGTCCGAATCAAGCACTTTTATAGACCCGAAAATTGTATTTTTATATAAAATTCAATTACATACACGATTAAAACATTGCAATCGCTTATGTCCTAGATTATGACAATCACTGCAGCGTGGTGGCGCCCGTACGAGCCTTGAAGAGGTTGCCAGCCTGGTTTCGTCCGGTATAGATTCTGGCACTTAACGCATGGATTCTTCTTGTTAAACGCGTTGTATCTCTTCCTGAGCTTTCTGGATGGTAAATCCATTCATACACTTAATTTGACGTCGAGAACGGGTCTACTTTTAATAAGATTTCTCATTGGCAGCACGTAATTCATGATTCTCTTGAGCCAGGATTATACTGCCATTTAAGGTTATTTCAAAGTCTTTAAACACCTGTTCCAGTGCCTTGTCTGTTGGACTTGGTGGACTTTGCGTACGCTGCCAAAGAAGACGTTTGATCGTGGACACTGACTTTTGTAACTGACGGGTGTTATAAGGCGTTTTAGGATCAGATGTAGATAAGCGTGTGGGAGGTGGTGTCGGCGTACAAAGCTTAATATTAAGCTTACTGAGCACTCGTTCTGGGTCCAAAGGGACTAATCCAGCTGCTGTAAAGCTGCTTTAAATGTTTTCAGGTGTATATATCTCCGTACGAGCAAGCGGGAAGGCCTCAAGGAAGTCAAGCTTATCAATATGATTATACCCGAGCCGGGCCTTGCTCTCAATCAGGCACCTGTACGCTCGTTTTAAGGGCGAGAAGCATTCAACATCCAGCAGTTGTAAGAGATAAGATAAATGCGGAGGTATATAAATAGAAATAATATTATTCTTGCTGCAAAGCTTATCAAAACAAGGCGTCAAATGGCTACTATATCCATCCAAGATTAGTAGACGATATCTGCCAGTCATACGGCCATTTATAGCTGAAATAAAGAGCTTCTCTAGCCATTAAAATATGATTTTATCTATTGTCCACCCATTATCACTGACTTCAATCCGCCAATCAGATGGTAATGATATGCCCTCATACTATCTTTATATATAAACCTTTTCTTTAAAGATAATACAGGGCGAGAGTACCCAGCCTATACAATTGACACATTCAATCGATGTCACCCATTCTTGATTCTCTGGTTGTACGAGCAAGGGCTTGCCAGTCATTTCTGTTCTAGTAACTACTTTAGCAGTAGATATTAGACCTATTACAAAGCTTGTCTCATTAAAATTATAGATATCTTCTATTTGGATCCCATGCTGCATAATCATCACTCGTATGCGTGTAAACCATTTATTTATGGTCTTCAGATCTTCGCATTTTGCTCGTTAATGATTATAATGTCGAGCATATCTGGTTTTGAGCTCTGTACATCGCTTGACAAAGTTATATACCCAGTTTTTGCCAACAACTGGGGCTGGAATCTCTCCGCGTTTAGACAAGATAAGATTAGCAATTTCTCATACATGTCAAGGCCGGGGCGCTGCTCCGCGTGAATCTAGAGATAGGATCCACTGGACAATTAATTCTTCTTCAAATGTAGTCAATTTCTGGGAATTAGGTTAGGTTTCCGTACAAGATTTAATCCCGTGTAGTCGTTCTTGCAGGGTAGTCCTCGGGATATTATAAACACGAGCAGCTTCACGAATTGAATGTATTTGATTATTTTGAATAGCAGATATTGCAAGCAGGATTTGACCTTCAGGATAAGTAGATTTTGAGCGTTTTTGAAGCTTTTTTGGAGGCATGGTGGTGGTTTAAAGATAAGTTAAAAAAGCAGACGCGTACAAAACGCGTGGGTGGCCGGTCCGCTTGTGTGGCCGGTTCGCTTGTGGATTACGTTAAGGGAAGACTGATGACGTAAACTACCCCGCATCTTCCACTCCTATTTACCACATAACACCTTATTGCACCCCATTAGACCACATTGTGTCATGTCATACCTTTTTGTACCCTCTCCTGTCTTCATGCAGAGGTCAAAATGGCGCCGAGAAACAGAAAGTTAGCTCTTTCAGTGCTTCCTCACCTTCTTGATGCCCAGAGAAAACTCTTCAGTGATATCGACGATGACCTGGTTGACCGTCAAAAACAGCAGCTTCGTTCCTGCCTACAGCTATGGCGAAGCGATGACTCTTCAACCAGAAAGTGGGCAAACACGAGGGCACGTTCGCTGCTAGCTATGGTCTACGAAGACAAATATTTGGGTGCCCCAGTGTTCATTTTGTGTGCTTTAGGAATAAGCGTGACGAAGTTGGGGACACTTAACCCAGTTGAAGCTATCGCGGAGATTCGCAAGTGGTGGAGAAATGTTGAACATCCAGCCGGGCTGATAATGTGCTCCAAGCGTTATGTACAAGAAAATTGGGATGTATTTTCAATATTCAAAGGGTAAGTACTCGATATCGGTCTATTTCAACTTCGCTAATGCTCCCTAGGCAGGCAAGTCCGACGCCGCCTCCCACAATTGTGTATTTCACAATTCCCGAGCTTTTCAACTTCTTCCAATCCAAAGCTTCTTCTCCGAACTTGCAGATGACATGCCCAATTTCTGGCCAGCCACTACCAACCATTGAGATAGATTTGAACGGTAGAAGCGCAAAAATTGAGTTTTCACTGAGGGCTAGCCAGGCGTTGATTCAACATAAACTGATCTCGCAGGCTGCTGATGGAAAAAACGCACAGACGGGTGTTGAAAGTACAGACAGATTTGTCCCGGCGATATAGTCACAATATAATAACCATTTCCATTCCCTGTCACGACGTTCGATACTGGATCGCTGTCGACCCTAACAGCCCCCCAACCGCAGTTTTGGGTGACAAGAACCGCCCTAACTGAGGAATCTGCTGTTGTAACTTCTTGCCCGTCGGTGTTGCATATAGTCCAGCTCTTGTCTAGTTTTATATCCACAGAAGGACCGGCATTCTGCCATTCTCGAACCTCTCTCCTGGCTATTTCAAGCAATTTATCGTCATCATGAGCGATCGCAGTGACATCTATTACTTGAGGGCCTTCAGCCATGGGCTCGTTTCGATCAAACTTGGAGGATAGTTTTCGGGCTAACGCTTTGTCGAATGCAACCCTATCGGAATAGTATTATTATTAGAATCCTTTCTTATGTAATAGAGACTGCAAGTTCTTCTCACCTTGATTCAGATAACGATAATTGAAGACCTCACTAGGAGAAATTGTGAAACTCGGCTGTGGCAGATTTCAGACTGTCCCCTATTACCATCCTGATATCCGTGGGCATACAATATGATTTACTAACATTATAAATCGAGCAGGCAAAGTTATAAAAGCCATTAAGTATGCTCAGATGCATTGGTGTAGCCTTCGGGTATGATAGGTATTGATTTTGGGCATTGGAGGGGTGACGGAGGGGCATATTCGGAGAAATATTTTTGCGTAATCACCGTACCCGGTAACCAGTTTTGATGGCATTTGAGGATGACTTCTGCGCAGGTATGAAGTGTCATTATAAGTCAATGTACCACTGTCAAATGCTTCCATAGATACCGAATACGTGTAAAGTCAATGATGAGCCAACTAAATCGGCTATTGGGATCGAAACACCTGGCATGGCAAAAGCGAGAATACAGAGGCAATTAGAACATATACATGAAAGAAAAACGTTGGGGTTGCTGGTACATGGGATAATTAAATGACACCAGTAGCTTAACATAGATACCCAGCTAAGTAGTCAAGATTGAGTTGTTCTACCACTCTCATCACTCATCACACCATACCCTACCATATAACACAAGTCTTTTACCACATTATACCACATTATATCATATTATACCATATTATACCATATTATACCATATTATACCATATTATACCATATTATACCACATTATACCACATTATACCATATTATACCATACTATACCACATTATACCATACTATACCATTTTATACCACTTTATACCACACTATACCACACTATACCACACTATACCACATGATACCACATTAAACATCTGTACCATGCTGTACCTCATTATATGCTTCTTTGCAGCAGACATGCTTTATAAAACACCAAGGATATCAGTCCAGTCTCGTTCTATGTTCTCACCGCAATTTGGAATAGACCAATCCATTTCTCTGTGGTTTCCATCCAAAGCAATCGTCTCTCATCCAACATGTTCTGCATCACAAGCCTCATCAGATCCTGAAAAGCCCTAATTTCCACCTCAGACAACGCAAGACCAACAGCACTCGATGCAACAAAAGAAATTATTGCAAAATATGAAAATGTCCCACCAATGTCCAAACCAGGCCGGCCAATAGAACAGCCAATTGATGTTATCGAAGCCGAGAAAAGATTTGGAATATCCCTTTTCAAAGATTCCTCCCATATCTTCATTCGGCATGAACAATACCATATGATACTCGAAGCTCGTTTCCACGATGATCCCGAGAAACCCTATCTCATATCATACCCAAAAAGCATTCGCAACTCGGATCTTTCCAAGAAAGATCAAGAACTTCTTAAATTGAAACTCCAGGATATTAAAAGACTTATATCAGAAACAGACTGGGACCACCTCAAGCAACAGTACGGTATCATAAAAGGAGACTAGCTTGTGAAGGACAAAGATGATAAAGAAATTTGAGACTTAGTAATTGGCGTGTGGCGGGGGCTGGAAGATTTTGATCTATCTTGAACAGTGATGTAAATAATATAGAAGGCTCGAGCTGAAATCATACTCTTACTTTCAGTCCTGGTGCGTTCTATGTACCTAATACATGAAAACAGTCGCGAGCAATGAACAACATAAATAGCCTCAAGTTTCTTGTCTAGAAATATGCACATCAAACTAATCATGAACATTATTATTTTTGCAATCATATTACTTGTGTTGGTATTATTAGGACTCTTCCTCGTTTTGTCTCTCCTACATCCGCTTTTCAAGGAAAGGTACTTCCCAGACCTCGAATCAGCCACAGTCTCTCCCCATCCACATATCGATTAAAGTTTGCTCTGTGCTTTATAGAGTACTCATGACCGGAAGAAGGGAGTTTAGCATCAGTTAAATTATGGTAAGGAAAAGATTTTCGCATACAAGACAATATCTAAAAGCTTATAGCGTGAGGACAGCATATTATAAGCCAGATTTTACGGCCTATAATGTATCGGAGTGCTCGAGATGGCTCGGAAACAATTGTGTGGTAGAAAGCCCTCGTATGCATGTGAGAATATTTTGCGGTGTATGCAGGAGAATGGACTAGGATGATCCGTGGAAGTGTGTGTGGTGCATGCAGTCATGAGAGATAATCGAGTGCTTAGAAATGATAAGGAAGTAATCTTAATTTGGCCCTAAAACCATGATACTCGACCAAAGATGTGCAACCATTTGATCGGTAAAGTCCAGCCCCAATAGCTGGCTTGATGCTCAGCTGAAGGAACAGGATCCTTCCATCATACTTCTTCGTAGTGTCTTGCTGCAACAGAGATTTCAAATAAACAGAGATTGCTAGAGCCTGCTGCAGTGGGGAACGTGTATTATGGGGCCTAATTTTACCCTGTACCAGCGGTCCAGTAAGGATATTCTCCTCCAGCATCAGCCTAATACTGGCCTAGAACACTCTGCATGCCTCTAGTTTGATTGAGATGAGTCCTTGGCTGAATAATGGCTTATTCTGCCGCACGAGACTAACGAGCCTGCGAAGTTACTTGAATCGGGATGGGAACGAGGTCGAGATGAGTAAATAGAACTACGCCCAGCTAATGAGAAATGACTTCAAGTAACCGCCCGGTATCTATACAAAGTAGATCATCATTTGCCTGCATTGCCGCTTGATACATGCATGCAACCACGCTGTACAGTGAGTATTCCGTCTCTCGGTTTTTATTTTTATTTTTTGGACGCTTTTCTACAAGGGCAATGTAGCTTACGGATCATCTAGAGTACCAATCACTACTCAGGGCATTTGAACCAATATGCCCGGCCGAGGCGCATACGACACCACAGGGGTGAAAAAGCCAGGAGCACCACCTTCGCCACCATCAACTCGGTAGCCAAATCAGATGGCTGTGGCGCTAGGTGATCTGACAATAATGGAGAAGAGGGGGGGGGAAGCTTTTTTGTTTGTGCCTGTAATCATTATCAGCTTGCGTTGTACTAAGAGGAAAGAGATCCGATTTGACTGGGCTTTCTTTGGGATCAGGGAAGTTATAAATTCATGTGGTCCGATCATCTAATGTGCATCTCTACATCCATTAATTGTTTTATTCCATCATTCTTGTTTGTTCTGTGCTTTTCTGTCTTCGATTTCCAATTGCCTTGCCCTCCTTTGTTTTAGATATCTTGATTTATGGTTATTTCAAACCTCAAAGTGAAAGTGAATAACCCTTTCCTTCTTTCGAACCACTGAATAGTATAAGAAAGGTTGGATATAACTGATATGCTAATTTTTCCCGGATGTGCTTCTACGGTCATGTTAAATATAGCTGCGGCTATCTGGAACCTCAGCCTCGTGTCGTTCGGTGCGTCCTGGCTCTCAGTAATGAATGCCCGGGGACAACCCGAAAGGATACAATACATATGAGCTCTACTTGTGGGACGATCCAGGGAAGTCATATGAAGGTCTTCATCACATGGGTGAGGCTCTGTGTAAACCAAGAAATGCGTACTTACGATGTGAATACGGAGGGTAAAGTTAGGTACTCGATCTATCTGATCTCAAAAATGATTGGTTGGCGATTAGAAGAGTTGGTGGTCGGAGAACATGCAGGGAGAAGATGAGGCAAAGGATCAGCTGATCCTAGCAGGAGTGAGTGTCTCAACACTATGTTCTTCACTGCGGTCTGTTGCCATCGCTTAAAAATTCCAAAAAGCCTGGGTCCTTCAGCCTTTACTTATGCGTGATACAAAGCCCATCGTGCTCGAGACATTTGAGGGAAGACATTGCGATATTGAGATCCGTGGGTTGGGCCCTAGCCCCAGCCCAGATAGCACTAAAATCTACCCAACTAAGTAAAAGCCAAATGGAGCTTAGGTCCCGTCATCAGCTATTGTATGGCTCTCAGTCTTTTTCGGGAAGATGCGAATAAGCAATCGGACTATCCTCATATTCCTCCAACAATTCCTCGGCAGGCCAAACGACTTTGCCAGACCTCTTTCCACCCCGAGGAGTCGCATCCGTCTTCTCCGGAGTATGTGTTGCAGTTTTTAGGACGAAATCTTCTTTGCCGTTCGTATATCCGTGCGATGCCACATGGAACATCCGCTCAACTTGATCGCCGTCTTTGAAGGCCATGGTCACATGCCAGCCGAGGGGGTCTTTGGTGCGTTGGCCATTGATAGAAGTAGTTTCGTGTATGTCCGACCTGGTGCGATCCGAATTAGCACTTGAAAAGTTCGGAGTATGAAACCAGACTCTCGCTCAATTGAGAAAGGGATATGCCTAACCGAATGAGAATCGCTTTAGGAGCCAGTTTCTGGTCTCGGGCAGTGGCGTATGCCAAAGCAACTAGTGCCTTCTTGCGCTCTGGGGAGAGACGGAAGCCTCCGTAGAAATAATATCTGACAAGGTTTATACCGCCTCCACTGGCCATGGTTATAGGCTTTAAGAAGGGATACTTCCCGCTTTGGTGTTTTGTTGTCAGAGGTTGGCGAGCCTTACTTATATAGCCTGCGTGCTTTGGCCTTCTGGGCTTAGAAACTAGTTCTTTGTGACTGCGCTTTATCATAAGCTAAAGAAATCAATATTCGCGCTGAAACATACAGTATCCTGGTAGCCTGTTCTCAATCATTCCGTCCTATTCTTCCTCCTGGACGTTACGTTACGAGCAATACTAACTTACCAGCACCTTAGCCCCTAGTCGCCGAGTAGGATAAATACATGTCTCTGATTTCTGACAACAGTTGGAAGACTAATCATAGCTTTCGATGCCTTGCAACTCGGCGAATGGAACTGGGAATCTTCGGATAAGGCCATGTGCATAACACGGGCTGTGTCACGATAAGTTACAGTCTTGCATGAGACGTAGGTGTGATTCTTCCCCTGTCAATGCATCATGATCGTCCCTGTACGGACGTGTCAGTCATGCAAGTTCAATCACAGCGGCACGTGCAGCTGAAGTACGGTTTTTACGCAGTTGGGGCACCCAATTAGGTGTGTGTTCCGTTGCTTGTCTGATATTCTTCCATGACTGTTACATGCTTATCACCCCTCCAGTTCTGCCATCCGCCTTGCCTTACTAACGAAACAGGAGCCCTGGTGTTGTTCAATGCAATTATTCTCAGCTAGAATTAGATAAGAGCACAGAACTTAGATAATATCTAGAACAAGGAAATAGACAGAAAGTATACTGTGCATAAGAAATAATATCATACTGAAAAAGAAAATAAAAAGGAATCTACATGAGCCGCAATTTCTCCAAACCAAGAATGGACGAGAGCACAGAACTGGGATAATTACCAAAAAAGGAAGTTCTTTCTAACCAATAATAGCTAAGAGCACGGAACTTGGATAACTTCTGGAATAGGCATGTGTAGAAAGTGTGCGTATAATGCATCCTGTGCGTATAAATCAGTACAACACCTCCTTTATTCGGATGTAGACACTTGCCAAGTATCACCCCAAAAACCCATGTATGTACAGTACTCGGTCTTTTAATAAACGCGGCTGACTTTGAGATGGTGCTCCTCATCCCTGAATACATAGACTTTCTTTCCACCTCTTCTACCCTTTCGCCAGCAACTACGTCCTTCACAAATACATATCCATCATTGCGTAAGTCACCTCCAGACTCTTCCATGAATGGCATATGGCATGGGCCATGAGATACAAATAAATCCATATGTTGTTGTTCGATGGGATTGTTTTGCTCAGGAGGGGTTCTGGAGATGACACGATGTGGGGGTCTTCGGAAGAAACTAGTTCCGAAACAAATCCCGTGATAACAGTGGCGATGTCTGCTATTCCTATTTAGGGGTCGAGCACAATATGTGGATTGATTACCGAGTAGGTATACGCACAGCTTTTTGTCACATATAGTTCTCCACTTGATGATCTATTTTAGCATTTAACAGGAACGAATAGTTACTACGTGTTAGCGGGATTACGAATAGGTAAGGGCATTTTATCGCTATTTTGACGTTGTTGTGATCCACAGGATAGGTTACCCGTTTGGATACTCAGCTTGTCCTTATCGGCCCGCTCGTATTTCATCGAAAGAATTTCTGCCGTTAAGTTATTGGTGCTGGCTGCAAGCCAACGTAGTGCGCGCGAAGGGGCCTCCCCTGAGTTTTACGAAGTCTGTGCGACTACATTGGAGCTGCCTAATAATAGCGAAAAACGGAATGCTGCCATTATTACTAGCCCCGTAGATTGGCGCTGCAACTCACGTGAGAAATTGTGGTATGTCTGATTGGTCGCATTGTATTAGCCTTCTGAGCGACACTTCTGAGCTCCGCCACGCCCAATTTACCCCTTCTGACATCAATAACTATCTATCATGGCGCGCTGCTCCAAGACAGTCCTTCAAAAAATCTTTCGTTTTTCATCGTCAAGTGCTTCCCAGTCTAATCCTTTAACACCGTACCGGTTGCACTCTCTCCGAGGACAGAGACCTGAAGCTTATCTCGTGCGACCGTTGGCCTCTTATTCAAGGAAAATGTTTCTCAATGAAGAAGATCCGGGAGGCCGTCAATTTCAATACAACTGGATTGACGGCGTGGAGTCACTCGAAAAGTACCGTCCAGGGGGTTTTCATCCTATCATGATAGGAGACGTGCTTCGCGGGCGATATCGAATCATTGACAAACTGGGCTTTGGAGGTTATTCAACTGTTTGGCTAGCCCTGGATACTTGTCTGCATCGCTATATTGCTGTCAAAGTTGGTACAGCGAACTCACCTATGCAAGAAACCAAGATTCTTCGAGCTCTTTCAAACCCAGGACATGATTCTATTCCCACTCCATTAGATGAGTTCAAACTCGATGGGCCTAATGGAACACATCCATGCTATACCATGATACCCGCGCGGTGCGATCTTCGAGAAGTGTCTTTCAGTCGCCTTTTCCCCCTCGAAGTTACGCGGGCGCTATCAGGCAGCCTCATACTGGCTATCGCTTACATACATTCACGGGGCTACGTTCATGGAGGTGAGTGTTGCTAACGATTGAAACCATTAGTAGCCTTGTCATTCTTTGATATACTGATACTTATAATCTCTTCACCCAGATATTCATCTCCGTAATATTTTGGTTAAGTTACCATCGGGTTTCAATCATCTGTCGGTTGAGGAGCTTTATGAAGAGTATGGAGAGCCTGAAATCGTCTCTATTACACGATGCGATGGGAAGCCGCTTCTATCAAACACTCCATCAAAGGCAGTATTACCTCTTTATCTTGGAAAAGGTGCAGAGGAATTTTCACTGTCTGACACGCATATACTGCTCAGTGACTTTGGTGAAGCATTTGCTCCGGATCTGGAAACTCGTTGTGGTAAAGACTGCCATACACCCTTAGCAATGCAACCTCCTGAAGCCCGGTTTGAACCACAGGCACCTCTGTCATACTCAGCAGATATCTGGAGCTTGGCCATAGCGATTTGGGAAATTCTTGGTATGCAGCCAATCTTCTGCAATGCATATGTTACTGCGGATGAAATAGTATCTCAGCAAATTGACGTGCTTGGACCCTTACCGTCGGATTGGTGGATGCGCTGGCAGGAGCGAAGCCAGTTTTTCGACAGCAACGGGAACCCAAAAGAAGGCCGCTATGTTTGGCCTGGAATTGAAATGGCTTTTGAGGACACTGTACAGAAGTATCGACGAAAACGTGGGTGTGAGTTTGATACGGAAGAAACAACCGCCATTATTGATTTGATGCGCCGAATGTTGGTATTCCGACCTGAAGAACGGCTAACGATCCAGGAGGTCCTACAGTCAGAGTGGGTGGTTAAATGGGCGTTACCTCAATTAAAGCGGGATTCACAGACAGTGTAGACAGGTACCTATAAACACCGCATCTTATCGTTGCATTTTGTGACTGACCCATCACTTGAAGACAAACGCCTAACTGTTGTCTTGCCAATGAAAACCACTCTGGATATATCTCTTTGTCAGATTCTTAGTTATCTTACGAACATATGCTGTTAATGAGAGCTCGTGATTCTAATCATAGAGATTAACGAATTTGCAAAGACACGATAGGTACCTAAAGAGATTCTTAGCTTCAGATACTATGGGATGAGGATTCCACTGAAAATGTGACTGGCCCTCTGGTGATTGAAAGACTGCAGGGTCGAAGCTATGAAACATAATTAAAAGGCCTTTAATGCAATGTCTGTCTCGTATCAGCCTTCGCGCCTTAAGGAGCTTGAGCTGGAAGAACCCCCGATCCAATTGACTCAGATCTTGGGCGTGACTTGATGAAGATTCTGGTAATGCGGAGAAATCTGTTGTTGTAGGCTCGGATGTCCGTGCAGTCTTCGGAGGTAATAGAGAGTAGAAGTTTTCGAATATGCGGCAATATTTTTGGCTATACTCCACACTCCCTGCCTTTTGAACGTTTGTCTCGCAACCATAGCGAGATCAGCAATATGCTGTTTATGATGGATGATGACAAAGCACAGTAATGCTTGGCGCTGAGTATTCTGGGTTCTACATGGAGTAATTATCTCGGCAATAAAGAGAGGCTACCTAGGAGGGCAAGAACCGCATTTGTTCTAAAGATGGTCAGGACACAGCCTGGCCAAAGAATGTACTGCCCGACTTTGGATACATTGGCACAAGGATTGAGTGAACGATTCGAAAACAGGCTATGCCACATCCCATGGGATAACAGAAACCTATACAGTACTTTGGTAAAAAATCAATGCAAACTAACGTCATTAGACAAATAGTACGCTAAGTGATGGGGGTCGTGTTTTAGCGTATCCTTGTCAACAGAGTCATATCCAGAACCAGGTAGAACCGCTCTACATGTGCGGCATAAAGCTCACGGGGGCCAGAGGAACTTGACACGGAATAGACACAATAACAGGGTGACTAACAGTGTCGCGCACGTGTGTGAAACAAACAATGATCTCTTTATCTATTAATGACCCGAGGGCTGTGAACTTGTGATCATCGAGACGAACAATATCCATGAGTTGTTGAAACTAAACTGTTTCAGAAACTGGGTCGTAAGTGCCGATAAGCAGGTCATAGAAGAGATTCCCCGCGAATACTATTCCCCTACGACTGAGATCGGACTACATCCCAAAGGCCATCAGTATACATGACAAAACAAAGACACGCTTGGTACTTACAGTTGGTGTGGGTAAATAAGTGATACTAGATGAATCAGAGACAGGTCGCATTGAAGTAATATCTTCCTCCCTGGATACTGTCGGTCTTTGACTAAGACTATGATTTGACTACATTCCAAATATCATCAGTATATGCGTGGAAACAATTACACGCTTGGTACTCACAGCTGGTGTGGATAAACAACCATTATTAGATGGACCAGAGAGGGATCGCATTGAAGTGAGGTCTTCCTCACTTAACCCCAAGCATGGAAGTGACTTCAGTCACCTCTGAGCAACGGCCTTGCATTTTTGAATGACGGTGATAAACCAATTCATGACTAGAATGATGCGAGCAAGCTGGTCCTGTGTCAGATTGCTGTGTGTATCTTGAGACAAGGCTGACAGCTTTATAGACATGGCGAGTGTGTTTGATATGTCTCAGTGGCTACACTGGAAGATCTATCTCCAGGTCTGTCCTATCTGTGAAATTGCTACTGTTTACATAGATATGCTGTGATTGGCTTTCTCTTGCAAGTCAATCTAATCCCCTGCGCTTGGAGGGGAGTCTTCGCTATCAAATGAATTGATTGATCCGATCGCCGGCTTCTCCTAAACTTTAGCATGATCTACTAAACCAGAAGTAGTAGTTACCTTAGTCAAGCATAGATGAGAGCACAGAAGTTGGATAGCCACCAGAATAGAAAAAGCGTGCTACTAACAAAAAATAGAAGAAAATACAGAACTTGGATAGCTACCATAATAGGAAAAGCGTGCTACTAACCAAGAATAGAAGAAAGCACAGAACTTGGATAGCCACCAGAATAGGACAAGCGTGCTACTAACCAAGAATAGAAGAAAACACAGAAATTGGATAGCCACCAGACTAGGAAATTGATAGAAAGTGTATCATGATGGCCGGCTGCAACATAGGCCATAAGTCTTACCCTACCCCTCCTCATTCTAGATAGCCTACTAGGCATAAGCGTGTGGGTAGTTATTTATCTAGTTACTTTAGATGACAGTCTTCAAATTTAGATTACACTCACACCTAATGATTATCTTGGCAGCAAATGAGTTCTGGGTCAGCTGAATAGATATTTTGGACTGTACTGAAAAAGGCATTTTGATAACAAGAGTTTGCTGCTGATCAACTACTCCAAATAATAATATATTTCATTGGCAACAAGAGAATGACTCTAGGAAAATTAAAAATCTTGGCTGTAGTGGGGTACAGGCTACTATCCCATTTATGGTATTTCTGTTGTAGTAATAGAATTACTCTCTCCACCAGATAAGCCGCCTGTCCCGATGGTGGAAGCCCACCTTCAGTGGGTACATTTGTGACAGGCGGCCCGAGCATAAGTTGTATTGTATACCTTAATTCTACTATTTCTATATCTGAATAGACGTATGTGGATGTATTGTATGGTAACCATAATAGTACACAGATAAAAGTATTCATAATCTGTTCACACAATAATAAAAGCAGCTGATAGCATATAAATAGCTGTAGGATATAGAAGCAGCTCATATCAATTACCCAAAGACCATTTTATACTCCGTCTTAGTGTGCCTTCTTAAGCCTGCAATACTCGATCATGGGTTACGAGCTAAGAGCTTCCAAATACCTTGAATTGATAGATGGCTTTGCTGACTAATTAAGTGATGATATCTTAGGCAGTCTACCAAAAGATGTCGCTGCAAGGTGGAGGGAAACTATAACATCTATTTAAGACAGCCGGGAAAAAACTCCTTCAATATTGATTCATGACCTTTCTGTCGTCCACTTTTATAGAGTTGATTTCCTTGATAACCACGGTCCTTCCAGATTTGTCATAGGAAATGCGATTCAGCTCTGGTATTGGTGGTGGTAGAGACTAATATATCCAACACCTGATTAGGCTCGATCCTATAACTCCGACTTTAATGGAACCTATGATACGGCATTTCTATTATATCAAATTATCCGAGGACATCTTACTCGAGATGATAAGAAATATCATATTTTATGTTATCTTGTCTCTATAATCTGCCATGATAAATCAACCACTGCTTCACGAGCCGCACGGAAACTGTTATAAAAATATGTCAAGATTATCAATATAGAACATGCTTGTTCTATAGATACTATGTTTCTCGATAAGTATGTGCGAGCCAGGTATTGGTATACCAGTCATACTATGATATTTATAAAAAGTCTTCCCCCGGAAGCCTCCATCTTACACTTTTTTAATGATATTTTACATGTATTGCAATGTAATGATCATTTTCTCGACCGGGTATCAGAGCTCGACGTGACCCTGCAGCTACTTTTACCTCGTACGCAGCTTTTGGATTCTACAATACAGGCTGTTAGAGATACTTTCATGCCCCTTATACTGGAAATACAATCTTTAATACTACATAAGGGGATATTTCAAGATGTATTGAATTTACCATCTCTTTTTGATAGTCTGGCGATGATGAGAAATCAGCTTTCCCGAAATCCAGCTCCTCTGGAATTGTTAAGGAGGGACTTCAAGGATTTTGTTTTCTTTTCGAGAAGACTTTTCGAGAAGATTATCATTGAACTACAATTCCCAGTCTTTCGGGTAATGAAGGCAGGAAGTCTACAATAGAGAGGCCTTAAAATGGGCATTGCAGATGGATTTCAGTACCTCTATCAACAGCTCCTGATGCTAAGGAACGAAATTTCAGTTGTTCATATTATTTCATCATGATTTCTTCGATCTGTCATGTCTTCACCGTCTTCACTTGCATCTATATTTGATTACTAGCAAATATTCATCTTGTCTTATTAATGGAACAGTTTTAGGTGGAACAAGAATTAGGATTCTTCATATATAGACCACCAGCCCTTATCCTGCAGTAATTGTCCTGGTAATACAAGCTCTATCTGTGAAGCCATATCACCTGATTAGAGAATAACCGCGTTTCAAGTATTAATACTACCTATCTCTTAAAATCTTTAGTACAGCAGATTCTTTTGCATAAATAATGTTTCTATTTTAGGATGTCTTAACATGCTGAGAAAGTTCCAAGGAACCACTGGTGTATTTCTTTCTAACCTATTCTTCGGGTGGAATATCTAGACCCAGTACTCTGTAATCATTGTCTGGATTGAAGTCCCTGTACAAAACAGTCCAGGCCTTAAGAAAAAGTGGGAGAGTAGAAGAGGCATGAGGTATAAAGATACAGTAACAGGCTTAAGAGAAGTATGCACCGTCAAAGCATTATGTGATTCAAAGCCTCAGCTAACCAGGGGTTTATAAGGCTCTCCTACACCAGCCTCCGCTCACGCCACACCCTTCACTTACCCTCCGCCTACTTTAGTAGGTAAGGCTTGTTCCCAATCAGGTAAGGCTTCTTATTTGTGTTGTGAGAAGTCCTACAGCCTCCCGATAAAGATATTTGCCTGACTAAGGTATCACTTGCCCCAGGCAGGGGCCAAATCAACATAGAAGGCGGTAACGTATTCCACAAGCGAGTCGGCACCACAAGCGAGTCGGCACCCCAACGCGTTTTCACCGCGATCAAAAACCTCACTCAATTCAACCACCAACCATGCCTCCAAAAGCGCGTCAAAAATCAAGAAATTCAGCCGAGCAGGAGGGGAGAATTTTATTAGCAATCTCTGCTATAGAAAATAAACAAATTACCCAAATTGCTAAAGCTGCACGTCATTATAATGTGCCTCGTTCTACTCTACAAGATCGACTACGCGGAAAAACAAATCGCTCAGAAACACGTGCCAATAGTCATAAAATGACTCAAAATGAAGAGGAATTGCTTGTACAATGGATTCTATTGCTAGATCAACGTGGAGCGCCTCCCCGACCATCTCATATACGAGAAATGGCTAATATTCTTCTTGCTGCGCGCGATACTACCCCAGTTCAATCAGTCGGAGAGAACTGGGTCTTTAACTTCATTAAACGACAAGATCGCTTGAAAACTCGCTATACTCGACGCTATGATTATCGGCGCGCTAAATGTGAAGACCCCAAGATTATTAGAGAGTGGTTTGATCGCGTACAAATCACTATAATGCAACATGGGATTGCACAGGAAGATATCTACAATTTTGATGAGACTGGCTTTGCTATAGGCTTAGTAGCTACTGCTCAAGTAGTTACTAGAGCTGACTACTATGAAAAGGCCTCTCTTGTACAGCCAGATAATCGAGAATGGGTTACTTTGATTGAGTGTATTAACTCTACCGGTTGGGCGCTTCCTCCATGTGTGATCTTTAAAGGCAAGGTCCATATAGAGGGTTGGTATCAAGATATCAAACTCCCACGCGATAGTAGGATTGAGGTTAGTCCTAATGGATGGACTACAGATGAGATAGGCCTTCGCTGGCTTCAAAATCTCTTCATTCCTATTACTACTAGCTGTACAACTGGAAGATATCGTCTTCTTATTCTTGACGGCCATGGCAGCCATCTTACGCCTCAATTCGATCAGATATGCAGTGAGAATAGTATCATTCCTATCTGCATGCCAGCTCATTCTTCTCACAAACTTCAACCTTTGGATGTGGGTTGCTTTGCACCTCTAAAGCGAGCATACAGCAGCTTAGTAGAGGAACAGGCACGTTCAGGAATCAATCATATCGACAAACTTGATTTCTTAGAGGCCTTTCCACAAGCTCGTGAACGCGCTTTTCAAGCAGATACTATTCGAAATAGCTTCGCAGGCGCTGGCCTAGTTCCATTCAATCCAGATAGGGTACTCAGTCAGCTGAATATTCAACTAAAGACCCCTACACCACCAGGCAGCCGGTCAACTAATTCAGCGCCAAAAACGCCTTATACAACTAGGCAGCTTGACAAGCAGGCATCTACAGCAAAGAAGCTGCTTAAAGCGCGTACGCAGAGCCCTTCATCTTCGCTAGAAATACGATTTGATAAGCTTATTAAAGGTCATGAATTACATCTTAATGAGCTTATTCTTGCACGCGAAGAAATCCGCAAATTACGCGCTTCTCATGAAAAGAAGCTTCAAAAAAAGAAACGCTCTACTAGACAGCTAGCTATTACAGAGGGATCAGCTATTAAAGAAGGCCTAGAGCGATTTCAGCGCGAGAATGAGGTTGATGAAGCTCAAAATACGCTTCCTATAGATCCTGCACTTTCTGCAGTTGAGCCACGCGTACGAGCGCCACCACGCTGCAGTAATTGTCATATTCTAGGACATAGACGGCTACAATGTCCTACTCGAGTTCCTAATTA